ATTGATTCCGTTTGTTCAAAATGTATCTGTAGTTCAATGTATTCATTCCGCCGCTGCCTTGTTCTAGATCAGTATCAATAATTTAAAGGTCTCAATTACGGATTATCATCAGATTGCCTTCGAGGTCATTTCAATAAGCAAGTTCTCCAAGGGCTCCGATATATCCTTACCTCGGGGCCATTGATAACTGATGATGGCACTACAGAGATAATAGGTGACCCTCTATCCATTGCGGACCTCAACTTGGTTGTAATTTGTCAGAATCTCGGGGCTGATCTATATATTCACAGTCATGTCAGTCCGCTCATCCGGAGGAATCGTTCCCCGCTCCACTCCGCAATCACTCAACCCACCACCAAGAAAAGCAATAATCAACTACAAACCCCAACCTACAGCCCCAGTCCAAGGAGAGCCCAATCTATAACCTAATAAAATTATAGATATACCATCACCAAGAGCAATAAAAAAAAATGCCCCCAACCAAGCAAAACCACATCCTCCTGCTAAAAACCAAGTCCTCCCCGCACGACGGCTACGACGAATTCTTCTCCGCGCGCAACATCAAACCAACCTTCATCCCCGTCCTCACACACGTCTTCCACGACCAGAACCTAAAGCAAATCAAAGACCTTCTCGAAAGCGGCGGTCTGAACCCGGGGCATGGACGCCGATATGGCGGGCTAATATTTACCTCGCAGAGGGCTGTGGAGGCGTTCGCGGATTTATTAAGTAAAGTTGACCGTGAGTACAAGCCACTACATACATACACAATTCCTATCGCAGCCGAGGATCAATGTGCTAAAAAGGCCTTGTCTCTATACAGGTTCCATACTAGGCACATCCTCAAAAGGCCTCCCCCTCTACACTGTAGGGCCCGCAACAGCACGCTCCCTGACATCCCTCCGAGATACGTACCTCCCGCACGCAAAAATCCACGGCGAGGACTCAGGAACGGGCGAGGTTCTAGCTGGTGAGATACTAGAGCATTACAATAGCCTCTTCCCTACATCGTCATCGTCACAAGCAGACACAGCTGCAAAGCCTCCACTCCTCTTCCTAGTCGGCGAAACGCGACGAGATATTATTCCCAAGACGCTCATGGGTGATCACACACCTGCAGAAAAGAGGATTGGTGTTGAGGAGGTGGTTGTTTACGAGACGGGGGTTGTGGAGGGGTTTGGTGGGGATTTTGAGGGGGTCTTGGGTGGTCTTCTCCATGAATCAGATACCGATGTTGATTCTAGAAGAGGCGATGAAGGAGGGGTGATCTGGGTAGTTGTATTCTCGCCTACAGGATGCGATGCGATGGTTAGGGTTCTGAGGCAGGAGCTAGAGCGAGCTGGTGAAGGGGAGCGGAGGAGGGTGTTTCTTGCGACGATTGGGCCGACGACGAGGGATCATTTGATCAATAAGTGCGGATTCCAGCCGGATGTTTGTGCAGCGAAGCCGTCGCCGGAAGGGGTTGGGGCGGGAATTGAGGATTTTATGAAGAAGTTGGGATAGCTTTTAACTTGTGTCTGGGTGCCTTCTATACTATAGAGATTTGTGACTATATATACCCATGGTTCGTTTACTGGCAAGTCATCGGCCGGTACAAGATACGAGGAGGAAAGGACGGAAGTTACGTAAACTGAGTTAATACTTCCTGAAGAAACTCGAACAAAATGCAGTAATTAATCCGCAAATAGGTACAACTAGTTCCTGGACATTTCTATGCAAATATGATATGTGCAAGCGTGCTTGACTGCTTATCATGCGATCTCAAGCCTGCTGACGCTGTCTGACATTTGAATTCCCTTACCTTATCGCATAATTTCCTCATAAATCAAGACTGAGAAGAGTTAGTATATAATACTAGAGATCAAAAAAAAAAAAGAAGTTGCAGACTAACCCTTCAACTGCTCCTTGCTTAGAGCATCCTTGTTTTTGTCGAAATCAAAGAATCCTTCCGGAATTGGGGGCGCCGTCGGCTCGTCTTCCGGATCGTGGTACGGCTCCAGATACGGATGGCGCAGGGCCTCTTCAACGGAGATTCGCTTCGTCGGGTTAAAGGCCAAAAGCTTCTCCAGCAGGTCTAACGCCAGGTCGTTGCTCTTCGGGAACAAGGCTTTGAATGGAATCTTCTTTTTGAATGGGAGAGAACGGATATACTCCCGAGCCCGTCGGGATTTAATGCCATAATAGTCCTCCATGGTCGGAGTTCCCAGAACGTCCAAAATTAGGGTGAGTTGGTGGTGATCTACCACGGATTAGCAATTGCTTGGGGCGATCAGCCGGTACACATACAGTCCTTTCCGGGGAACAGAGGCTTTCCACTCAGCATCTCTGCAAGGATACAGCCCACACTCCACACATCAATGGCCTTTGTGTATTCCTTAAACGTCAACATGATTTCGGGGGCGCGGTACCAGCGCGTCGCCACGTATTCCGTCATGAAACCCGAGTTGTCGTCGGTGGACGCGGCAGATCGAGCCAGGCCAAAGTCGCAGACCTTAAGGTCGCAATTCGCATTAAGGAGAAGGTTGGACGGTTTGAGATCACGGTGAAGGACGTTCGCGGAGTGCATGGCCTTGAGCGCACGCAAAGTTTGGTAAATGAAGTATTGGCAGTGGTCATCCGACAGGTCCTGCGTGCGGATAACACGGTGCATGTCTGTTTCCATCAATTCCTACAAACAATTAATCCTCCCATTCTGTTAAATATATCCGGATGAAGTGGTACCTGGATGAGGTAAACCTCGTTGAAACTCTCATAGTTCCGCGGTCTTTGGATATCCAAAATGGAAATGATGTTCTCGTGGTTGAAGTACCGGAGCAGCTTCATTTCTCGTAAAGTGCGCAGACAAAACATCGAATGATCAAAGGGAGTAATCTTCTTGATGGCTACCTTCTGACCAGAGGGCTTGTGTATGGCGGAGCTATGGGAATCAGTTTACTGGCCGAACTAGTTCCGTTATAATGCTTACCAGACAACACCATAAGCGCCCTCCCCAATGACATCCTGGATCTCGTACTGATCAGAGACATTGAAGGAGATCTTCCGTGAAGCGCCCTGGGGCGGCATTTGCTGGACCATATTGATTGGCTTTAAACTGGACGAGCGTCAGCACCGGTATGCGGTGAGCTTGTGAGCTCAATAGACAATAAAACAAGTTCCAGTGACTTTATCACCAGGGCAAATAACGCTGCAACAATAAAGTGCATAGAGATGATCACATTCACGCAGCCGGTTCAAATCCCTGATGCAAGGTACATCGGTACTGCAGGCCGCGTGTTTGTCTCACATGGCACTTAAATCAGGAAGCTGTGGGTAGCGCTTACAATTGGTTGTTCCCTTGATGGTTTTAAAATATAGGAAAAAGCCACCAACAATCCGTTTTCGACCTGCGCGCTGAACTGGAGAGGTGGTCGGGACAAGAATCAAATGCGGGGTATGGCGCGTGCCGGTTGCTATCGCTTGAATCGCAGAGTGCGCGACAGGGATCGTGAAGGTAGTAGGGAGGAACGCTCGGGTTAGAGTGAAGTCGTTGTTGGTGATCGGTTCAGTATGTTCCGATGGGCGAATGTCGGCTGTTTTAAAAAGACGAGCTCATAAAGGCCTCGTGTACAAATCAGGGGTCCTATTCGGCAGCCGACGGCGCCAATTAGCCACCAAGTTTGTACAGGGAAAATCGGCAGAGGAAAGGAGTGCAGGATTAAGAGAGGAAAACAAACGCAAGCAATAAAAAAGGAGAATCTCACCAGACTGCTCGAACGAACTGCCGCCTTTGCAGTGGATGTTTCACAGCTCCGATCTATTTTTACTTTGCCTTTGTCCGTGTTGGCTCCGTGCGGCGTCACGAAGGCAGCTCGAGAACAAAAGGCAGAGCTAACAGAGCAAAAGGAGCTTGGTGTTCCCAAGATCCAGAGCGGAGGGGCGAGAACCAAGAAAGGACAGCAGCAAGATGGAGACTTGGAGACCCGGATGAGGACTAACTCGAGGAGGAGAGGTTAATAAAGCAGCGTAGATCGGCTAGGGTCGAGTGGGGTGGGCTGCTAAGATGAAACGGGTTGGGCAAGTTGGCAACAGAACTCACAGAAGCGTATCGGGAGACCTTGATGATATACGGGGTGAAAGCTAAAGATTCAAGAAAGATGGAGAGGGAAGATCAGAGCGAACCTTGGTTCCAGGATGGGGAGTGGATGGAGAGAGTTGAGGCACGGTGGGAGGTGGAGGGGCACGAGAGGAAGTGGTGACTGAGCAACTCTGGGTCAGGAACCATCAATTCTGGCCGGATTTTCGCTGCTGTCTCGACCAGTGTTTCAGCAGTCCCACTGTTAATCAGACAGCATCCAATTTCTCTTCCTCAAGGACTCTCTTCTTTTGGGAGAACACAGAGAACGACAGAGAGAGGGAGAGAGGGGCAGTGCTGAAACCGGCGCTACTGCTGCCGCTCCAATTGATCACAGCGTTTAGTCCGTCACATTTCACCAACCACCATCAAATCACATCTTCCAACATCCCAGTCTCTTGCTTCCTCTGCCCTCTTCGCCCCGTTGATTTGTCTGTCGCGCCTGGGCAACGCGCCCTCCTTACAGGCTAAGCCGTGATCCAAACTTTACGGTGCATGATCAGCACAGGCCAAACCAATGCGCTACTTCTTCGGGGAGCTCTTTAATTGTCATCATTCTGCTTTTCGACTGTCTGGTGGCTGTCCAGCGAGAGAATCAACAGAGAAAAAGCAAACAAAATACGCCTCTACATACTACAACCCCTATACTCCCGACTCCCGAGACGGCCAATTAAGTGGTACAGTGGTACAGCGACCCAAGCGAATGAGAACAGCGACCTCAGCTTTATTGTTGTATATCTCATATAATCGGCCAAAAATCGTAAAGACTATCATTACTGGACGACCTGTTGCGTTTCGAGCTCGTCAGTCTAACCTATCAAGTATGACTTTGCAGGCTTCGACGGGGTCAAGAAAACAAGGTAAACGACAAATAAAAGAAAGAAGGGTTTCAAACCTTTTCCCGCAGTGATCCCATCCATTGCACGAGGCTGACACCTTGGTCGGCTCTGTCTTCCACCAACATCGTCTGCGCCCAGAGGCGGAGCCCGGGCTCTCCATCCTCCTTGACCACGTACAGGTGTGGCACCACAATGCTACCAACGCCCTTCGACCGGTGGTCCCGACTCTTCTCGACGACTGCACGCACACGTCCGTTGAAGTCGTTGTCGAGCTCCGGGAGATACTGCTTGCCAACGCGGAGTTGCGTCTTATCGGGTAGCCCAAAGACATCAACTAGGAGCTGCGGCACCGCATCGCGTCCAACCCACAGGAACTGAGTTTGTCCATCGTCGATGAGATAGAGACCGTAAGGAACTATCCGCTCAGATGACAGATTAATAGTGGGAGGCAGGATAATTTCGCCGGTTTGTCCATCTGGCAAGCCGGCATCGTCGGGCATGTCATGAAGAGAGTACATTTTAGGGTAAATGTATTGGATGAGAAGAGGAAGAGGAAGGGTCGATAACATGCAAAGGGCCGCAGATCTCAAATCCGTCGGTATTTGTGCCGACTTGCGTAGACCAAGCTAAACGTTCAATGTTAGTAAATGAAGGATATTACTCCAGGGATAGATTGGACTCACATTCTTAATCAGAGCGAGGAAAAGAACAGGGAGGCCTCGGAGGTTAGCAGGAAATTGCAGGCCGCCACCGCCGACGCTTCCACCTGCCAGTTCCTTGCGGTAGGTTGAGAGTAGTTCCACAACCTTCGCTTGTAGCGCTTCTCGCGCCGGGTCCAGGCCGCTGCCGAGTGTGCGTTCGACTGCCTTGTGGCTGAAAAACGTGGTTATGGCTTGCTGATCCGCCGAGGCATAGATATCCGCAAGGTTCTGCGTGGTTGGCAGCGCCAGTGTCAAAACTCGAATCCTGCGCTCTCCGTTGCAGGTCGTGTGAAGTACGGCGGTTTGCATGCAGATAACAGGCTTCGTGACAGTCTCGTCAATCGCAACTTCAACGACATACGCCTGGTCACGCGGGAATGCTGGGAATGCGCAGAGATCCGAGCTACGGTTGAAGAAGTTTCCGTAGAAGGTGCTCATGCGCAGACCAGTCGTAGCACGGACACGAAGGACAGCCTCGAGGCCAATCTCCGAAGACAGGTAGTCGGAAAACTCACGCGCAAACTTGATCGCATCCTCGCTACGGGCGGCATTCCACCCACGGTAGTAATACGTTTGCCCACCGGTGTATCTGGGAAGGTTGCTGAGCGAAGCCACATCCTGATACTGAGCTGAAAACAAGAACATGTCCACAGATACCTGTGCCTTGGAGCACTCGACAGCAAAGCTCTTGTAGAAGCTGTTGGCCGTCTGGAGCAGGCCGTTCTCCTTGCTCGTTCCTAGAACCTTCGGGTCCTCTCTCATGGTCAAAGCGCCATGACCAACGTTGGGCAAAGATGAAGTAAGAACAGTCATCTTTCCACCAACGGGTGAAATGAGCTTATATCCGGCACGCAACGCCGATCCCATCGCGCAACCATGGTTCTGAGTGTTTTGGAACATCTCCTGCAGCTTGTCGAGGAAAATCTCAATGTTCTCTCGGCACTCGCTCAGAGTCACTAGAAGGTCCCCGGGAATGGGGAGGAAGGGCTCATCCAAGTCGCTGACGACCAGCATGCGTGGATCAGAAACCTCTGAACCATCTCGAGGAATGCTGAAGTAGTGAAGGCTGGAATCAACGGCAACGAAGCCAAGTCTGGTTCGTCGGTCTGCGTTGGGGATCCGGTCCAAGCTTTCTCTGATGCACCGGGCACTCGTGGCCAGGAGGCCGTTCGTGACTGACGCATAGCTCACATCTATCAAGAAAAGATATACAAGGGGTTGGGGAGGGCGGACCATGTATTCCTGGGGAGCAACAAATTCTACCACAGAGTGGTTGAGGTCGGGTCTCAACGCCCTGTCTGCCGGTTTCTGGAGAGTGGTGTCCCAATCAAAGGCCTGCGGCACATCATTTGTCAAGTTACACATGTTGCAACGCCAGCGGTGTCCATGGTCGAGGAATGTCACGAACGGGTTGATATAGGATCGGCACCGTCGGCAACGGGAAATGACTTGGTCTGGGATGACGGGAACCGTGTCTTCCGCATCATGGAGGGCTGCGTAGGGTTGAATCACGAGTGCAAAAGGGAGCTTCGACTTCTTCAAAAGCGAGTGTGTTGTCGGAACAGCATTTAGCGTCGAGCGCACATACTTGGGAGGGCAGTTGGCATATGGAGAGGGGTAAACACTTGTCTAAGCAACAGGTTAGCACCATCTTCTGTTTTCTAAGACCGGAACTTCTCTATCATATACATACCCCAGGAGGCAAAACAATGGGGGGTGGGGGGTAGTCGAGCTCTGCAACATTGAACGGCTGGGTGAGCAGGTCGGTTGGGTAGAGTTGATTGAGGGGAACAGCTCGCGGGGCTTGAGGAGCCTGAGGGGCTGCTTGCGGGGGCATAAGATGAGGATCCGTAACACCCATAGCACCAAACTGCTGGGTCATTTGCGCGACACCTGGAGCTACCGGCGGAGCATATCCTTGAGCCATCTGGGTGGGATCGGCACCGTATACCGGCTGTTGTTGCGGTTGAGGGTAAGCCCCGTAGGCAGCACCGGCAGGCGGCTGGCCTCCGAGTGCGGCATTGGCACCAGATCCAAACTCGAATGCCTGTCCAGCATAGGCTCTCTTCTTCTTTCCTCCAGCGTGCGCTTGGGGAGCGGCAGCTTCCCCGGGTTGTTCAACAGGGGCTCCATAGCCGGCGGGATGTTGGTCGTACCCCTCCTGGGGAGGGTAGCCCCCTTGTGGAGAAGCCATTGATATTTCGTGCGTCTTTCAAGTAGATACTGCTCCGATGATTTGGATCTCGTCCGCGGCGTTCTCGGAGGAGGGATGGGGTTCCGGTCGCGTACTGGGTACAGGCTCGCTCTGTGGGGTCGGTCAATGTTTCGATCAAGAAAAACAGGCAGGGAGCTGCATACTAACAACCGGAAAACAGAAGGCGCATCAACCGAGGACGGCGAAGGGATTGGGGAGGGAGATTTATATTGTGGGAGTTGGAGGCAGATGATGAGATGCAGCCCGAGGTGAACTTCAGCAAGTGGGAGGTCGGGTTACGGTGGCCTTTGCGTTGCGCCAATCAGAGGGCCCCGCAGCTTAACCGATTCACATCAACATCAATTCACTGTTCGGGATCCGGGCAACACTTTGGCTACTTAGAAGAGTGGGAGCTATTCGCGACACGGATACATTTGAGAATACGGAGCTGTTTTTCGTCTTATGTCCGTGATCTCATGGTTCTCGCCTTGTCGTCCTCGAACCATACAATTGCGGTGTGCAGTACAGAGTACACAAGTGAGACTCGGCATATCCATCGAGATAGGTCTTACGGCACCGTATTCCATGTGAGCTTACTGGATATTAGGCTACTGTGTTCCTGGGCGATTTGAGACGGTACACCCTGTTCAGACTGTGATGAGGCTGAAATATATCTCTCTCCCCATTCTATATATATCGAAGCATAGTGATGTTTAATGCACTATACCGGTTTTACTTTGCGTACTGTTTCAAAGCCAAATTATTAGCAGTCGCGGTTCTTCATAAAATTAACTGTAAATTAGAGAGAGCGTCTTTATCGATGTCGTCGGGATTAAAATACACTGTTCAGATCTACACCGCAGGGTGTTCATTGTCGAGGTTGCCGTGCCAACGTCCACCGCAGCGCTCCCACCACAACGCCTCCAGCTCCAGTTCAATCTCTCCTCCACAGAGCCGCCATCTTCTCAATCTCGCTCCGACACCTCGTGCATTTCTTGCGTTGCTTTTGGCGTCGTTTCAATTGTTAATTTTTCTTCTTCTAGAGCCCACTTTGGGTTCCCCCTTTTGGTTCAAAGCATTGCCAAATCCTGCCATTGTTTTGCATCTTTTTGCATTGCCTTCGAGTCGGCCGATCCATCAGGTCAATTCCTGTTCTTTATTCCGATGCAACGATAAACTATTAAGAGACCAGGACCAGACGATACGACGAACTGCGCACGGCGAGCCTTCATTGTTGCACCTTCAGAGCTTGAGCAGACCGATTTCACAATGAGTAGTGTACGGGTAGTTTCTCGGGTTAGACCGTTGTTGAAATCGGAAAGAGATGTGGACGTTATCCTTCACACAGGATCCAAGCACACTCTGTCGAGCAAAGCGGATCGAAAGAGCTCCCAGGATACATCGAAGCTGGCTGCGTTGAGGGACCGGGATACGCTCGTTCGCATTCCGAACCCGAAGAACGAGAATGAGGAGTACTCATTTCAGTTCAACGCGGTTTATGATGCGGCCGCATCTCAGCAGGAGCTCTTCGAGGCGGAGGGTGCGTGATGTGCAGTTTGACGTTCGGGTTCGTGTTATGCTGACAACAGTCGCAGTTTCTCCCACCATTAAGCATCTTTTCAACGGGTTCGACGTCACCCTTTTCGCATATGGTGTCACTGGAACAGGGAAAACGCACACAATGAGGGGCGGTAAAAGCCTGGCTGAGAGAGGTGTTATTCCCCGTCTCCTGAGCAGCATATACAGACGAAGCCGCAAGATGGAGAAAGATAGCGACGGAGAAACCTCAGTCAGCGTGTCCTTGAGCTACTACGAAATCTACAATGACAAGGTCTTTGATCTGTTTGAGCCCCCGGAGAAGAGAACAATGGCGGGCTTGCCGCTTAGGGACAACGGTGGGAAGACCGTAGTTGTAGGGTTGACGGAGAGGCCATGCCATACCCTGAAAGAATTTGAGACCTTGTATGACCAGGCAAATATCAACAGATCTACCTCCGCTACCAAGGTTTGTTCTCCGATGCTTCGCCTGAGGAGATGACAGCTCAGCTGACGAGATATAGCTCAACGCTCATTCGTCTCGGTCTCATGCTATTCTCTGCGTGAAGGTCGCAATCACAACCGAAGACCATACCCGGGTCAGCCATGTGTCCGCCATCGACCTTGCTGGCTCAGAGGATAACCGTCGAACGGACAACGATAAGGAGCGCATGGTGGAATCCGCCAGCATCAACAAGAGTCTTTTCGTCTTGGCCCAGTGCGTGGAAGCAATCACCAAGAAGCATCACCGGATCCCATACAGGGAGTCCAAGATGACTAGAATCCTCTCGCTAGGCCAGAACAATGGGTTGACCGTAATGATTCTGAATCTAGCCCCGGTTAGATCGTACCATTTGGACACAATAAGCTCACTCAATTTCGCCAACCGCACCAAGAAAATTGAGTTGCGCGAAGTAGAAAACGAGCCAATCTTCAAAGGACCTCCGAGACCCGCGCCACGACCCTCAGTTGCGTCCCAACGACAACCCCTTCGGCCATTGACAGCTTCTGTTAATGTAAACCTCGCTGCTAATAAAGACAAGGAATCCTCAAAGCCCAGCGATGGCAAGCCGGTAAAGGCGTTCAGCGTATATTCGGACAAGCCACGCCCGAGAACTTCAACTCAATTCAAAAAGCCCGAGATCCCCAGTCGACCTTCACTAAGCTCGGAGCAGCCGGGATTGCGCTCTGCAAAAGCTAGCCGGCTGGCTCAACCACCAAAGGCTCCTCCCAAACATCAAGAGGACATCTCTTCCAGGATCGAGGAGCTAGTGGAGAAAAAAGTCGAAGAAATACTAGCTGTTCGTGCAGTTAGCGAAAAATCAAGGCAAACACATGTTCGCGAGCTAAGCGACCAAGTTCAGCGACGCCTAGAGCTTCTAGAGCAACGCATTGATGGATCTGAGGATGCCAGAGCAGAAGGCCTATCATACTTACTCATGGCAAAACAGCACCAAGGTCGCGGCGAGGACGCCTCAGCGCTAAAAATGTACCAGCTGGCTCTTCCCTTCTTCCCCGAGAATGAAAAACTCGTCACGAAAATCGACAACTTAAAAAATCGTATCGTGTCCAAGCCCTGTCAGAACATCGAGACCACCAGCACCCCGGCAACAGAGTCTAAAAAGGGACTGGGTAGCATGCTGTCATTGCCGTCATCAAAGAAAGGCACTAAACGACCTGCAGAGGACGCTGACGCAGACTACGAAGATCACGAGTCATACGTAGCAGATTCGGATGATGATTTTGAAGAGACGAAGCGCCGAAAGCGCACAAAGACTCAAAAGCTGAGCCCCGAGCTAAACTCACTTCCTGTAGACGGAGAAGACGACGAGTCAGTCCCCTCCCCTCGGACGATCCACCTCCTCTCCATCATCAACTCCCGCGACGTCAGCCAAATCAAACTCCTGAAGGGTGTTGGTGCCAAGAAAGCAGAGGCCATCGTTGACTGTCTCTGTGAGATGGACCAAAATCTAGAGAGCAATGAAGAGACGCAGGCTCATATCAATAGCCTCGCAGAGCTGAGCAAGCTCAAGGGCTGCGGAGTGAAGACAGTTCAGAGCATGCGAACTGGCGTTTTGGTATAAACGCGAGCAAAAGTCCTGGAATTGGTTGGAGACATTGGAGATAGAGTGGTTTATTCCTTCCCTTTGGGCTTTTTGCGTTATGTTTACTTGGCATACCCCATAGTCATGGTGCGGTGTTTTGTCACTTTTGTTTGTTTTTGCTTTTGTTTTGTTTTTTTGCGACTGCATGCATGGTCCAGGGTGCATCTTCTATGCATTTTTGCCTCTGTATTGTTGAAGCGAGGGCGTTATGGCGCTGATAGTCAATATATATGATGCATGATTTTAGCCCTGCAACGATGCAGGGCCATTTTTTTTCAATCTTCATCCATATTACTCCTATTGTGTATATCTAATGGAATATCTCACGCCCTAGACCCTGATCCCAATCCTCCAACCCCCATGCGGGACAACCCCTCTCGCCAAAACATACAAAACAGCCCCAACAGCCATTGTCGCCGCGCAGAAAAGCTCAAGACCCAAATAACTCCCACCTAGAGGGTCCGGCAAAAGTGCCCCGGCAATTGGAGTGCCCGTCAACGCCGCGAATGCCGCAATGGCAAAATACGTCCCACTGCGCACGCCGATTTCCCGGATTTCGGATATCTGTGCCACGAGAGCAGGGGCTAGTGAGACGGCAGACCCGCTACTGAATCCGTAGAGTACTGTAAAGACTATTGCGGTGCTGTTTGTGCGCGAAGGAAGCCATAGCGCTAGCACGAGGATTATGGATACTATGCTCGTGAGGATCATCAGGTTGAAGCGGCCGAAGTGGTCGGCTAGCCAGGGAGGAATGATGCGGCCAAAGACGCTGTGATAGGACAATTTAGGGTTTTTTTGGCCTTTGATAGGTATTCAGATGGATATTGGGAAGTGGGACTGACCTTCCTGCGTTTAGAATGGCGATTAAGTATGATGCCAAGTATGCCGACATGCCATATCGTTGAGCCTGTGTAGGGATGAAAGCAAAGGGGAGGAACAGACCCCAATATAAAAAGAACGTTGCTGCGCTTGTGAGGACAAATGGGACCGAACGGAGGGGGCGAACGAAGTCGAGAGGGCGGCATAATGGCGTCTTCTTCTGGTGGTTGAGTCTTGAGCTCACGGTGAGATTGGTAATAACGAGTAGGAAGAGACTGGTGAATGCGCAGATCCGGATGGCCCATCCAAAGTCGAGAACTGATATGATGCGAGTTATCATGATTGGGAAGATGATCCCGCCAAAGCCGGAGCCGCTGAATGTGACACCCAGAGCGAGGGCACGACGGCGTCGGAACCAGGTGTTTACGGAGGTTATGCTGCAATGGAACAGAGCGGCTGTGCCTATGGGGCTGCAGATACCCTGGGCAAGGAAAAATTGATAGTATTCCTTCGAGATGGAGATCATCATCAGCCCGAATATATGGAAGAATGAGCCCGCTAAGATGAGCCATCGTGGACCGAAATTGTCAAATAGAACCCCCACAAATGGGCCCTGGGTTAAGTATCAGAATGAGCATACTAAAAACTATATCAGGTCGCTTATACGAACCCCGAAAAACATCATGAAATACTCCAGCGAAGTAATCCATGTGATGGCGCTGGTGGCCACATTCTTCAGCTGGTGAGTTTTATAGTAATCAATGAAGACACCAATGCCTATATTTCAACATTGTGAGACTGCAATATAACAGCTTGGGGGTGACATGAACTCACAGCTGATCCAACCAAAGCTAACGAACATACCGCAGAAGCCACCGACAACAGTGCTCCATGCCCGAAACCCTCCATCTGGAGGGCCGCCAGGAGGAGGAGCAACTGGAGTCGGTGATTCTCGAGATCGAGTCCTTGCTGTAAGCTTTTCCTCGTCACATTCTGTCACGCTATTTGGAATTGCAGCGGGTTCTATGCGCGGATGTCGTCGTTCGTTCGGCGCAGCATCATGAGAGTGTAAACCAATATCACTGCCGGAAGGTGAAGTATGACGAGGTGTATTAGACAAATATTCCGCAGTCACTGTATCGCTGCTAGGCAGATTATGCATCTTGAACCGGTTGCAAGTCTACCAGTTCGTGGACCCGACGTGGACAGGGCGTCGCGTCCATAACATAAAGGCAAACTATTTGCGACGGAGCGGCAAATCGAGGCAGTCTCATGGTGTATCGGTTGAATTGACTTTTTTTTTTTCGCTTGGTCTGGAATAGTCGTTGCGACATGACATTTCTTGCGACAAGACTTGATTCGATGCTGCACCCTGGCTCCAGAAGCAAGGGTGGGATTCTTTAGGGCTGGGCCATGACCGACCGCTGTGTCGCGACGACGAATCAGCGCCAGCAACCTAGATAGATAGGAAAGTTTCAGGAAATTTCCGACGCAATTGGGAAAATGGACTTAGCGTCTGGCTGTAAATTGCATGGCAACCAGAAAGACTGCTTCGATGCGTCTCCCGTTTCCGGTCATGCCCTACTTCCGGGCCTTCCGCCCCCCCGTTCCTTATTAAATCAATGGTGACGGCCTCATCGTTTCAAGCTTTGTTGGAAACCACATGTTTAGTACGTCACCATGTTAACTGTGCTGCCCGTTGTTTTCCCTATTAATGTTGAATAAAGACCCACGCTCCCCAACAGTCGGAGTTAGAATGGAGAGAGACAAAACAAGCAAAGGAGGTAGACAAAATAAATATTGATTGAGCATGCCACCACACTGGCTTATATGAGATGTCTATAGTACATTGATCCTGCAATGAGTGAAATACAAATGGGCAAATTCTGAGCCTTGGATTAGCTCGTCTGGGTTGGCTTCTCAAATGTCACCTTTCCCTCCTTGGTGAGGACGGCGATACTTTGGCTGACACCTTCAATTTCTTGCTCAATTTCCCCAATTGTTCTTGAGCCAGGAGATTTCTTGGCAGATTCGCCCGCATCAGTTGCTTGTTGTTTCCCGGCTGATTCTGTCGGGAGAATTGTCAGGCCTCGAGGTGCACTAGCAAGTTCATCAACCTCGCGGCTGCTCAGGATCTCGCTGACTCGGGATCCACGAGATTGCAGAAGGATGGTTGAGGGCCCATCGAATTGAAGAAACAATCTGTCTCCCCAAATCGTCCTCCGTGACCATGTTCGCAGTCTATGGAAGACCTTCATAGCTGTTTTCCACGCATCTGTATCCGCCATGGCTTTGATAAATTGTGTGTTTTGAACCAAGGACGGGAGACTTTTTAGTCCTGGAACCTGGAATTTCAAAGTCGTAGACTTGAAGCGGTAAGGGCGAGGGGGGTTCGAACCCGTGGAGTAGGCCACGACATTACTTGAAAGTTTTAGCACCCACAATCGTAGAATGACAGGCAAATATTATACACACCTAGGATGGACAACGTATTGCTCGCCAGCCTTTAACTCAACAGAGTATAATTGACCGCTTCCAACCAATGCAAGTAGCCCTCTTCCTGTGACCTCAGAGCTACCCCAATGAGCGACGCTCTTCATAAAATTAGCCGGGCTTCTTCCCACAAGACCAAGGGTACGAACCAGACTTGTGTTTATTGTCGGTCGAATAGCCAACGAACGACCTGTCCAAGCGAGCAGCGCGCGTCTTTGGGCCACCATCCAGTCTACGGAGCCATTGAGATGAACGACGGCGAAGGAAGTAACGGGAGATCGAGTGGAAATTAGGGCAGTAACAGGGCTTGCGGAGGAAACCTACGCGACTCCGATTAATTTCCTAACTTCTGAAGTGTGGGGGCAGTGAAGTACCTTTTGATATAGGAATGGCACGCCAACGGGAGCTCGGCGGAAGGGCTCCAAAACACTCAAGGTTGAGATGACCTATACCAACACCAGTCAGTCAATGCACAGGCAAGAACTATCAGTCGATCATCTCACATTATCCGCCTTTCCGCTCAATCCTACCAACGTTCCCCGCCGTGTGTAGAGGTTCTGCGAGGCCGAAAGCGAAACCGATAGTAACGAGTAGGGTGCTCCCACGACATCGAATCGCGCATCTGCATTCCCATGACTGATTAGCAAACCGGCACTGGTTTCTCCTTCAAAACGTAGACCACAAACCAGCAGACTCAGCTGAGCTAGGGGTATCAACAATGGGCAGGTTGCTCCCATTGACCGCCGCAGGTCGTTCCGTGGGTGCGGAACGAATCTGGACGTATCTTGCTTGTGCTCCGCGATGCAATGACGCAGGTTGTCGCGATTGGCGAGGGAGGACTCGGGTCCATGTGAGGGTCCTCACGCCTCGCCTAAGGGGTTGGGCCATTGTCCTGTCTGAGAAGCTGCCCAGGGGAAGCAAGTTGAGAGTGGACAGCGAAGAAGAATGTCTGTCGCTTCTCCCTCCGCGGTAATTCTTCCTTGCAGGCCCGGCCCTGCGATTCCGAATCGGGTAAAGTGCATAATCAGCCTTGGCATACCAGGATGTTTTGTGTAGTGTACACCATATCCTGCTGGTTAAACATCTACAGAGCAGTCGCTGTCCTTGTGCATTTTATCTCAGTATAACTTAGGATGTGTGAAATCTCAAAGCATTCGTCGCAGCAATACAAAATGAATGGGAACCCGTGAGTGCCTGAGATATCGGGCATATCGGAAAAACCAGGCCCCGAGTAGCTTTTGCGGATCCCGACTTTTTTCCCAAACATCGCTGACGACCAAGTAGTGACGCAGGGCCGGCAAATCCAATGCGTCTTGTACTAGGACGTATATTTCTATATCTCCGATAATTGAATATACCCCTATTATTCCCCAGTCATGGCGGATCCCTCAGCCTCCGCGCCGGCTTCCGGCCAGGCCGCGAAGAGCGCGCCCAAACCGCAAAACCCAGCTATGAGAATGATGGGTGAGATTCACTGCGCTCTTACGTTGTTTTAGGAAACAAGCTGCTAACAAACACCTGGGTTAGGACTTCCTAACTTTCGCTTCAAACTCCCCTCTCGGAACTGGATGATTTTTCTCACTATAACCGGCTCTTTCACTGCAGCCCTCGTCTACGACCGCAGAGAGAAACGCCGCGCACAACAGAAGTGGTGTGATCTCGTCGCCCATCTCTCGAAAGAATCTCTACCCATTGAAGAGACGAGAAGAAAGTTGACTGTGTTCTTGGCTGCGCCTCCCGGAGACGGGCTCCGAAACGCCCGCGACCACTTCAAGGAGTACGTCAAGCCAATTCTGGTGGCCGCTGCGCTGGATTACAACGTTATCGAGGGCCGGAGGGAAGGCGATATCAGGGCTGCGTATGCGGAGCATATTCGCAAGCAGAGACGGCGGGCTGGCGAGGCGAGCACCGTTGTTGAAGAGTCCACTAAGGAAGATGTCGTTGCCGAGGCAAGGAAGAGTATCGGCGTGCGAGATGAACCCGGTCCAAAGGGAGATCTTGTTCTAGGCCGTCACACTTGGAAGGAGTATATCCGCGGTCTACATGAGGGTTGGCTTGGTCCAATTGACCCTCCGCCGGTACAGGAAGAACCTCCCGTTGTTGAAGTCCCCGAAGTGCCAGCGCCCACCGAAGGGAACGCAGATGCCCCATCTGCGGATAAAACAGAGGAAAATAAGGAAGAGGAGAAGAAACCAGAGAAGCCCAAGGGACCAACACCCGCCTATATCACGCCCGCCGACTACTCCTCGCAAAGCCTCCCCCCTTCCATTCCACAAAACCTCGACGGTTCCACTCCTATCCCCTTCCCACACCTCCTCGGCTTCCTGAACACTCCAATCAGAATCTACAGATACCTGAACCAGCGCCACGTCGCAGACTCAGTCGGCCGAGATGTTGCAGCAGCCGTTCTCGCATCCTACGCGCGCCCATACTCCGAGTTCGAGTCAACCCCCGATACCACCGACTCCAACGCCATCCAATCCCCAGCCACTCAGGTCTATGAACAGCAGACGCAACTCGAACACGAGGAAAAGGACTGGCACAAATCTGTCCATAAGCCGGACGAGACCAACCCAGACAGAGAACGCGAATGGGCAAGCGATATGGTCCTAGACCCGCGCATCGCTAGCCGCATGCAGCGCTACCTCCTCTCTTCTGAAGAAGAATCTCGTGCGCAGCGCATCGACCAGGGTATCGAGTATATTCTTGGCGAGGAACGACCCCCGGCTGTTCCCTTCTGGCAACGGATGTGGATCAAGTATGGCTATGGCGAAGATCCGGAACTTGCTAAAAAGAAACCTATCCTTGGTAACATTGATGGGGAGGACGCATAAAGCGGGGTTCGGCATTTATTGATCTACTGGTCGCTGTGGAGTGCCAATTTATGACGATTTCTTATTTAGAAGGTTGGAGGGACTCATGTTCATTCATTCATATATAGTTTTTGGCTGGACATTCGCGACGAACGTGGCGAAGAAATGTTCCACCGAGCCCCAGGTGCACGGGGAGGATAAGGACTGTACTATCAACTACTCCTACATTGTACAATAATTTATGCATATTTTGTTCGTAGAAATCTCTCATGAATTTAGGCCAGCTTAATTTCTTTTCTTTTCTTTTTGTAGAGGTCGGGTATCATTTCGGTAAATCGCTGAAACAGGACAATTATACATTCAGTATTATAGTTCTCATCAAATGATTGGAATGTTCCCACGTACAACCGAGTGGCTGTCGTTTTCCCCGCCGCACAAAAAAAACGGTTATTCAGACCCAAGTGCCCCGATCGCAGTAGTCATTGGGCAGGAGCTACTCACGACGAGTGTAAACAAGCCAGCTTGAAGAGGAATCGAAGCATTTGCCTGGGAAGCGGAAGGGTTCAAAAACCCATTCCAAGTACAGTCATTTAAGTATAATTCTCTGGGCTCGAGTTCTCGAAGTTGAAGTTAGTAGTATATTGGTAATCAGCTGCAGCCAGTACTGTAGGTTCCTCGGGAATATAAGCTGGTAGAGACGAGGTATAGCTCAGAGCGGGTGTCAACAATTGGGCGCGGACGGGCGTAGACAGCTGAAGAAAATCTTGCAGTAGGTGATGGAGACTCCACTTCCGAGCACCGTACTGAAGGAGACTGTCTACTTGGTTTAGATACTCAATGGCGCGTTCGTAGCATTGTAGACAGGCTTCAAATTCCAAAACCGGAGGGCTAGGGCAGTCGCCAGGTACCTGAGGTATAGCCGGGACAGGGCTCACTAGGACGTCTGCACTTTGGCTGAGGACGTTGATGAACTTTCGGCTGATTTGATAAACACGCTTAATATCGAGGGAAGTCATCATGAACAACGATGTTTGATTCTCCAGAATCTGGTGCAGTTGCCGGACGTAATCTATGCAGCGATTGAAGAGAAGCAGTTTGCTATAATTGCAAAGTGGGGGGTGACGGGTTGACGGCGAGAGGATAATGATGGTTGTGTAGAGGAACTCCAAGCGATATAAGATAGGGAGAAATTGCGATGGATTCGTGGTTAAGTTGTTGTACCATTCGGTTGCCTGCGAATAAAGTACCCAGGTTGACGGCGGAGTCTGGGAGGAGGACTCGATCGCAGTAAAGTACTTTTCTTCGTAAGCGCCAGACAGTATACGTCTGATTCTGACCATATTCCAGGCTGGCTCCAAACTGCGAGAAAAGATATAGCTCTGATCTGTTTTTGCGCAAGACGGGAGAGCGACATTCAGGGTGTCATCGGCAAAAGAGAAGGTTTTATCCATAGCGGCACTAGTAGCCCTATAGAGTTCCCAATTAGCGCGCCGTCAACCCAAGTCAATTGCGGTAAAATAGCAAATACCTATCAAGAGAGTAAACGCAATGAAAAACGCGACGTCGAAGATCTTGCTGTTCAGAGGGTACAGTTTCCGAATGATGATCTTGGTGCAGTCCCAGATCTACGAGCACCCTGGCCGCCATACCAACAAGGTACCATGTCCTAAAATGGGCAGGGTCAACAAGAGAATACTGGGCAAGAAGCATGATTGCCTGGATTCCAACCAAAGTCCCAGGGCGAAGAACTTCTTCAGCATACTGCAATGCTTCTTGGATAAGAGGTATGGCCTTCCGGTGATTGCTATCCATTGACGCATTAGACATGGAGCTATACGCAGTAGCCAACACCATTCTCACGATCCAATTATCAAACGGTTTCGCAAAGTGCGCGCCTTTTTGGTAAACAGTATCGACTGAGGCCCAGAAGCTTGTTTCTTGAAAGAAGGGCAGCTGGACAAAGAAAGTGTCAAAATAATGCTGTATGATCGGGGTGATCTCGGATCGCGGTGGTAGCGGCCGAGGTGAAGATCTTGGGATCGGTTCACCAAGAGAAACAGATAGAAGCAGGTTGGCGAAGGAAGTATTGGATGTGATACCCTGAAAGTCTCTCGATGTCGCACTAACAGATCTGAACCGGGTGTCAGTATAGGAAGTAACCAATATTTCGAGAAATAACTGACAGGTAACCAAAGTCTCCAACTAGATCATCTATATTTGATACCTCTTGGCGATGTGCGTTAGTGACAAGGCCCGTAGACGAGGTAGAAGTTATTGAGCTTTCGTGGACGATGCCTCCTGCACCACCAGTGAGCATTTCTTTCCGCTGGCGAAGTTCTGCGGTTCTCCTCTCGAGTCGTTCGCAATAAGCTTCCAAGGAGCCAACATAGCTCCTTTCTTTCCCGCGGGGAAATTCGTCGCTACTCGAGCAAGTATCCGTCTTCCCTGCTCGTTCGCAAGCGGAACAAGCGGGGAGCTTCCCGTCGCATTTGATTTTGGCTGTTCGACATCGTGAACATGCGGCAACCGGCCGACTGACTTTGAGCAGTGGTCTATCCAAGAACGAGGGATCGGACATTCTAATTGCACATGTTCCCTGCAAAATTAATCCATTATCAGCACAGAGCTCACAGGCTAGTTGAGCTTTCAATGTTCCACGGAGACGTGGCCAAATACAGGACCATTTCCCACGGGAATTGGTGTGTTGCAAAGTATGAATAGAGGCAAATACTACTCAAGTTCTGGAAGTATAAGTTCAAATAAAGAGAATTGTCATTAGTCACTCACCGCTTAGGGTATATGCTGTAGCTCTATAGAAGATCGGATGGATGGTTCAAGCCAGGACGATGCAGTTGGATAAAAGTCGGGGTCCGAAAAGTCAAGAACCAGGGCTGCTATCAGAACGGACAAGATTCAAGTTCCATTGCAGATCAGTATCAACAAGGTTTAGTAGAAAGGTCCGGGCGTGTTTCGAGGATAAACTAATAGTTCCCGACCTGTTCGGCACATGGTGAGTTTCAAGCGCAGCTCCAGTACAAGGCCAAAACCAGGTTGAGACAGAGCATACCTTGGAAGAGCCGTGCCCGGAGGGTTGCGGCCGGGTGCAGCAGAACCTTAAAGGGAGGCAGATATCAAGCAATGGACAGGAATAAGCGGAATAGAATAAAAGCAATGAAACTGGGCCAAACTGAACAGAGTAAGAGACTGCCCCGCGACATCAACGCCACGCTAGGCTCAACATGGCATGTCACGAGCACTGAGGGAGGGCTCTTCGCACGTGATAGCTCCCTTCCTCGGATTATGGACAGCTCGAACAAAGAGACTACACAGCCCCCTTGGAACCTGGAATGGAAGAGAGCCAAACCACGCCAAGAGCATGTCTAATTGGACGTGTTATGAACATTTCAGAACAAAGTGCACGCCATCTGGATTCGAGTAATACCCGGGTACGCGCAGATTCCACGGTTTCTTTCCTTTCACCCCACCACCCCACCCCCAAGAGCAGCCTCGATCAGGTCCTATGCGCACCCGGCTGTATCTCCACTGCGAGCATAATGTTGTTGGACAGCTCAGGCGTTTTTCAAGCTGCAGAGATAAGACTAGAAATACATCGGCGTTGATTTGGATCCAAATCTGCAGTGTGCTGCAGTGGATGTGTAAACGCAGCCCAAATCCCACCTGGCGATTACGTATACCTGCGCAAGGCTTCATTGGCCTGCCGGTTGGGTTTAAGTTGGGGCCGTTTCCCCTTCATCATTTCGACGTGCCCCGAAGCAAGCTTTAGCCTCGTAGATTTTCTTTCCTCCATAATTATCCGGCACTCGGCCTCCTTCCTTTTGCGATCTTGCATTCAGCTTCACTTCGCCAGCCACTCCTGTCGGATTTCAGCAGCTGTCGTCGAGTGTGATCCGTGTCGATCAAATCGGCCACCAAGTGGGCCCAGGCCATTAAGGCCATCGTCAACTTCGTCCCTCTTCGCGACAACCACCCTCGTCGCCCGAAACGTCAACCAGAGCTGATCACACAGGCAATCGAGCGATCAGATGCCCTGAAACTCACCCTAGGGGTCAACTGCATCGTACTTCTCGTACGACCCTCGTCCATTCCTTCGACGACGCCGCGCATCCAAGCCTTGTTGAACCGAACATGACTATGTCGAGATCGCAAATTCGCCCGGGTTTTAATTCGTATCACACAGTCGCCTGTGCCTGATGGCCTGACCTGAAGCCGTTCTTGCAGATTAAACTGAGAGAGGGTTACCGCAATTTCAGAGGCTGTATGGAATACCGGAGAGATACTGTCTGCTTTACAACACCCACCCCCACTGTTTCTGGCCGATCGATTATTGCACCCTCATAAGAAACCATGGCGTCCCTGTGCGATCCAGCCTCTCAAAAACCTCAATTTACAAACCCATGGGAGACTTCACCACCCAAAGTAACTGACGGGTCCAGCCCTAGCTTCGACGGTCGAATCGCACACACACTGGCTGCGTGTACCAGGTGCAGACAGGTACACCGTCTCTTCCGTTAGTTCTGGGGGCGATTCACTAACAACTTGTATAGCGCAAATCCAAATGTGATCCCGGGATCCCAAAATGCGGCCCATGCGATCGAACCAACGCACAATGCGTATATTACGACTCTGCCCGGAAACGCACAATACCAAGGACATATATCGTCCAATTACGTGAAACTGCCCGCAGACTGGAGAAAGAGCTGGAGGAGGAGGAGAAAGACTTTCAGCAGGCCGCCGATGCAGAACTAATTGTCCGTGGAGCCGGTCGCATTCGGTTCAAAGAACATGATGAAGCCAGATATCTAGGGCCATCAAGTGGTATCGCAATCACACGCTTGGTCATGGAAATGGCTAAGCAGAATACGCACTCGAAGAGCATCAAAGATGTTGTCCCCGAATCTACTGCGCAAAAAATAAAGGACGCATTCACTCAAGAGAGTGGAAAGCCAACTTCCAAAGTGTACCCGATGATCAGCTTCATAGCCCAACCCGATTTGCCCCTTAAGCATGTGACATATAGACTCATTGATGTCTTTACCGTTAAGGGTACGTTGAAACTTCTTTACCTGAAATATTTACCTAGCTAATCATCTGTCCAGCGCAAGCCATGCTTCCAACGTTACACATCCCCACCTTCCGCCAGGAGGTGGAGGAGGTGTTCAATGGTTCTAACGATCCATGTCAAAACTTTCAATTACGAATGGTAATTGCAATAAGTATGCAAAAAATGAGCACGGCCTATGCTGGCCTAGCGGACAGTTATTACCTCGCCGCATTGCCGTTTCTCGAAGCCTCTCTTCGAAGAATGGACCTGAAATCATTACAGTGTCTGGTTCTAATAGCCCAGTATTCTCTATTAACACCCACGCGAACCGCTGCGTACTGGGTTGTTGGCATGGCCATCAAGTTATGCCAGGATTTGGGACTCACTGAAGAGTCAACAATAACGCAGTCACGCACAGGAAAACAGTTAGACCCACTAGAAGTGGACATGCGAAGGAGGCTATTTTGGATCGCTACATCAATGGAATTTGGTCTCTCGCATAGCCTGGGTCGCCCGAGTTGTTACTCGGTCAGTCATGATCACATCCACGTCAAGTTCTTTGAGCCAGTGGATGATAAGTATATTACTCGAGAGGGGGTCCATCCTGATGCAAAACCCATCCTTCCCAAGTGTATTGCCATACACTTCTTCAAAATGCGCCTTTTGCAACTTGAGATTCGACGAGCCCTTTACTTAAATAAACGAGATACTCCGGTTGACGACCATGACCCATGGTTTTCACAAATGCTTGCCAAACTGGATCAGTGGGTAGCATCGTGTCCTACCCATGATGGGGGAAGCGGCTTGAGCGGAAAATGGTACTGAAACGTTCCCCACATTTCTCTCCGTCAATTAAACTTACTCATAATTTTTAATGTAGGTTCCAAGGCCGGCTGAATACCATGATAGTTTTCATGTACCGGCCATCTCCCCAAATCCCAGAACCATCAGTTTACGCTGCACGGCGCTGTTATGAAGCATCTGTATTCAATGTCTTCATGCACAGGGAGCAGATTGAGACTGGGTCAGTTGATTTGACTTGGATATTTACCCAGTCGCTCTTTATGGCACTGAACACTATTCTTTGGTCTCTTTCCTATCCTGAGATAAGAAAGGAGCATCAGTTGAAAGAGGTTGAGCGCAGCCTTGAAGTGGCATTAGAGGGCATCATGCTAGCTGCAGAACGATGGCCAGGCGTGAGATCAGCCGGCATGCTCTACGAAAATTTAATCGCCGCGTGTCTCAGGGCATATAATACGGAAGAATCGTTTGTTGTTCACTCACCTTCAAACCCTTCCAGCCATCCAACGCCAGCATCCTCCCAGGACGTGCAATCTCCACCATCTATAGCAAGTCCCGCCAGCACCGAAGCTTCAATCCACTCACAAAATCTCCTAGCGGGTGGTTCTTCAGTCGGTGAAACTACATCTGCTGGTACTTTCTCCAGAGGCCCGTCAGCAGATCCAACGCTTCCTTTCCCACCACCAACAACAACTGCACCATATATTCCTAATGATCTAGTCAACGCTGTTGAGGCCCCTTCATGGGATTCCAGCGTCTCACCAGATGCAGCACCCGAAACGCAGACTTCATTAAGCTTCGAGCTGCCTAATGATACACTGTTGTCCGGGTCAGACTTAAATTTCGATCCATCAACGCCTTTTAATTCATTTCCCTCGGTTGTTCCTGGGTTGCCGGGCTGGGACCCTAGCTTCTCACTCTCTTCGACTACCGCAGGCGGTCCATTAGCCTATTCAGACGCAACAGCGGATCCAATGGGTTGGATTGATACTCTTGGAGATCAGTACTCTCAGTATTTCAATGGGGAGTATCCCGCAAACCCATGGAGAGGGAGAACATTAAGTCAGCAGGAACAGCTGGAATTGATGGATTCGCTGGCAGACCACATTCCAGACGTCACTACTCAGCTTGCGATGCAAACCGCGACAGCACATTACCAATCATAAGAGAACCAAGTAAGCACTTGCCAATATATATGTGTGAAAGAAAGGGCATATGGAGTATATATCTTTTATTTCTAAAAATATAGGTAATCCACTAGTTATACTTAATGCACCTGTCAAGCACAAACCGAAAGTAGTACTTCGTGGCGAACAAAGACCCTGCATATGGACGATATATTACGCCAGTATGAAATATACATACCGTAAGTTACAAGCGGGACCGACGCCTCCAAGTTCCGAATCCAGGAAGGGCGCTCGTCACGTGCACTCCGTCCTCTTGCCGTCATCCAACATCTCTTTCAAGTCCCAGCTGGTTTCACTTCAATAACGCAGATCAAAGGGTCATCAACCTGCCCACCATCCCCAACCCGCTGACTATTGACACTCCTCTCATTCGACTTTCTTGATCGTATCGTCACCTTAGCGACAACTCTGCTGGCTTTCAGAGCAGTCTCATTGGCATGTGCGACTTCTAAGACGGTCGTCCCAACCTCGCTCGAGCGAACCTCGATCGACTGTCCCTCCCGTTCTCGTGGTCTGAGATTGCCGTAATCCGTCATAATCTTGCAAGTATCCGATTGAGATCTTCTTGTAGGGCTACAGGATTAGGCTATCCAGACTCCCGCCGCCGTTTTCCCTCCCTCCCTCCTCCTAAAAACTTCCTATGTCCGATCGCACCCCCTCGGCACCACTCCGCACAGGGCCCCTTTCACCGTCGTCTCCCGCTCCCTTCACATCTCCCAAAGACAGTTTACAACCGGCTATTACGCTCGACCAGGTTCCCCAGACGCCGACATCGCCTCCGTTGATGTCGGTAAGCGCTCCGAACAATGCCTCCGATTTCGCATCCATGCAAGCATTACCCAACCAGGCGACATCACAACCTGCTAGCCTCTCATCTCCGCCTTCCTCCGCACCCATGTCTACTCAGACCTCTCAGCAGCCAACATCAGGCATAACAAACTCGTTTCCGACGCCAGCCAGCAGCGTCGATCCAGACCATAACGATAAATCCTTCGGTACAGGGATATCAGAAGCAGGAGCGTCTGCCCCGGCTGGTGCCAGTGTTGTGCCGACTCAACAATCAGAAGACAGGCGGGCAGATCATGACAAGAATTTGGAATCCCTTCAGACGGGAACAGGGGTACGGGATTTTGCACAGATGGGCGGCTCTTCCCAAGTTCCCCATGGCGACGCCATGGAGCTTGACACAGAACCATCAGCACACACTAACTCCAATTGGCCGAGCTTAGAATCTTTGCAGAAAGAATTCTCGTCCGCCTTCCATCTTTGCAAAAGCTGTAAGAGCTCCCCAGTCCTTGCTGTGGTTGTTACCCCTCATACATCTCACAATGTTCTGCAATCTCTGCTTGAATTGAAATCTTGTTAACACTCGCCTTCGAAATTTTACAGCCCATATTGCGACTGGACCAGACCCATCAGTCGACCTTATCTCGCTGTATGGCCTAGGACCTGTAGCAAGATCGGTTGCAAGAAATGACCCCGTCACGGGAGAGAAGATCAATCGGCTTCGGAAGTCATACGAAGGCAAACTGAAAGGTTTAGGTCTGTCCGGAAGGAATAAACCGGTGAAGCACGACCCATCAACTCCTGGTGGGCTCCGGCAGATGACAATGTGGCCCGAAGAAGAGTGGCAAAACCAGAAAGTTTTTGGCAAGGAAATAAAGGTGGCAGATATGGATTCAGCACTACACAATCTGCAGATGAAAGCTATGAAAATGGAACCAGGGCCGGTACCGAACAACGATTACTGGGAAGACGTGCTAGGTCATGACAAGCCTACGAAGAATACAAACACAGGAGAAGCTGCGAAAAAGCCTGCTGCCCCTCAAAGTTCTGTTCGAACTGCTGCACAACCGAATGGAACACCTATATCAACAGAGCCAGAGCGAAGTCGCCCGAGCCGAGGGCGCAAGAGGAATTATGATGACAATAGCTTTGTGGGGTACGGCGAGGGCTATGCGGATGATGATGATGAGAGCGGATTCTATTCGAATAGCGAAGGAAGTGGAAAGAAAAAACGGAAGAAGGTATGAGTCGCGGCTGCATCATGCTTATCAATACTGATCCTCCTCTTGAAGGATCACGTCTCCAAAATTCCTGCACCTCCGGACAGAGGGGGTAGCTACGGAGTCGGGATGTTCGGGATTGGTGCGAGGTGAACAACTATGACGGGATCTTTGCAGGCCAAAAGCAGACTACATATTCCATCACCTCCCGTCACGTCCTCTTCCGCTATGCCTTGAGCATGGCTACATTACAGATCCACTGCAACTGCTCGCATTGTCGCTGGCTACAGTGGAAAGATATGATATACAGAGCTCGACGACATTTTTCGTTGTTGACTTATTCTCAGTACATTTTTATTTTTTTTTATTTGCATCACGGTGCTGGATATACCCGGCTTACTTGATCGGACGGCGTTTGGGGGTTGGTTTATTTGCGGAAGGTTTATTTTTGGCTTCTGCGTCTTCTGAACGGCAGAAGCATCAAATGCTGTAATGTTTTCTTTTCCATTCTGTGTTAATGGACCCTGGATCCGTTGGTCGGGTTTCTATTTGATTTTCTATGTTGTCTCGACGCATTACGATAGCGAAGGACGCCTATTCAGAGTCGCTTGAGCGGCGAGCAGTACAAAGCAGATAGATAGAAATCAAAGATGTCTATCAACCTCGCTCTCGTCTGAGTAGATACGTACATTCTCAGCAGGATAATGCTGCATTCCCCCTCCAAATAGATAAGGGTGGAAACTGGAAAGCGGGGGCAAGTCTCCGCCAATCGCAACCACAGTATATAATACTCCCCCATCCATCCTCATAAGTTCTTAACAAAATCCATATCCCTTCTCTCCTACTTTCGACGTACCTTCCACCTCCAATTAACGCCAAACAACACCAAATCACCCAAAATGGCAGATCCCTACCAAAAGACCCTCACCCTAATCGACACCGCACACTCCGCGGACCCTAAACAAGTCACCCCACCTCAAGCTCAATCCCCAATACCCTACGAACTTCTCTATGCCGACAAAATGACAAAATACCTCTCCCTGCGCTCCCCTTCCGCTCCCGACGCCCTCCGCCTCGCCGTGCGCGCCCAACACCTCCGTCGCTGGGAAGTCCCGCGCACCGACTTCCCAGCCACAAAGATCGGATACCACAGCTGGCGCAGCCACCTGGCGCGGCGACAGGCGGAGATTGCGCGTGGATTCTGCGTTGAAGCCGGGTATGACGAACCCTTTGCGGAACGGGTTGCGGCGCTTGTGAGGAAGGAGGGGTTGAAGTCCAGCGGGGAAGATGCAGACGTGCAGGTTCTTGAGGATGTTGCCTGTCTTGTGTTTTTGGAGGACCAGCTGGAGGATTTCCAGAGTGGTTATGACGAGGAGAAGGTTATTGGGATTTTGCAGAGGACTTGGGCCAAGATGAGTGAGAAGGGGAGGGAGTTGGCACTAGGGATGGAATTGAGTGGGAAGAGTAAGGAATTGGTTGGGCGGGCTCTTGCGGATGGTTCTGCTGCTTGATTGATATTGCGGCTAAGGAGAATTTTGTTATACTGGAACATAAACTTTTTTTTCTTCCCTTGGAGCCGGTATTTTGCAGATTACACGGAGTTGTGCATTCTTGGGTATACCTATTGTACAGGAGAGAGTTCTATTTTGTCCAGGCTATGCTACGCTATATGATGGAAGATGACACGAAAAAGAAGAGTGGAGGTTATGACTCGCCTCCGTTTATCAACCGCACCAGTCCAATTGCCGCGCCAGCAGCGACGCCTCCAACGACAACCATCTGGATTCCTCCTTTAACTCCAGCAAAGATATTCTCACTGCCCTGCCACCCTCGTACAACACCCGTCTTGATATAACCAAAAACGAACAATGTGACGACCATAACCGCAATGCTGCAGTACAATGCGAAGATCACATGGCTGACAAAGAAATATGGAACAAGCGGGATGAACCCGCCAATGAAGTATCCTAGGGCTAGAGTGATCGCACTCGTCCAGGCCTGGTTGCAGTCTGGTTCGGATTCTTTGTGGTGGAAGGTAATGAGGAATTCGCGAAGTCTGTCAGGGGAGGCATGTAGGGAGGTGTTGATAGGAGCGATTGCATCCTCAGGAACACCGTGCGACGAAAAAATGTCGTAGACTATGGCTTGCGTTTCACCGGGTGATGAGTCGATAAGGTCTTCGGTTTCGCGGACGGTGGTCTGGTATGATTCTCTGCTGAAGGTTAATATCTCGACGCAATTAATGTGGGGATCGACTAATTAAAGACATACGCTTCACTCTTCGCACCGACATATCCTCCTAGACCCATAGAGATCGCGCCTGCCGCTAGCTCAGCTAGTCCACCGAGCACGACAACCTTTGTGTTTCCTAACGCTGAGAGACCAGCACTCAAGGCGAAAGGGACAGTCAGGCCGTCCGAAAGACCTAAAATTGCATCCGATACGATACGGGGATCGATGCGGGCCCGCGCGCTACCACTGCCTGTGCTTTCAACATCGTCGTTGGAGGGTGATGGCGAAGAATCGCGGAACGACCCATATGATCTAGATCGCTGTCCTTCTATGTCCTGATCCATGCTTCCGTTGCTGCTGTTCGTAATGGTAGCAGTGTCGTCGTCTTCTTCCTCTCTCGTGAGCAGCGGTTTTCCTATGCGACTGTTAGCGATCCTCTGCCCTCGGCTCTCTTCATTGTCGGGGTGACGAACTATAGCTTGGTTGCGTGGATTTCACACGTCTCTCTGGAAATAGCTTTTGCTTGATAAATAAGAGGGCCATCTTGTGCACCTTTTATTGAGGCCTCTTTGTTTGTTGTTGGAAGCAATTCCCAGGGCCTTTTCTTTGCAGCGCCGACCGTTGGAATCGTCCAAATTGGGAACAATGGAGCTTTGGGGTCTGGACTCCTGACGTCACTGCGCTAGAGTTAATCTCGACGGATATCTTCAGCAGCCGACCAAGGTCAAAAGGGTGTCGGATAAGGAGGTGCAAGTAGATTATAGGATTTTCGGGAAGCGATCGAGCAGCAGAAGCAAGATATTTATCCTCACCGTCTTGCTAATTCCGAGCTATGGACGTGCACGTTTGGTGTTCCCAATTGTTTCTTTTTTCTTTTGCCCTCGCCGCGTCCACCCCCACTCGGCCAATCACCATCCACAGAATTGTCAGCGAACAATGATCTGCTCGAACACCACGCACAAAGCAGCAAGCACAGCTCCCAATCAGTTCAAGGTGATTGGTTCTGACACTGCATGATTACATTTGTGTGCATCATCAATGGCCGGTTCTTGTTGATCTGGATTTTCGGTCTTTTGCCTCGCCTCCAAGGTGGTCACCTCAGTCTCTTCATGGATACACTTGATGGTGGGTATTCTGGTGCCGTCTCATCTCGGTGAATCGTCGGGCAGGGCGAACATCACGGCAGAAAACGGCAGAAACGTTGGATCGACGCAAGCTAGGATCTCGCTTCTGAACTATTTGACCCAAGAGCTCGTCAAGGATGTCAATCAAGCACTCTCTGGGAAAAAGGGCCGTACTCTGGTACGTATCACTGCCCCAGAGGACAACTGCTCAACATAGCTCCACTCTAGCACTAAGGGCAAAACGTCGCCAGGAGGACGCACAATAATTCCGGGCGAGCGAATCCTTATTCTCGATCCAAATTCCAACTGGTATCAAAAGAACCCCTTGTAGCGTGAGCTAACGAGTTACAAGTCCCTGGACATTGTTTCCGGCGCGGGCCTAGCCTTATCCTGTTTTCCAACATTATTAGCGGGCAATTATTGGAAGTCCTGAAGCTTTGACGGGGTCCTGGTGCTTTCTATCAACCCTCAGATGGGGGATACTCCGTTTCCCCCAGACGCAATATGCACTAGGGATTGGTTATTTTTGTCTCAGGCAGATCATTGAAACTCGGTCCAAGTCACGATATCTGGTTACCAGTTCGCCTCGTTTCCCCTGACCCGCGACCCTGAAACTGGAGGAATGCAGCCCATATAAGGGGGCCTAAGGCTGCCACACCACCGCGGACTGCAATTTTGATGTTCTCTCACGCACGGACCACAACCACACCCGCCAATCACAGCCATCCATTCATCCGCAACTTTGGTATATAATTCAACTAATTCTAGACACTATTGCCTTCGGGCATTTGGTCAATTTGAAACGATACAGAGAAGATTAGCATGGCCCCTGCACTAAGGATGACACGCTCAATCAAAGAGAAGCTACCAGTTTTTTTTTGCACTCCCCGACTTCATTTGACTGAGTTTCGCTTAAAATGGTAGCCTGCTCTTACTCTGACAGCAGCGGTTCGAATCCGGGTGTAGCTCTTTTATTTTCCTTTTTTTTTTTTTTCCCTCCACAGACGACTCTAAAGACCTTACAGTAAAACAGTCGGTGGTGATTTATTATTGACAGTACTTCATATTCACATTCATAATCGGCTAGGATATATATTTGTTCTAATACAGTCGTTTCAAGCCTCCATCCCTAAGCAAGCTTATGTACGCCACAGCAACGTGAGTCAAAACAGTCAGCTGAAATCCTAAGCACCGCCTTCTCTCTTCGCATACTCCTCCTCCATGCGTTCCTCATAGAGTCGATCAGCTTCCTCCTTGCTCAAAGGCTGGCCTTGCTCATTAATTGCCGTGGGAAAGCTGTTTCCTGCGAAACTGGTGGTTGTGGTGTTGTCGCCGCCAGTGGTGGCGTTGCTCTGCGCCGAGGATTGAGTGTTGTTTGTAGGGGTATCTTTGGTTTGACTTTTGTCCGAGTAAAGTGGGATAGGCATTTTGGTTATTGGATGCGTCAATGTTTCTTCTTGGGTTTATAGGAATGGGTTATTTGTGAGTGTAGGTTAAAAAATATATAATAAATTGAAGGTCCGGCTTATTAGAGCCGCGAGTGGTTTACGTCACAAGGCGAGATATATATTGGCGATAAAACGTCAAGTCAGGTGATTTTCTAGAAATGCGTGGCGATATGTACGTTATCGATCTACGCGGTACAATTGAGACTGATCTTCCTCATTATGCAATTGGGGCAAAGTCCTGGGAGTTTCAGGTACCGATTTGTTCACTCCTCCATTGCCCTTGCCACATCATGCCGAGGAGGAGGGATCAACGTCTACCAATATTGAATGCGACAACGCATCTTCTGTACACGTACACATATAGGTATCCTAACCATTCAAAACAACTCCTCCGTTCGGGTGTAAACTTTGTCCAGAAATAAAGCTACTGTCCTGGCTAGCGAGGAAAACGAAACAAGTCGCGACCTCGCTGGGCTGTCCCGGACGACCCATCGGCGTTGCGCTGAATTGTTCGATCGCGGATGTGTTCATGGTTGCTGGGATTAGAGGCGTCCAGACTGACTGACTGTTAGCTCGTAGTTCAGAGATGTCTGTGAGATGCCTCTCTTGACATACCTGGTCCTGGACATACGGCGTTAACCCGGATGCCCTTGCTACATTGCTGATTCGACAACCCTCTAGTAAAAGCAACAATTGCGCCCTTGGTGGCTGTGTAGTCAAGAAGATCGGGTCGGCCGATGTAAGGGTTAACTGAGGCGCAGTTGATGATGGTTGAGCCGGACTTCAAATGCGGCAGAGTATACTTGGACATGTAATAAACGGGATGAATGTTCGTGTCGAATGTATTCTCCCACTGAGCCCTGGAGTAGAAGATGTCGTCAGAACAACTCACAGTCCTCCACCGAGAAAGAATGGGTTCGACCACAACTCACTCATCCAAATCCTTAATATCATCAATCATATTCTGCGTCCCAGCATTGTTTACTAAGACATCGATACCACCCAATGACTGCAGTGCCGTCTCAACGGCCTTCTTGCAGTTCTCCTTGGTGCGCAGATCCACTGCTAGAAGATAACACTTCTGTCCGGCCTCCTCTACCCTCCTCTTTGTCTCCTGCGCGTCCTTCTCTTCCTCGGGTAGATAGGTGATCAAGCTTGATGCGCCCTCCATCGCATACAGAATCGCGACCGCGCGCCCGATCCCAGAGTCGCCACCAGTGATAATGGCTTTCTTCCCTGTTAATTTGCCTGCGGCCTTGTATGTTTGATATCCTTGGTCCTCGGAGGGAATCTGCGTGGATGTGGGTTTTGGATTTTCCATCTGGGATTGAAGACCCGGCTTCGTTTGCTGTTGGACGGGGACTTCGTGACCTGTTCAGTGTTTTGGTTAGATGGCGCTTGAAAGCGCGACCTCAATGTGTTGTGTTCCTGTGGATTGCTCACCCGTTTGGAACTGGGACTGAGGTCCGCGAGAGGGTTTTTGCGTTTCTGGCTCCATGACGAGAATCAATCTATTCTGGTAATGGGATGCAGAATGCAACAAGAATTGTGAGTTGGACGGGCGATAACATTGCCGCTGGAAGAAGTTATACTTCATCCTGGCCGAGACCGCCAGGGTCGTCAGTATGACGTCTGATACTGATCCCTGAGAGATGCAATAGCTCCCTTATGAAGTCAGAGTTATAGATAGTTCCTTCCTGACCTTGCATGGTCATTCGACAGCGTTAGAGCTTTTGAGCGAAAGTGATGGACGAGAGGTTCAAGTTTCCACGTTTTTTTTGAAGGTTTCTGTACTTCAGGATAAACAATGACGTCGGACGACGGAGTAGAATTTAGTAGTTCAGCCAAGAACATATACTTGCCATGAGATCAAATAGAATAATGCTTTATTTAATGAATTAACAAGTTGTTGAGTCTAGTTGAAGAGGACTACAAGTAAAGTCTATCGTGGCCTTCGTGGAATCGCGAAACACTTCCACCTCCGCAAACCGCAATCAACCAACATCGAAGACTAACAAGCCTGTCCTGCAGTATCCGTAACAAACCTGAAGCTAATTACAACGAAACAGGCTTGAGAATTTCCAACACATTGTCAAACTTTCTACGGATTCGATTTACGTTCAACCTCTTCTCCACCCTCGAGCCACTGGCTCAAGAACTGATGAAAAGGGGGTCTCTCAATGAGAGGAAAGTGCCAAAGAATACGCCTGTCAATGACCCGAAGGCCGTTGAACAGACCGTTCCGCCGCGCTGTGCAATGCAGGGACCAATCTGTGGTGGACCGCCTTCTTGATCGCAGCCACCCAAACAAGGTAAGTATGAAGAAAGAAAGAAGAAAAAGGATTAAAAGGGCGCTGGGGGGAAGAGGTATTTATGGCCGAGAGGCGGCCAGGAAATCGCGCTAGTCGTAAGCGAGGGAAAACATGAGCTCTGATTTGGCGAATAATGTGGGGTTATTATCACGTGAATTGTAATGTTTTGGCGAGGCTGGGTTATGTCGACAGTCAATTGACATAGACGGTGGTGGTGAAGGGGAGTATTTCACCTTCGCCTTCACCTTCGCCGTCAAAGTGGCAAGACCGACAATTCACTGTTTACATAGTGAAGAAATCCGGCACCATCGGAGTTGATTAAAGCTCGCTAATTACTTCGTACTAGTTGTACTGAAGTACTGTTATGAATAGGCCTCGATCGACAGCGTGAATCTGAATTTCATGCACTTCTTTTCCTCAGTTGATCATAGTGCCTTTCTATAGTTGATGTTGGAATGGACAGGGCACATTGGAATGCTCCAATACAGGGCTACATCGAGTGCGTACTGGTAGTAGATCATTTGGCATCCGATAATTACCGGCAAATCCTTCTACTACTATTAAACACGCCCCTATCAGAAGGTCTTTCTAGCTATGACCGGCGAACCTTTGTGCTTATGACACTGTCTAAGGCCCACGAACTTCAGACCCATAAAACAGATTGCCAGCAATGAATTACCATCCATGATCTATAGTAAATTAACCTCCACTAAGCGCAAGACACGCATCTACCGCCAGACCGACCCTAATAATGGTTGGCGTTAGTCACATTTGCTCATTGACCATTAGGATTGTCTAGAGACTCACCTTCCCTCTTTTATTTTCACCACATCGTCAATAACATCACGGTCTAGATTAGGAAACATATTCGAGAGCGTTTCCACTACGTTGTTATGCTCGGCACGTTGAATCCGCCTGGCCTCCGCATCCTCAGCGCTAGCCTGACGGGCAGCGGCGTCCTGAGCATCGAGTTTCCGCGAAGGCGAAGGTTGTGTTGCACGTAAGGGAGACCTTTCGCCTGAGCGCCGTAATTCTTCGCCACTACCGCGGGGTGGTTGGTATACATTAGGAGTTAGCCGTTGTGAGGCCCCAGCCTGAGGCGCCGTGTCCTGCGGCGAGTCGGGTTCATCCGAGAAAATTCTCCCTATGGTAGTCAACGGCTTTTGGATAGTTCGCAATAGCCCGGATACTGGTGCATTATCTTCTTCCCTAGATTGCGAGGGGTCTCTTTCTCTTTGACTGGGATTGCGTGGCACATCGGCAGATTTTCGCGATGGGCCTGCACTTTGGGCGGATGCTCCCGGGTCCGATATTTCGGATGCACGGTTCTGTTCAGCGATGGCGGAAACGGCCGCTTCGACGTTTCGCTCAAAGTCTTCATCGCTCACGGTTAAACTTGTCCGGTCTAATGTTTCGATAAACTGGATGGCTCCAGACTGAAGACGATGGAGGTTAGCTAACTTGTACACTGCCTTTCACCAGTGTCCGCTGCGCATGTGGCACTTACTAAAGAGGATAGGTAATAACCAGCCTCCCCTCCGAGCTTATCCTGGTTACGGAATCGCAGAATATACTGTATGTTGGACACGAGGTGCTCTGGGTTGGCCTGGAGTACGACGTATATCAAAAGTGGCACGAACGAATCCGCCGAAGTATCTGCCTTCTTTGCGTTTCTCAACAGACCTTTGGTAGTAGATGTATTAGTTCATGAATTTCAGTATTAATACAGAATAAATCCTCACCAAAGATAACCTTGCAGCAATTGAGGATGCAGATGACCTTGTCTCGAGGTGCTCGGTAACCGTTGATTTTCATGAGTTCTGCGTATCATTAGAGAAAGACCATGAGTTATGGAAGTGGCATAAACTCACCCTGTTGAGCAAGATTCAGGAATCGTCGCCCTGAAGAGTTCACAGGCGCAATATCAAGGTGCTCTTCTCGAACCCAGCTGTAAATCCTCATTTTTTGTGCCAATACCTCATCCCGCTCCACATCTTCTTGATGTTGGCCTTTCCGCCAAGGCCCATGCAACCGTTCCATTTCACGACGCTTACTTCTACTCGCGCTCCGTGGAATTGATGGAGGACCGGGTATAATAGGCGAGAATGTCTGGGAGTAAAGTCGGTTCATGACGAGTTTCTCCATACCCTCCTTGGCATTATCAAATTCACTATCGGAGACATCTCGCCAAACCTCGCAGACCGCCATTTTATTGGTAATGAAGGCTAGGAAGTCACTAATGATCTTGACCTGTTCATGAACCATCCATTGTCGTTTCCCAAATTCATGGAGGAAAGAGCGTAGAAATTTGGCAACCGGGTCGGCGGTCCTATGGCGTAATTGTTCCAGAAAACGGTGGAAGTCGAATGGCTGCTCAGGCTCAGGTTCAGGAGGCGGAAGGACTGTTGAAGTCGATGAACGCCGAGTCAAATTGAAATCTTCGGCCGCAGAGTTCCGATGGATGTTACTGGGAACTGGCGCAGGTTGTTTTTCCGAAGATGAGGATCCAGACCCTGCCCTAGGGGCTTGTGGGTTCAGCCCAGCCATACCATGATCTAAGCTCGATTTCCTTGGTGGGAAATGACCCTGACTCCCAAGAAATTGCTCAGCCAGCTCCATCCGTGGGGACAAAACCTGTTCTTGAGTTCCGCCGTCGGTGGTTTCCGCAAATTGTCCCATGATGTTTTGAATCTCCGGCTGAGAATCATCATCTTTCGCACGGTCTTTGCCGCTGTACGCCTTCTGGTCATCACCGTTCGGGACATCTGGGAGCTCCTTCTCTGCCCACTCAGTAGTACCAGTACCGGTACGGCTAAGGTATGGCTCATCCTTTTCCGGGGGAGGGGGCGGGGTCGCACTCGTATCTGATACAGACTTCTGTTCAGCTGTATCAGTTACTATTGAAAGCTGTCCCATCTGTTCCGATGGAGCAGCGCTTTTCTCATTCGTAGTGTTCGGGGTGTCCATGGCGGGTGGAATATCCGATGACTCTTGAGTTCGAAATTCTAATGCGCCTCCCTCTTGTGTCCCCTTCAACTGAGCGTTCTCAGTACCATCGGTCTCGGTCGAGTTCGCATTATTCTTTGCCTGTGTTGCTGATTCGAGACCAGCCGACGTCACTTGCCGCTCAGCCTCATCCCCCTCATTGGGCGTCTCTGACTGAGTTCGCCCTTGTATATTGGGGGTGGGATAATCCGAAGTGCCTGGAGCGGACATATGATATTCGCATATAACAGGGTAGATAAGGGAAAAGGGGGATCTTTTTCGACGTAGCGGTAATTCAGGCGGCGGTATGGATCATGTTGCGGGGAACTTTATTTGGGAGAGACGCTCGCAGGCTTCGGCGGGGCTGTTCTGCGGAGCGGACGAGGAAATCGGGAGGTTGGTCAGGTGTAACAATATGTTAAAGTGCTCTATATTTCCGAGTTAATACTTGGAACCAGTCCGCATATACTCCACCGCTGTAGTGGGCTTGTGAGGTTGAACTATTGACATTGAATCATGAGAATCGGGGGGCGGGATCATAGTTCCGCCGATATCCGAGTGCTCTTTTGAAATTATTCGCGTCGCTGCTCCTTATTTCTCTCGTCGTTTCGTGCCTGAGCAACTCGGACCTTATGGGACCCAGAGGCAAGACAGCATGTGCGGAATCTTCTTCTCACTGACAGCGCAGGACACCCCCGTGGTTGCGGACAAAGATCTTCGCTATTTGCTCGCAAAGCGAGGCCCGGACGAGGGTACATACAGCATTGGCGTGCGCGGCGCGAAACTCAATAAACTGTTCAATTGCGAAGGTGGCCGCCCGTTATGGCTCTCATTTGGAAGCACAGTCCTCTCAATGAGGGGAGATGGTGTCGTTCGACAGCCACTTACTGATAGTGGCAGAACCGGATCTATACTTGCGTGGAATGGCGACGCGTGGAAGATCGCCGGGCAACCTATACCGGAGCGAAACGACACGGAGATCGTTTTCAGTCATCTTCTCCAGGCTTCCACACAGGACTATCTCTCGGGAAATTACAATGGTGTTCCCGATTCCGCTCAGAGAGTAGCAGAAGCTGTCAGTAAAATCACCGGGCCGTTTGCCTTTGTGTTTTATGATGCCGTCAACTTCAGATTATATTTTGGAAGAGATTGTTTGGGAAGAAGGTCTCTCTGCTGGGGCTTCGATGAGTCAGGGAATCTCACGATCTGTAGCCTGTCTTCGTCTCCTGCCTTTGAAGAAATTGAGGCAGATGGTATATATATGATTGAATTCGAAGAAGATCTGTTTGCGGATCACGAACCAATCCCGGCAACGGGTCCTATTCGTTTCGACACGCAGAACATATCAAAAATACCCTGGAGCCATGAGGTTTTGCAGACATATCATATGGTACGACTTAGCGTGTATCTCTATTGTGTTGGCCGGGTCACTGATCAAGCCTTCAGATAAGTCCCATTCCTCCAATGAATAAGGCAACCCCGAATGGCACACCGCCGCCACTAACTACTACATCGTATGTTATCAGAGAGCTGGAAGACAGGCTTCGCCAATCCTTAGCACTGAGGATTCAAAATGTCCGAGAGCCGCCCCTTGCCGGTGATAGCAACGTCAGGGTTGGCGTGTTGTTTTCTGGGGGTCTCGATTGTACCCTTCTTGCAAGACTCGCTCATGAAATCCTACCCACTGGACAGACAATCGATCTTTTGAATGTCGCCTTTGAAAACCCACGGGTTGTAGCTGCAGCGGCAAAGGGGCTCGAGCAGATCTCATCAGCATATGAAGGTTGTCCAGATCGTATCACTGGGCGAGCTGCATTTGCAGAACTTCAACGTGTCTGTCCCAACCGCAACTGGCGGTTTGTTGCGATTGACATTCCATATGTCGTAACTGTTGCGCATCGTGACACCGTCAAGCGCCTGATGCGCCCGCATAACACCGAAATGGACCTTTCTATTGCATGCGCTTTATATTTTGCTGCGCGTGGCCAAGGAACAGCGCTCGATAGCCAAGGTACCTATACAAAACCCTCCCAGTACAAAACACCTGCCCGCGTCCTCCTATCTGGCCTCGGTGCAGACGAGTTGTTCGCAGGGTATGCAAGGCACGGAATAGCATTTTCGCGCCATGGCTTCGAAGGCCTCATTGATGAAATCGAACTCGATGTCAGCCGCCTGGGGAAGCGAAATCTCGGCCGTGATAACCGAGTAATCGCACACTGGGCCCGCGAAGCGCGATTCCCATTCCTGGATGAGGACTTTGTTGCCTGGGTGGTCCAATTACCCGTCTGGGAGAAATGTGGGTTCGGAGTTCCTGAGTGCCTGCCAACAGATACCGGCATTGATCACGAGAAAAAGGCGCTTCGCCTTCTAGCACTTAAGCTCGGATTGGAAAGTGTTTCGCGTGAAAAGAAACGTGCCATTCAATTCGGCTCTCGAACGGCAAAGATGGAAAAGGGCAAGGTTAAGGGCACAGATGCCTTGGGTTGAAATCCAACCTCCTCAGTCCATACACTACAACCCCTTCGGAGACACAGACAGCAATGATGACAAGACATGGATCAGATACTTCCGAGGCCTCCCCCCACCTTTCCTTCTGTCCATTACACTTTCGCATGCAGTTAGCCTGGTCTCATTCATCCGGTCAGCCCAGCCTTCATAGTGACTGCAACTGCCTCCCGCAAGGGAGAGCTGGTACTTCCTATTGAGGATGGCATCGAATGAGTTTGGCCTGCAAGACCGAACGGAATTAATGGACTTGGAAACGGGAAGGGGATCACGGGGTCTATGAGGTACTCCATTAAAGGCAAGTCTGAGCTGTTCACACCATAGACACTGTATAATCCTTATACCCACCAGCAGATCCCTAGATAAGAAAATATCATACATTAGAAGGTATCAAAAGCTATATAGAACGACAATATTGCGTCGATTCATAACCCTCCCTTACCACGATGAACCAGCCGAGACTCACATGCCACTGCTGCTTGGTATCAATGCGGGTAGTTAAGGGAGCTTGCACAGCCTATAACTCCAGAAGTTCGAATTGGCTACCTAGTACTTTGTGCAGCGACGCCGAGTGGAGCGACGTGGCATGCGGCTCAGTTGATGGCATGCGGCTCAGTTGATGCGCTGGCAGTTGGATTCATTGCAGACTTGCAGTCCTTGAACGACTAAACCATCTAGGCCCGGCTACAGGGCAGAGCCTCAACTTTCAGCAAGTGTCACTGCGTGGCAGGTGGACTGGGGAGACGATCTAGACCCGGCGGATTCGCTCGCTGCTGGGGTTGAAGAGTCAAGGAACAAGTTACGTACGTGTTTAGATAATGACGGTAAGTTTTGACTACATCTACATTTCAAAGCCAAGAGTAGCGAGTGACGGTCTGGATTGATTGAAAACAATCTGGTACACACGATTAAGGAGCACGTAGTACTCAAAACAAGCAACGCGGGGGCCACGAGTCAATCCCTTCCTGGGAGACATCAGAACCGGCCAACGAATAGTAAGTAATGACAGATAAATATAAAAACACATCATAAAACCATGAACGCGCATGGAAAGAAGAGAAGATAATGGAAAAGTGCACATGCGCTTTATCCGGTGAAAGGAAACTTTTCTTCAGTCAAAAGCGTCAAGAACAGAGAACTGAATTCTCCGCTGACTGTTGCTTTTCGACGTCAGTTAGACGAGAGGCTTCTCCGCCCCCGCCCACAGCAGGTCCACACTCTGACTGTGTTAAAAAGAAAACAAAAAACAGCAAACAACAGCATCAGAAACATAGTCCACAATCATAAAAACAAAACATTGTCATGACCAATTCAATTCAAAACTTTTGTTCACTCAAGCACCGCGGCTTTGAGCCTGGGACTTCCAGTATTGCACTAGCTGGCGAGTCTCGTCAAGCTCCTTCTGAAGGTCGGAGATGCGACGCTCCAAGTCTCCCTGTCGCTCAAGCTTGCGGGCACGAGACTTACGTGCGGCCTCGGTGTTTCGCGCACGCTTGGCTGCAACAGGGTCGGTCTCGTCGAACTTGATTGGGGGAAGAGGCTTGCTTCGTCGTGCGTTAACTCCAGCAACCGTCGAGTGCTTAACAGAGGAGGCGCGAGATGTGTTGGGCGAACGAGAAGAAACAGACTTCACAGCAGGAGAGGCAGGTTGCTCGGCCTTCACTTCTGAAAGAGAAGCAGCGATCTCCAACGCAGCCGGATCAAAAGGAATAGACGAATCATGAGTCGGGAACAGAGAATCCCACTCCTCATGACCAGGAGCAAGATCCATATCTGTGCCGAACATGGGAGAGGGGTCCTGGCTGAAGTATCCGGGCGAATCGAAAGAAGGCGTGCTGAGATCTGTGAACGAGGCTGAGGGAGGAGCAGAGGCATCCATCATCAGATCACGAGGGGAGATAGTGCCGGAAGGCACATCGCCCATAGCGTCCTTGGACGCCATAATGCCAGTAGGGATGAGATGCGGAGAGAGCATGGTCGGGTCGGTGGAAAACTCATCACCGAAGTTGTCCGAACCAAAGTCGAAGAGGTCTGAATCTTTCACGTCAGTACTCATGTTGAGAGAGCGAGTACTTAGGTAATAATAAGGCTCACCTTGTGGAATGTTTGGAGTAGACATGATGCGACGATGATTTATCGATTGTGTGTACTGATTCTGAACTGGCGAATTGGCAGTGCTGTTATTGAATAGAGGGACAGGTGGGCGATAATGGTGATTAGAATTCGAAGCCGCAGGAGCAGAATTCGAAGCTGCGAACCGACGCAGAGAGTGCGTTCGATTAGAAGGACTAGACCGAAGAGTAGTAGACAATGGATACCCGGAAGACTGCGTTGCAAGTCGGGCTACCCGAGGAACCGGTACTGGGGAACCTGCTAGCTGTGGCTGTTGCAAGTTGACAGAGTGACGGCGCTGAACTTGTCCTGATTGGAGCAAAGAGCGCTGATAGGCGGCAAGTTGTCTAGGGGTTGGATTCAGATGTGCTGTAGCACGCGAGTCCCTGTGTTGTTGTTGAGGCTGGGGACACGAAGCGGGATAGAGCACAAAGTCCTCTTGTGGAGAGCTCGAATTGTTGCTGTTGTGATTGTTGTTGTGATCCGGATTCAGATTCTGAGCCAAAGGCTGCGTGGGCGAGGGTGAAGGAAGCCATGTTTGCTGATGGTTATCCGTGGTGAACGACGTGAAGTCGAACGTGGTGAAAGGGTTTGAAAAAGAACTTGAGCTACGCGAAGCGATGCTAAAGTTCAGAGGGTCCTGGGAAGGAGACTCTGAAGGTTGAATGTTTGAGAGGGGAGTTGAAAACGTAGTCCGTTGAGGATCTATGATGTCTGTCTCGGCTGAGAAAGACGAGCTGGCAGCGGGGGATGCGCTTAGCAGTCCATTTTGATATGGACGAAGATACTGAAGACTTTGGTTAAACTGAGATAATATGGTGACGGCTTTTGAGAAAAGCGGCTAAACAGTGTTTGGAACAATATGTATGGAGGTGTTGTTGGATGGATGGAGGAAAAAAAGATGAAGAAAAAGGAAGAGAAAAAGAGAAGAAAACCCAGGCAACGACGGGGAATCAGGCACCTTTTAACTCCGGGTTGTGTGCGCGGTCGCCCGGCCCCCTGGTCCAATCAGTGCGCGTCCTTTCTCCGCCTGCCGAGCTTACCACATATGGAAAGGTGCAATTCCCGCGGTCAGCAGGTTGTGAGTCATAGGGCGATACGAGATTCAATTGGTGCGAGGGCACAGAAAGTGGGTCGTAGCGGGGCCCTTTGGCTGACAAACTCTCGCTGCCTGCAGCCGTTCTTTACTTCTTATTGACGGCCTGGGGCTGAGAGGCTCGTACTCGATGCGACTTCTTGACGTCGTGATTGTCAATTGACCAACCAGAATTGCCCAATGTGCATCTCATTTTGATTTCACAGCCTCCCCAGGCTCCCTCGAGGCTTGGGGAGTGAATTGGGAAACCCCTTTGCAGAGCCCAAGGTGAGACAGGCGGCTCAGCCCCAATCTCGCGGTTGGCTTTTCTCCAGTTCGACGGCACTCGCGCGGGCCAGCGCAAGTCCAGATGCGACACTGCTCCAGAAGATGAAATGAGTGCTTCCTCACCGGTTCCATAATTCAGCCTACAGCACAAGAGAACGTCGAATCCTTGAAAAAAAAGTGCGCACAAACTTTTGGTCAGCCGTGGAGTGGAGATCATTTTCCCGATTGACTCCCCGCGATGGACCGCTACGAAGCGACTATCCTAGTTGGCGTCGCCGAAGGGCGTGCCTTTGCATTCCAGAACTCAATACGACCGGATTCTTCCGTCGACAAATCCGCAATTCATGTCCATCTGACTTGAAAGTTACAACAGGGAGCGGAGAATCCGTCGTTCCTAATTTGCACTAATTCCCTCAGATTGATTGGACATGTCTCCTTCAATGTCGGCGCCTGGGACGGATGACAATATTGGTTATCCCCGGTCGAAGACAAAGACACGCAGTGCCAGGAGCGACATCCACATATACTTTCACTGGAACCAATTCGTAGCAATCGTGAGGGTAGTGAATTCTTCCATAATCCGTAAAACTCGTAAAGGGTTGAAGGGCATTTCCATGGAACTCTTAAAGTCTATTGAGTGACCGGGTTTCGGCTCAGGACCGACTTCTGCACACAAACCAAAACTGGCCTTCGAGCCTTGAAGTTTAGATTCACTAAGCTATTACTTTTGCTTTCAGATTCGCATTTAATCCATTGAAATTAAAAAGAAAGGAAAAAAGCTGCCCAAAATGGTTCGGTAACGGCCAGACCAAACGACACTGATATTGTCTTCCGTGTGTCGGCGTCGAATTTCCTCGTTGCCTGATTTCTCAGGCGTATTAATCTACGAAGGTGCGGAAAATATTCCCACATCATCTGCATTCGTTCGCTGACAGTTCGCGAAACGGGGCGATTGTTATCGTCACTAGTTTTCGCTCCGCTGTTGTTTCATAAATTTACAGATACATACTTAGATAATTATCAAACAATGCAGTGATTCTATTAGTTATTACCTATGTTGTGCCAATCGATGGGAACCAACCGCGCCTAAGGTACACGGCTACCCATGATGGGGTCAATGAGTAGAGTCGAGGATCCAAAGTAAACCAGATTAAACAAACAGATCACCTTTCACCTAACCCGGTATCATGACAGTGCATCAAATGGCAACGGCAATCAAGTAACAAAGCAAACTATAAACAACAAGTGGTATCAATCTAGTTGGACGGCGCATGATCTCCCAGGCTAAAGGGGTATCCCCTGAGAGATCGGATATCATAAAGGAATGAACTGTGACTCCCGATGTCAAACATCAAGGCCTGTCACGAAAATCGACCGTCAAAGCAGCAGAGGGTATCATTGACACTCCAGCCACATGCACAGTGCTCCCAAGGAAGCAATGACAACGCAACCGGAATGACAGTGGCGACATTAAGCTAGAGAAAAATCCGAGTAGTATGGACTGAAAGTATTGTGGGGTTTTTGTTCGTTTTCTTTTTCTTATTGCTTTTTCCATCTCATAGATGAGGTTGATCATGATGCACAAGCGCCAGAGTACTCATAACGCTGGTCCCACCACTTCTCAAATTCGACTGGCCTTGGTGAACTTCAAGCAGCAGCCTGGACCGGAGCGGGGGTGGAAGCGACAACGGGCTTGGCCTCCTCGGTGGCAGGGGCATCGGCAGGCTTGGAGCTCTCCTCAGCGGGGGCGGCCTCAGGGACGGTCTCAGTCTTCGGCTCAGCAGGCTTGGATTCCTCCTCAGCCTTAGGCTCGGACTTCACGGCCTTGCTGGGCTTACGGAAAAGGCCACCGAGCTTGTTCTTGGGCTTTGCCTCACCCTCCTCGTTGTCGGAGTCACCCTTCTTCTTACCGAAGTTGCCGAAGAAAGAGGTGCGGCGCTTGTCCTTAGTGGCAGCGGGAGTCTCGGCGGGGGTCTCAGCGGGAGCGGTGTCCTTGGCAGCCTCGACCTCGGGAGCAGCGGTGACGCTCTCAGGCTCAATGGGCTTACCAGACTCCTCGACAGGGTTGTCGAGCTGAGGAGCAGTGCTAGCGACAGGAGTGCTCTCAGCAGGAGCAGCAGCTTCCTTCTCAGTCTTCTCGTGAGAGGGGCTGGTGACCTTCTGGAAGAAGTTACCGAAGATTGAGGCACGCTTAGACTTCTTGTCCGTCTCCTCCTTCTTTTCTTCCTTCTTCTCCTCATCCTTCTTCTCACCTTCGGCAGGGGCTACAGGTTAGGTTAGTGAGTGGTTCATTCCATATATGCTTGGGTTGGGGACACCTACCCTCAGTGGCGACGGGCTCAGCAGCAGTCGAGGCTTCCGCGGCGGGGGTCTCGGTGGAGGTCTCAGCGGCCTTGGGCTCCTCAGCCTTGGGCTCTTCAGCCTTGGCTTCCTCCTCCTTCTTCTCTTCCTTCTCTTCCTTCTTCTCCTCCTTCTTCTCTTCCTTCTTCTCCTCAGTCTCCTCCTTCTTGCCAAGGAGAGATCCGAAAAGGGAGGTGCGCTTGCGAGAGCGAGAGCGGCTCTTCGCGTCCTTCTCCTTGTTCTCCTCAGCAGGGGCAGGAGTAGCAGCAGCAGCAGCAGCAGGGGCCTCTTCCTCCTTCTTGGCCTCCTTGTCATCTTCCTTCTTAGCCTCGCCCTCCTTAGCCTCCTCCTTGGCTTCCTCCTTGTTCTCGGCGGGCTTAGCAGCGGCAGCAGCAACAACAGGCTTGGTCAGCTTCTCAAGCTCAGCCTTGTAGCCCTCACTAGAGGTGACGGTCTCCTTCTCAGCCTTGGCCTCGGTGGACTTGGCCTCCAGGGCGGCGATCCAGCTGTCGCGCTCAGTAGTGTTGGCGGCCTGGAAGGTATGCTTGTGGCCGTTCAGCTTGAAGAGGAACTCATTGGAACCCTCCTTCGTAACATCGGAGATATCGGCCTAAATACCATGTTAGCCCGGTTCCTTTTGGTGCAATTATTTATCTATTCAGAACTTACCAGGCTGATGATGCCAGCGGGAGTAGCCTTGTCCTCAGCACGCTTGGTGAAGAAGAGCAGACCCTTGCCGGTCTGGCTGGCCCAGGCGACGATAGGGTTGGCGACAGCGGGCTTCTCGTTGCCACGGAAGACGGACAGCTGCTTGGACTCGACAGCATCGTCGCTGAAGTAGAAGAAGCGCTTGGCGAAGCGGAGGCTCCTGTTTGGCGCCCATATTAGTTTCCGGCTAACTTTTCTCATTCGCAGAGAGATACTTACTTGACCAGACCGGGGGCCTTGTAGCCAAGGGTGCCCTCAGAGGCGGGGGTGACCTCCTTGGGCTCTTCCTTGGTCTCCTCCTTAGCTTCCTCGGCCTTGGGCTCCTCGGCCTTGGGCTCCTCAGTAGCAGCAGGAGCAGCCTCGGTGGTCTCAGCGGGGGTCTCCTTGGGGGCTTCAGCAGTAGCGGCCTCAGCGGCAGGAGCCTCAGTAGTGGCAGCAGGAGTCTCAGTGGCGGGAGCAGCCACGGGGGTCTCCTCGACGGGCTTCTGGGCGTCAGACATGGTGTCGATAGTAGATTAAAAAAGAAATTATAGAAGTTATTGATGGGATTATATAAGTCGTAGGGAAGCAAGAAGCCTCGTAAAAAGTCAGGTCGAGCAGGGTATCTTAAGGGGGTATCTCAACAGAAAGAAACAAGAGCAACCTCAGCGCAAAGCTAAAAGAGCTCGGGTATCACAACGAAGGCAAAGGTGGTGAGGGGGAGAAGCGAAGTCGCAGGAATCTCTGAGATGCAGCGAAGAAAAGAAGAAGAGAAGGGAAGAAGAGGAGGGAAGAGGGAAGAAAAAGAGGGAGCAGGGGCTGGGCTCGCAAAGGGAAAGTGAGGAAAGGAGGGTAAGGAGGCCAAGGAGGGTGGGCAGGCCGCCTGTTTGGGAAGGGAGCGGCGGACCAACAGCTCGTCTTTTCTGCTTAATTAGGGCGCTTGGTCCTGTTAATTTTCCAGAAAAGGGGCCTTGCCAATCACAAATGGTGCATCCCTGATTCAGGGAGCACGGCGCGGAGGAGTCACTTGCTGAGTCGCGAAAAATTTCAAATTTCCCTGGCATCTGGACTGAGTGAGGAAAGCGACTAGTGGGAGTAGCTTGGTCCAGCTCCTACCGGCCATGCAGATTAACGGGGCCTAGTCTGTTAGTGAAGCTAGTCTGCCCTCGCAGCTTCAGAGTATATTATTCCCAATTCCCTATATTAGCCAGCCATGGCGCAACCGATACATGGTTAATTTATGAACCAGAGCCCTGAAGACAAGCAGGATGATACATCTGGGAGAACTATTGCTGGCGCCTTGATGATGTTGATAGGGAATGCGAAAAGTCAGGCGCTCCGCGAGAGCAAAGAGCATGTGGATCCAACCACTTGTTGGCTTCGGAGTCCATGGACCTTGGGATCCATCTTCCAATATTATTCCGCCCTGAAAGCCTGAGCCTGTCCTGAGCTTTGTGCTTGTCACCAACCTTGCGACTCTGGCGTCTGCGTTCTTGAACCCCTGTCAAACCGGCATATCCCAGGCTCGGCGCTTCGACTCGTGAGGCTGCCAGGCTGCCATGCTAGGCCTCTGCAGTTCATCTGGTTGTCGACCTGGTCAAAACAGGCCGGGGTTGTGTGATCTCGGAGCACAAACTAACTCGCCGCTACTGAACGGGCTTCCATGGAAACTTGCCTGGGCCAGCCCGATTAGGCAGTTAGCTGCTCCTGAGTTTGAGGCCATTAGATAATCTGCCCATCCACGCGACTCCAACCACATGACTGCCGGCTGCCAGACAACCAACCAGCTCCCAACCAGCCCCTCCACGACCTCAAACCCGCGACACTTGACGCGCAGGTTGACGCTCATGTCCTGATTTTCCCAAACAGCACAAACCATCAACCCCTCATCTGGTGCCATGCATCCTCGATGCACGATTACTTGATAGCTCGAGATTGATACATCGCGCACGGTTATCCTCTGGCTCCAAGTTTAATGCCCCACTGTACTCTGGACAGAAGTTACGGACGTCTGCGAGACTCGCTGGCTCCAGCCCTACAATCCGACGGAGGTGTTTAGACAGAGACCCCATCCGAAGTACGCAATCGTCAGGAACCAGCGACACTCTCAATTAAAACTTCGTCTCATTTCTCGCTTCGTTTGGCATGACCGACGATAATGGAAATTGTTCCGTCAAAGATTGCGAGCTGTTTCATCCGATCAGATCCACCCCCTTTTCATCCTTTTTTTTTCACCGTCTTGTCTCTGGCTTTTTGATGGCGATGAACACCAACCAATCAAGGCCCTGTCGATCTGATGATCCTCTTTTTGAGCCGTGTCCATCTCTTCCCGAGTCCAGTCCTCGTTCCTCCCTCTGGCCACCTTTTGACCATCGGGAATTTTCGTCGAAAATGTCAAGCCGTCCCTGTCCACCAAATCATAGCACGTTCGTTCTCTCTGTTCAACGCTTAACCCCACTTGACCTACCAAAGAAGGAACTTGGAAGACCTCATCTCCAATTCTCGCAACTCGCAAGTCACGTTGCATCAAGCACATAGCTTTGTCCTCCGTGAATTTTCCGAATTATGGAGCACATACATGAAGATCATGTAGATAACCGTCCTGCGCAGCTGACAGGCTGAGGGCACACAGGTGGCAGTCTGGCAGAGAGGTGAATATGACAGCGCAGCAATTGCTGCAAAGTACAAATCCTCTTTGTCTGAGACTGCGAGGTTGCTGCATTCCCCTTTCGCTAACCAGAAGGCCCAAGGATCGATCTCAATCCCTGCAGAGTTCGTATCCCACCTCTCGGCGCATCCTCAGTCCAGTTGTACGCTCAGTTTGTAACCGGCCCGAGTCCGACAACCCCTCACATAGAGGGCCAGAAACGTTCATCGTCACCACACCCAGCATCACCCAGGTCCCAGCAGCATAATTAACCAAATTAACAGGAAACCAACTTAACCGCCACTGTCATCTACAGTAATATACGTCATAAATAATACTAATAACGCGAAACAAACCTTGCCTCAGGTTAATCAGAAACGGCAAACAGGCGCCTGATCATTTCTTGGACGGATCCCTATCCTCCATTCACCGGGTCGGGTCATTCATCGGAATCCATTGCCGTGCTGATTGTTGGTCACGTTGGCATTAATAGTCAGGTTGCACATATTCCTTGAGGACTGTGATTAAGGCTCTGATCACCTCACTGGTGGCAATAATCGCACGAAATGAAGATTAATTTTGCGTCAACGTCACCTGCTCTTGTATTCGAGAGAATCCAAACACCACGCATAGCGTACTAGCCTCTCAACTCCAAAACCTCTGCCGAATGGCAATATAGATAAGGTAACCATAGTCGACATTGCATTCCTGATCATATTATCATTTTGACAATTAACTTTACATAACCGACCCCTCCTCGCAGTTAACTAAACAGCTAACTAAGAACGGAGTAACTGGTTAGTTATGTAGTGGACAAAATGACTAATAGTGGCCAAAAAGCTAAAACATCACGCTATCCATGCCCAAAACAAAAACATAACAGCAGGGAACAATATGAATAAGGATACTGCATTATGTGCATACGTATACGCCTGTCTTATTTACGGCTGACTGGATTTCGCAATGCTAGTGGAAAAAAAAACATGACAACCTCCCCAAGAACGCAAAAAATATCAGATCCCCACCTAGCTAACTAACCAAAGAACCCGAATCACATCATGCCGCCATCGTAAGGACATAACTATAGATTAAGTTGTTAGCAAAAGCGACACCAGGAAAAACGCAAACCAGATCCATGTGAGCACTTACGAAGTAATACTATCCATGCGCTCTGTCGTCAGCTTCAAACTGACAGTCAACAGTTCACGCGCAACGTCCGGCTCCTGCTCCCGGAGGGCCTTCCATTTCGCTGCATTCAAACACCAGATCACGCAATCCTGCTCAGCCTTAACGGTAGCGGTGCGGCGGGTCTCAGAGAAGAAGGGCAGTTCGCCGCACGGCCTTCCCGCAACAATAAGCTCAAAGTACCGGCCTTGCGGGAGCTCGTACTCAGCACGGAGCATCCCCGACTCAAGGAGGTAGAAGGCGTTCGGAACGTCACCTTCTTGAAAGAGGATTGTGCCCGAGGAGTAGGTTTCTCGGGAGAAGTAGGGGCATGCTGGGAACCAGAAGTCTTCGTTTTGGGAGGTGAGCCCTTGGAAGGTTTGGAGGAGGAGGGGGAGAGGTTGGCGCATTGCGGACCATGCCGCTGGGACGATTACGGCGTTTTCGTCTTCGTTGAGGGTTGTTGTTGCTGCGCGGTGGAGGTATTGATGTCTTGGGGAGGCCATGACACCTTCGGCTGACTGGGGTTGGTGTTGGGCTATTGGGACCTCGAGGTTTTGGGAGGTGGTCTTGCCCTTGAGCAGTGCTTCTCGGTGGCTATAGAAGATGTTGAGGTAGTCGTTCTCGCAATACTCGAGGGCAGAATTCAAATCCTCGAATATCCGGACGCCAAACTCTGGCTCAAGTAGTCCTACGTTTTGGAGGCTCTTGCCGACGTCTCCTCCCACGTCAAGACCGGAGATAGTCATCCGCACGTTACGTTTTTTCAAGATCCGATTGATGCGTGTGAATGCCTCAGCGGCCGAGAAGTCGATGCCATATACTCGAGAAAGGTCTAAGATGATAAACCTTATCGGAAGTCTGCTGAATGCTTCATCCTCAATCAGTCCTCGCATGGTATTCTCGACATCCACGATGGTCCCGAAGAATAGATAGCCACCAAGCTTGAGGATCAAAGTCTGCTGCCCAGCTTCTTTCAGGTATCGATGTTGAATCGGCGGCCGCCGAACCGTAGAACCGGCGATTTTGCCAGAGTAAGTAGCGCGGATGGCAGATTTTCGTGAAGTTTGAACGACAAAGCTCAGGCAAGCCAGGATGATTCCCACCAGGATGCCAGTCACGAAATCCCAAACACCCATCGTCGCGACAATTATAACGACCTAGAACATCAGCTTGAAGCTTGTAGGTTAGCAGGATGAGGCTTACAGTGAGATATTCGTGCCGATGCAACTTTCCCCATGTATCCACTAGAGCTTCCTCCATCAATTCAATACCGAGCAGGAATATCAAAGCTCCTACAACCATGACAGGGATGAATCCAACAATCACAGGACCGATTAGCATAATACCTGTGGTGGCCCCTGCAAGCATAATGCCAGCTAAGCGTGAGTTTCCACCACTGTCAATGAAAAGCAGGCTGTTGGTATACACGAGGTAATTCTAAGAAAACATATTAGTATAGACTCTTCCCCCTATGTGAGTCCCTTAATCGTACCTGAATACTGCCTGCAAATCCCGAAAAAGCATTAGTCACACCATGAGCCATCAATTCTCGATCAACGTTCAAATTATCCTCGCCCGTAGAGATTCCCAATGCTGGGACATTGATAGGAACATGGAGAATTCCGAAGAATGTGAGCGCAAACATTGCTGGGATAGTATCAACAAACGCAGGCCAATCGACAGCCGAAAAGTCTGAGATAGTTAGAAAACAGCGCCAAATTAAGTAGCAATTGTAGGAGTCAACTCACCATAGAGCGTGTAGAAATGGTACCACGGATTGACAGATGAAGGAGCATCAAAGACCCAGCCGCTGCTCCGTAATGAATTCATGGGTATATGTGCGATGAATTTGACGATGTAAAAACACAAAGCGACAGCAACGAAATAAACCCCAACTAGATAGTTAGATCTAACAAAACGTTTGAGCGCGAGAAGACCGATCGCGAGGGACAAGGGCGTTATCCAAAGGGCCAAAGCACCCATATTGAAAAGTTTCTGCATAGTGGGAATATTAAACTCAAAAGATCCAGGCAGTCGAGCTGATACTTCGAGACCCGTAAGAACGAGGAAAAAGCCAACTCCTCCGATGCACCCAATGAGGATATGCCTGGGAAAGAATCCAATGAGAGAGCCAATCTTGCATGTTCCCATCAAGAAAAACACCAGACCAGTAAGGATAGAACTGACGGAGAATGATAGAATTGTGGTGGCGATAACGGACTTCGGATTGTCTTCTCCAACCCGGTTCAGAATCGTATAGGCCATTTGATGGAAGAACGGCACGACCTCGATCATCTCACTTCCGACTCCTCCACGGAATATCGAGCCTCCACAGGAGAATACCAGTTGGGCGATTATGGTACTGACGTAGAACATAGATATGCCATCTGAGCCTAGGTCGGAAAATATTGGCTCGCCCAATGGGAACAAAATCATCCCATATGAAAGAGCGTCCAGGATATTCAAGAGTAGACCCAGAAATACCGAAGGAAGTAAGCTCAGCGGATGTACAATTCCCCGTTGCCATACAACTCTGCGATCCCATGTCTTCGGATGAGCCAGTACATGAAAGGACGCCGAGATCGTCGACAGAGCATTGAGGATAGCACTAGATGTTTCCTTCGGCGTGTATACTTGACCCTCAACATCACTCGCTGCTCCATAGGTTCTGGATGGTCTCGACGTTGACTTGGGCAGCAAAGACGTTTGCTCGGTACTTGTGTCCTCCTCGTATTCATTGACGGAGGAAGGTGATCTAACGCCCGCATCTTTACTTCCGCTCGATTCATTCCGCGTTCCGGCACTCCGGTCTTTATTGAGGCCAGCTGACGGATCACGGATCATGGCCGTTAGAACAGACGACCCCCCAGAATGCACAGTCGGCTCATGGCTTATCTCATCCGTCCCACTTGACCCCGACAGCTGCAGACTAGGCGACGACTGTGTTTCGGCATCAGCTGGGCCGTCCGTAGGTCGAAAGATATCCATGGCTGGAGGGATATCCCTTGGTTCTCTCGTCAAGGCAAGCGAAGCCAATTCCGCAGTTTGTTCTCGAAGGCCATGGGACGAATAGTGCGCCGGATCTGGACAGATTTCTAGTCAGCAACCACTATTGTATTAAACAAGCTGGAAGGTCCTCATTCACCAGAAGCATTATGGAACGAGCGGTGATAGAAGGACCGGCTTGGCGCCCTGTAACTAGTTCCGCCAGATAATACTGGATCTGAGCCTATTGTCTGAGGAGGAAAACTGCTGGGCTCCGGTAGCTCGCCAATCGTTTCTGGTGCAGGGTTGTCGTTAGAGATGGGCGGCGGGTGGGTGGGCTGCGAGTCAGCCCGCTTCCGGCGACCCAGAACACCCATCTCGGTCGAAGCACGAGTATATGGTGGGTGGAATGGTTAATTCGCAATCCGGTCTCGAAATTGAGTCAGCGGACAGACTCGTCACTTGCTCACGTTGGATTCTCACAAATGGCGCTCAGAGGAGGAATGGCGCAAGACTTAGAGGAAGCGCGACGATTGACATCGCCCGGGGGTTGAAGAGACGAGCCGGGGACCACGGAAGGGTGACAACATGAGAAGGGAGAGAGGTCTCGGACGGTTGGAGATGGTAATCGAGTCAAAAGAAGCTCTTGGGGTAGTTCCAAGGAAGCTTTGCCTGGCAGTTCTTATCAGCGAATTGAGTAAAAAGTCCTATCTGCGGAGGACGCTGGATTTGGCGGGCCCACTTGGTTCCAACTCTCTGCCCTGTTCTAGAGATAACTCGGACTCATCTTCCAGGAAACAATATTACCTCAGAAACGGCGAGAAAACGATATTAACGATGCAGAGCATGTCATGCTGTTCAATTGGCGAGACGTTGACTGCTTTCGGAGATCAGCCGATGAGCTGCAGGAAAAACGGTCAACTCGCTTTTCGGCCTGTGTTTGACACCCGCCCACATTCACCTCAGGAACAGTGAACGGTTAGTCATACAAGGCCCAGTTTTTTAGGTAAATGATAAATATACTCCGTAAGTTATCAAAGTTAGATTTCAGAACGCAATGTAGTTTATCTCTACGCATCTAACACCATGGGTATCACTATAAAAAAAAACTAACCCCACAACTCCAAGCTCTCGCAGCCAAGCATGATAAGCATCCCATCAGCTCAACCGCTCCAAAAAACCCTGTGCTATAAGCCGCTCCACATCGCCATGTCGCACATAGAGCTGACTGTTCTTCGTCAAATTAATGACCCTGCGACCGTTAGCAATCCATTCTTAAAAAAAGGAAGTGGAAACAACATAACATACCCATACTCCGTCTGAATCTCCCCCGCATCCTTCAAAACTCTTACATCAATAAACAAATCCTTCGGCGGCTCCAGACTCCCCGTAAGATCAATATCTGTCCATTGCCCCTTATACGTAGCCAGCATGTCACTATACTGCCGGAAGTACTCTTCTTCATCGGGGCTCAACGAGCTCTCGTTCCCGCTGTTCGGTCCACCACTACCGACGGTACCATCTTCCATACCCGCCATCGCAGACGCTGCCGCTGCTTGCTGCTCCAGCACATCGATGCCCTTCCAGCATAATTCCTCGAGCTTCTCAGTCCGGACGCGGTGGTACGCAAGGAGACAGCGCTTGTTGCGCCGGATACAGAGGTGATCGACCAACAGGGCGCACGCGACTGCCGGCTCTTGGGACGGGTTGAAGTTTCCTTCGAAGGGGGCGAGGAGGTGGGCGACATCGCGATCGAGATCGCGAACTTCGCGCGCGACGGTACGGACGAGCTCGGTTTGGTAGGGTGGGAGGTGTGCGAGGGATTGCGTGCGTTTGGCGTGTTGGACCTGGATTGCGTGGTGTGGGCGTTAGTAGATGTTTATTTGACATGCTTTTCTTGATCTTTGGGGCAGATCTGTATATCTGATTTGGGGACAGGTTCTGATGTATTGAATCAGGTTCGTCATACCAGTTTATTACCTAGTTCTCCGTACATAATGTGGGATTGACTTGGTGTTCATTCAAAGGGTGGGGTATCCGAGTAGAGTGGTGGTAAGAGGCCGCGTTTGGACGCGTTTCTGATGCGGCGGTTGGTTAGTACGACGGAATGATTCAAAAGGATTGCCGCTGTGTTCCCCCCAAGTCGTGTCTGCTATAGGGAGTGATTGGAGTTCGTGGAATGTTCGTGGGAACAAAGAACCTTGGAGTCTTTTCCAGGTATACCTTATCGCCGCCGGCTTGCTGCTTTAACGAACGGTCCACGTGATGCCACAACTAAATTCTTTGACACCACGTTCCGGTTTCAATTGAACATTTTGCACTTTAATAGGGATTCGTCAGAGCTCCTTTTCCTTGTATCTTTTAATTCAGTCTATTAAAACACCATTGTTGAGTGAAGTTGGTCTATTTTCTTGACATCAGCCAGCCCACTCCTACATACGATACCGCAGGCTGTCGATGTGGAAGGGAATATTCTCAAAGCCGGAGTACGAAAGAAATTCTAAGAATACGGATGGATCTAGGAAAAGGGGCCATATAAACGCAATGAACTTCTTAGTCTAAGCAAAGATGGGTGACGACCCCTATGCGTTATAATCTATGCGATGAAAACCTAACAGATTACCAACCCATAATAACAAGCCATGATATGACAGAAAAACAAGGCAACCCACCTGGGTGCCATCACAAGAAGCATTGAGTAAAAGCAGACAACTCCAAAATGAAGGGGACAAAAATGCACATAATATCCACAGGAAAACAAGACAACTTCCACCTAAGTTGTCATCATCATCTTAGTACCGCGAAACTCAAATCGCAAGTCCAACTTTGAAAAAAACAAAGAGCCAGCCCAGGGGTAATCACCAAAATGAAATGAATTCATAAAAAAGAAGACAAAGTCAACCCATGAACAAGTGAGTATATGTCAAATGGCTTCCATCTAGCTCATCAATTTCGTCAACCAGAGTTACATGATTCAAAAGCACGAAGTTTTATCAATATCCCTGAGGATTATTGATCCAATGATCAAACTCTCCACCTACGGGCTCCAGCCCGGTTATTTGACTTGGGTCCCATGTGTCACTCTGCACGCCAGGCTGCAAAGGCGAGGTACCAGCGTAGCCGATGGGGCTAGTGGGGTACTGGAAGTACACATTGTTTGAAGATTCACTCTGCCATAAAGGATACTGAGAGCCCCCGTAGACCTGATTTCCAGCCTCGTTGAAGTCTAATAGTTGAGGATCGAGCTGACCACCCGCACCACTTCCGGATGTTGGTATTTGAGGTTGAAGTAGATCGTGATGAGCTGCTCCAGGCAGACCAGCAAGTGTTGTTGATGAAGAATAGTGCATATCGTCAGCGTTGGAGGATGACTGGAGGTATTGGGTGGGATCAGAGGTAAGCATCAATCCTGAGGTCGACCTTCCAGGGTTGCTGGTGGGCCACGAATGAGGAAAGTATCCATCGGCTTGCAGGCTGTTGTGTCCCATGTCAGGAGGCGTCGGGTGTCCGCTGTCCCATCCACTGCTACCAAGATCTGGAGAGCTGAATGCACTGAGCCTGCTGATATGACGCTGGGCCGGGCTGGCTTCAGGCGTGGTCCGATACCCAGCGATGTAGGAACGGTCATCATCAAGCATACGTTTTCTCTTGTCCTTTGCTGGTGTGAACTTATAACCAGGGTGTGCCTTCAGGTGATTTTTCTTTTCAATGGCTGCATACCGCTCATACTGAAGCTTGATTTCAGGGGTTTCGTTATTCCAGCTTTGGCCTGCCGCGGTAGATACCACTTGATGGTTCTGCTGCCGGAACAACTCCTTGGTCCTCTCAGCATATGCCGAGCGATAAAGCATAAAAGAGTTCATTGGCCTGGGGATCTTTCCATTCTTCCGCACAGTTTCCGCAAGACGCTCCTCAGTGGGCCGATTCACGTGCTGTTCCATATCCTTCAGAGGAATATGGGTCAGGTCTCTCGTCAAAACACTCAGAGGCGCATTAAGCCTGACACCTTGTTCGATTGAATCCTTGCGACCCTTTGTACGGCGACGTTGTCTAGGTGACCGCAAAACTCTTGGTTTTGAAATACCAGAGGGTATCATTGAAGGCGATGGCCACCTTGGCTGCTCGCTGTTCCTGGAAGCAGCACCATCATCAGCGGGAGGTGTATGGACCCTCATCTTGTCGGTTACCAGCTATTCATTGTGTTAGTGATTGCTCAAGCTGATGGGTGGTAGGGGCAAGTTTTCTTACCTGGTTGTGGAGAGAGGTGTTCTGAGAGCAGTCACTGGTTGGACCAGCGTATTGAATGTCCTGAAGAATCAGGTTAGACTATGGATGTTAAGGGATATGGGACTCCTTTGCTGCTTAGGCACTCACTATGGCTAGCGAACTTTGCTGATCGAAAGAGGCGCCGTTTTCCGACCCGGAACCTCCGTAAGGCGCCGCTGTCTGGCTATCGTATATCGAATACAAATCGGTAGTTTGGCCGACGTCAGAGGGGAGGTCTCCGTCTGTCGACTGAGGGGGAGAAGGCGGTTGGCCGCGAATCAATCGCTGCTGAACCATGCTTATATGGTAAGATGGTGGGATGAGGTAGTCTTTCTGAATGTTGAGAGGAAAAGTAAACCCCCGCCCTAAACTTCTAAAAAAAAAAAAAGATTAAAAGATGAGGAGCGATAATATGTCTGTCTTCTACTGAGAGAACAGAAAATCGACAGGATTATGAAGCCTTCAAAGCCTTGTTTAGCTTAGTGCGTGGTTGGGGACAGATGATTCCGGAACCAGCACGGAAACTAAATGACACACGCAATCCTTCCTATCGGTGGATAGTCAAGATAGCAGCAATGGCGAATCAAAAAGATTGGGACCACTTCTGTCTGCAAGGGAAGCAAGATGGAAAGCGAAGAGAGAATGAAGGAGGTCCAAAGAGAGAAGGAAAGGCGACAATAAGTAGGTGAAGGGGAGATGCAGAGACAAGAGAGGAATAAAGACTGCTATTGGTGCTTTATGAGAGCAAGCGGGAACAAGCAGTCAGGAGTTGGCGTAAAGAAGTGTTTGTTGTGTTAGAGGAAGGGCGATGATGGATGGTTGGAGAGAACAAGAGGTGGATATGAAGCTGCTTAAGACTGATGCTCCTGCAGACAAGCGTTCGTCGTCTGGCGGCAGAATCTATGGCACGCTAGAGTGACTGAGACCCTTTGGTGCCAGTCAGTTCTCAAAAACCACCGCCAGAAAATGGTGATGGCTGAGGTGATGGCGCGCCGGCTTTGTGTAGTGTACCAGACAGCTGGGTTCGTAAGATGGATGGGGAAACCCGCTTTTCTTTTTTTGCATTTCTTTTTGGGTTTTACATTTATTTTATTTCTTTTGAAAATTGTTTCTTATTTTTAACCCTCTTTATTATTTCCTTTTTTATGATTGGGTTGTTGGGACGTTATTTGTCTAGATCCCCTTCTCTGCTGGCCCTTCCCTTAGAATGTGCCTCTACAATGGCTCGTCATCCATCAGTTTCACCGGATGTTTCCAAACTGGCCCTACCAGGGTCATTCTTTGTGCCAAATCTATTCATCATGCTGAGAAGAATCCTGGTGAGTGTTTCTAGAACGCTGGGGGAAAGCTCCTGGTCAACTCTGGAGGGGGCCCTCCCCGTTTCTTCCTCGAGGCAGACCATGTCCCTTTCGCGACTCGGGATCTCAGGTGATTTAGGCAGTGTTCCCCGAGCGTCGCATTATGCCTGGGTCCGTTAACGGACTCCTAATTATAATCGCTAGCAGGCTGTGTTTCCTTAATTTGGCGGCATTCTGCCACTGGGGCGAAGGTAGATTGGGGCCCACAGGGCCCTGTTGGCGCCTGGCCCTACTGTAGGTACGAGTCTGAACATGGCGACATCACGATCACCATGGGCCGTCGGCTGATTCCCTCACCTTCCGACCCAGTAGTTCAAGCCAGGCGCAGCGGTTGACGAAGAACCCGCCCCGGAGATAAAGGCTCGAAAAACGCGGTGCGAATCTGAGGCCCGAGAGCGAATGGCAGGAGGCGTCAGGGAAGCTAGTGTTGCGATCCATCACGTAGCCATGACAGATAATGGGCCTATCATTAGGCGTAGGCAAATAAATTCAAGACGCGGGAAAGGCTTGGGCCGAGAAAGTTAAATGCGGGCTTCAATATTGTCGATATCGAGGCCGAAGTTCAAATGCAGAAGTGGAAGGTACTAAGGTAGACAAGCTAGACCGATACACTTCCCAAGTCGGGCATGTCATCAGATAACCTCGAAATGCCGGGCCCTATTAGTTGAACGGCTTCTGCATCCGCTGCAATCCTCGTATCGAGTCATAGGCCGGTTCCAAGCTACCAGAAGTTATGCTGGCGCAGAGAACATGCAAGCCTGTCTGGAAGGCCAGGAACCACCTCACACTTCATGGCTCACAGTTCGGAGGTGTTCGCAGTGGGGGAGCTGGGGATGGATGCAACCTTGGGACATTAACCAGACTTCCTTCTCCACGTTTGGAATGGGTATCCCTGGACTTCAACCATGTCTGAGAGGAGCGGAAGTATTTGTCCTGTTTTCCGCATGGAGAAAAGCAGAGTGGAGTTTGGCGCGGATGGTGATCATGCTCGTGTTCGTTCCCCACAAGTGTACCCTCTGTCCTGAGCGATCAGACTAACACGGACAGTGAATTAGCGCCCAGAGCCCCAAAACGGACGAGATAACAAGTCCTGGAAGATTCAATTGGATGGGCCGGAAGGAGCCGACAGACAGTGGATAGTCACGGATAGCAGGCACTTTCCAGGCGACAGAGCCGGGGCCGAAGCCGCGAAATTGAGGGGGACCGCTCCACCGCTGGCCAGTGTTGGACTTTTAGCAGATGCTGGTTCGGGTACAAGCAGATTGCGTGTTTGATAGGAAAGAACCAAACGGGAGTTTGACCGCCAGCAATCCCATATCTGCAATGCAGGCATATCGACAACTATGGCCAGCATTAACCACGACGGCAAGAACTGGCGACTTTGGCTCACATTAGCCACTGGGGCAAGAACCGCAGGATAGAGGCTCGTGGGAGACTGGGAATGCTCAGTGGGATTCTCTGTGATGGGATCATCGGAGGACCCACCGGCCTCATCTCGATGACACCCGCTTAAATTGTGGGCTCCACCACGTGGCTATGATTGGCTGTGGTTGACTGGGATGACTTCTCCGCCCGTGCTCTGATTCGCTAATCGTGGCAGATCATCGGCCTCCTCTCATCATCACTCACAAGTCCCGGCCCAATCTTCTCAGCCCTCATCAGGAGAGAGGAATTTTGCGTTGGGCTTCGGTGGACTACGTTGGACTATCGACTGTCGCGCTCAAGAATGATCCTCCGTGCATCCCGAGGTTCTTGGTGGACCATGGTCTGGCTTGACAGACGGTTTACATTGTCGGAAAAGCCGACCTTCCTTAGCCTTCCTCCACTGCTCATATCACAGAATAGAGTTTTGACACACCTCTTGCCATGAGGCTCTGGATAATGCCCTGTAGATGTCAGATGCAGCAACTGAGGACAGAATAGAACCGCTAATTTAGGTAGCGGATTTGTACCAAGGACCTCCAGACCCTCTCGGGCGCACTCTGAGGAAAAGAAAAAGGAACTAGGTACACTGCGGAAACTCGGGGGCGCTGCTCGCGTCTTGCGAGCTCCTAACGCCGAGGCCAATCAGAACGGGGCATCTGGCGATCCTCGATCGGCCTCGAAACCTCCGTTCACGATGGACAACCTAGGTACAGAGGCCGAGTCTACTGACAAGCTCGCCCTTAGTCTACCTGCCAGAAGATCCGATCTGGCAGATGGTTGGCGTTCGGGCTTCATTCCGCTCGGTCTCCAGGAGTGGCTTTGCCCGAACTGTCTGCATTTGAACGAATTGACTCGAGAAACTTTGGCTTTTGACTTTCCCCCCAACCCGATCCTCATCATGGCACCCTCCAATTCGCTTCTCCGCCTGACAGTTGTGACACTGAACGGCCTGCATGACACTCGCCCAGCCTTGGCAACCAAAGATTGCTATTTGGAATTAAAATCATCTTCAGCACGCTTATCTCTCTGCGTTCCCGTGGCGCCTGTCACCCTGGTCTTGCCCAAGCCTCTCTGGGTATAGATGCGATCCCTGGGATGCTTTCTCGGATACTTTTCCATCACGTGAAGGCTAGGCCATGTCGGGCTTCTCTCAGTCTCGGTCGGGGGAACAACCTTGGTGCAGGTCACCGTGGATCCCTCAGAATGTCAACACTGCTACGAGTCAGGGTCGTTAGCGGGGTTGGAAGCTTGCTAACTGTTCACGACCTCACTTGCAGCTCAATGTACAACCTCGACGGCTGTTTCGCACCCCAATCTTGACCGCCATTGGAACTAATGCTAAGACCAACGCATATGGCGGTCACTGAAACTTTGGCCTCAGGGAAGGAGCAATGAAATAACGCAATCCTTTGCATGCGGTTGGGCGATATGAAGATACCGTTGGTTATTCGATCCTCGCCGTTCTGCACCGACATCGTCACCCTTGTCCTTGAGACTTGAGTCGGTGTGTTGTGCTGCCAAAAACGGCCCCAGTCATCTTCAGCCTCACCGGGGACTGGTTCATCTCTCCACCTGCTCTCTGTTGGCACCCAAAAAAAAGCAGTTCATTCATTGTCAAATCGCAGATGGAGTAAAATGGCAGGGGCTGAGAGGACGTTAATGCGTGGCGACAGGTGCCCGGCCCACGATCTACAGCCCTAGTGGGCACTGGGCACTGGGACCTGACTCTGAGAACTGATAGTCGTATTGATGAAGTTGGATGGCTTGCGCAGGAACCAGAGCCAAGCTAGCCACGCCGCGAGTTTTCTTTGTTGTCGCACACGTCCATCAACCGACAGGAACGGGTTTGGAAGGCCGATGGAAGGACCCTCTTCCCTTCTTTTCGTCTCACGGCAAGAGGATGCATGAACTCCATGGTACTAGAGAAACTTTATTCTCCTTGTCTCGTAGCTCGACGGAACTAGATTTTCCTGGCATCTCTGACGATGGTGTGTTCACGGCCGATTAAGCTGCGCTTTTCGGATATTGACCATACTGGAGCCCTTGAGAGGACGCCGTTAATAGAGAGTCTTCCACAAAAGCAAAGCATCCGCAAATCTTGCGGATAACTTTCATATTTTCCTCCCACTTTTGCTAAGTGCAACGCCACATTCACACGAACACCATCACGAGTCATGAGTCTATTTTGAATCTCCGCTGTGTTACTTACAATAAGTTGTACATGGGAGGGGATGCGCGACAAGGATCGCCATGTGCAGCCAAGTCCACAGAAACCATGGCAACCTCCTTGACAGATTCAACCATGGTCCACCCGACCTTCTGAAGTGTTCTGGAAGAGAGTTTAGCGCGTTTGATCGACGCCAAATAGATGCGCCATCCTAAATGCGGCCCCTTCGACAAGGCTAGGGCTGCTCACGGTCCCCTCCTCGCCGATTCGCAAGCGTAAGGAGGGTCTGCTGATGACCCTCGGACGCCGAGTGGACCAGTTCCCTCGATCTGATGTGCAAATCGCGCCTGACCTTGGCTCACCCAAGGCTCCTGTCTGTTTTAGGGTGATGAAACAGGGCATCCGTTTTGGCTATCTAAGAATACCTGTGCCCTCCGCTTTCTTTCGTACACTGCAATCAGTCCCGTGGTTGAATACTGCGCCTCGTTCCATCACGGCCTCCTGTTTTAGCTATTTCGGAGGAGCGCTTTTTTTAGCTGTTACAACATTGCGCCCGCGCTCTTGGATTCACGGTCACTATTTTTGATGACCAGAAGGCTGGGAGGGAGTCAATTCCAGGTGGGGAAAAATATTAGGACTCGATCCGTTGGTTTTTTTTTTTTCGAAAAGTAATTGGGCTGGGGATGGCGTAACTCCCATGAAAGATATCCTGGATATTATCTATTCCAGAAATGGCATCAATGGAAAGGCCAAGACAACAGCTTGACTCCCGGGAACGCTGTTCCCAATAAACCAAAGAGGATAACCACGGGGAAAGCAAGGAACCCTTGAGGGATTGGCCCAGGGAAAGAATTCCAGTAGCAGGTGGCAAGTCTGATCCAAACTGACTGCCATTCACAGCATAACTTAATTGACAGATTCGTAATTCTATGCATCAATTTCGTGTCCACAAACGTGGCCCCAGGAGAGGGCGGCCAGCGTTAACCAACATGATAGCAAGTGGCGCCCATGCCTGTGGCGCTGAGATTGTCTGTGAGCTTGAAGGTTGCTGCGGCAAGCTTCAAACTCGTAAGCTGCATGTACTCTCTCGACGATGCAAACTATCTTTGGCCGAGGGTACTCAACCCGATGTTAGGATTTACAACTTCATGACGGATGGTCTGCACTGCACAGTGGAGAAGATCCTTGAGCTCCCAAACATATCGTTGCCGTGTTGAAGTCGATCCACGACAGCAACAGTGGCAAGCTATAAGGAAGGGTTCAGGCATCTTGACATGGACACTCCACAGGAGATGAAGCTAAAAAGAGCGGATAGGAAGTTGCATCCAACACTTCCATGGGATTGCAATTATTTTATTGGGTGGCCTTCATAGTCTGCCTTCTGCCTCCCCTCACGACGTCGATGACAGCCCATCGTCGGGATTCGAAGAAACACCCCAACCAACAACTCCAGGTCACTGCCACCGTTGGTTGGTCCAAGGAGATCACGTTTAACTTCAACCAACCCACAAACAGCAAAAATGTCATCTGAACTTTAAAGTGCCCAGCTGCGACGAAGATCATCGGGTTTCGGAAGCCTCGTGCGTGGCCACTAGGATCTCATAAATACGGACACGGACACAAACAGACGCCATGGAACCCGCGCAGCCTTGGGACAGACGGCCAATCAATCGGCCCATTCATGCGAATATTAGCGCGCTGAGCCGATCCGTCTCAATCTGAATCTATCTCCTGATGCATTATGGAGTACTTGATCGATGATCCGCTGGGTTGTCCCTTGCTGTCCATCACAGCTCAATTCTCAGCGAACGATGAGGAAGGGAATGAAAAAGGAAGGAGGGGAGGCTAGTGACTTTAGGTCGGGCGGAGGACTTTCCCGCATGCTACAGCCCGTCAAACTGTCACTGTCACTGTCACGATTGTCATTTCTCCTCATCGTTGAACTGTTAAGAGAAAATTTCCCCATTACCAAGTCGATCGACTGGCGTCATCCAGTCTACTGCCTGTCCAGACCCTCAACTCTTTGCGCACTGTCTGCCAATCAACCCAACATGACGCCGCCGACTGACACGTGGAATTGTCCCTGAAGGAGAAGCCCTTCTGGTTCACGCATGCTTGGGTTGGCTTCCCAGCAGATACCATGGGCCCAAGTCATCTTGCTGCAATGCGCGATGCAACGCACGCACCTGCGAGCCTGCATGTGGCCGAGTAGGGCTTATTAGGGCAAGTTGCCGGGAAACCCGAGCCGTGAAGTAAGCACCTTACTCGGTTCCCAACTACGGAGACACCTGCTGTCAAGATTGGAGACGCGGAATTTCTAAGTTATACTCGTACTTTGTCGTACTTTGTACTTCGTTGCGTCTTTTGCTTCCATCGACTCCCCGTACGCTTGAAGGCGAACGGCTGCCTGCTGAAGGAGTGACAGCAGTCTAGCTATAAATCGAACGTACTTCTGTGATAACTGATTTGACACGCAATCATCAAATGGCTCCAACCACGCCGCTACAGGGATCAAGGGCGCGTTTAAGGTTTCAATATCTCGGTCGTGATCAACCGGCTTTGAGTGGCTGTCATTGGATGGGTTTAATTCCCAGGCCGAAATGCGTCCACTCGAGCAGCAAGTCAACGACATCACGATGGGCTGACCCAGGGTCTATGGGTTAACCTACGGTTGATGGGATTGCCCAAGGACCGCAATCACCTGGTCTGCGGCCAAGTGTGCCATTGTGGGCATTACTGTGGAGATTCACCAGATGGATCGAGATAAATATTGGTACACTGACAAGACGAAGCACCAGGTGCCAGTAGATCACTACACGACTGGACCACTGGCTAAACTACGGGGGGATCAGGACGGAGTCTGGCCAGTGGCCGCCAGGAGTTGCGGGCCCTGCGGGTGAGTTTCTGTGACAGGTGTGACGGACTTGGAGCTTTCGACACCCCGAGACCCAAATGCGACGAGCATTGATTGGGCAATGGTGCTAAACTGTTGGATCTTTTATTTCGGCGTTGGTCGGCTCGGATCAGCCCCGTCACTCACTCAACTGGAGCCCTCGTTGAACGTTGAGTCGTTGTTTGAGCTAAGGATGTTGAAGGCGATTGTCCTGCAGCCTGATCATTGTCATTATTCCTATTCGAGTTCATCCACTTGGTGGGCTGTCGCACAAAAGTCCGCGAATGAAGTGCGAGCAATCAATCAGGTGTATGGAGGACAGCGGGGAGAGAGCGGACGTGGCTGTTGCTCCCATTAATTCTTTCCTCCCAAATCCTGGGGGACAACCAAGCAGGGGAATAACGCCCATGGTACTTTGGACGCATTCTTTTACTTTTTCTCGAGTGCGAGAAAATGCCAAAGTAATAATTTCTTCGGACGGCTTGAAGACCGAATGGAGGCCTTGCGCCGCAGCAGCCTGCGCTGACCCTCCCTCAGTCAGGTGGCCAGCACCCCAACTCAAACTGAGTTGACAAATACTCACCCAAGGCACTAACGCGAGGCAAAGCGCTTGAATTCTGGACATCGGCTGTCGGAGCCGCTCTTGGCTTACTGGCGATGAGCCAAGGAAAGGACCCAGGGAAGGGAGAACCGGAAACGGAGCCCGCTCCCGCGTCCTTCGAGGTCGCCGTATCGGGGTTCGCGATACGCCACAATCCGACACTCCGTTGACCTCGGGCCTTGGGCAAGTTCCTGCTAATCTGGCTCTGGGCTCGACTTGTCCCACTGGTATGTCGAAGCTAGTATCCGCTATCACCGCCCAGGTATAGATTAATTTGAATTTGCAGGTCGCAACATACCAGACGGTCGGACGATAGGACTGAATACGGAATACTATCTGGAGCGATGAGTCTATGATCGCAAGTCGAGGATTGAGGGCCAAACTTGCTCCTTCAGGGTCAGAGGTCGAGCCCATGTCTGAGTCCAGACTTTGACTCCTATCTCGTACTTTTGCGGTTCACTGCTTGCATAATCAAGCACTGCACAGCGCATTATGCTTGCTTGTACGGAGTACCCATTTCGAATCTCGTAGGCATCGACACTCATGTTTTCTATAGCTAGCTGCAGTTATCTGTGATCGTAGCTGAGATTGCGTTCTCTTGATAGTAAGCTCTTGATCTTATTATCAGTGGCATTGAGCCAGATAGTCGACAATTTCTCCACTTCGACACTACACGGAGTATGCGGAACTAAATAAACATATCATGCTACTAACAATACAGAAACCCAATACCCCAACAATAACTTTTCTCTTCAAACAAGCGCTCACATCATGCAGACGAAACCACAATCAACAGGCCACTCGCTGGAGCCAGTCTCATCTTTCGCTCCCGATCTTCCTGACTGCATATCCACGCTGCTGCAGTCTGCACGGTACCTTCGTAGCTTCTTAGCTAGTCTAAACCAGCACCTGCACTGCACCACATGCTTGCTTCCTCCCGATCTATCCATCAGCCATCAATTTGGACCAGGTCATCCGAGCGGATAGCTTCTCCATGCGCTCACCCGCTTGCTCGCAAGCCTCATTATGCATGCTTGCATGGCCCCGTGAGTCAAGGCCAAGGCAATTGTTTGCTCGTGCTCGAGAGCAGATGTGGACAAGCGGACGAACAGAGACATTGTCTCATTTCCTCCATGTTTTGCTTTTCTGGCTTGCCCAGGTTGGCGCAGTCCATGGGACGGGACGATGCGACAGGACACATTGGGTGGGATAGCTGGCTGGGGAATGTTCATGCAGAGCATTGGTACCTCGTTCTTGGGTCGATATGGATAATGGACTAGGGTCGGTGGTTACAGTATGCATACTATTCTACCGCGTTGCTTTTGACTATGTAGACAGCTATATCCAACACAGGGAAATAGCTCTGTCCATACGAGGTCACTAGAAGGAGTAGCGAAACATTTGAAGACCTTCTCACTCTGTAATCAACTTCTAGATATGTCAACATCCACCCAACGCTTGGAGCCAAAGCCAATTGATCCAACCTCAAAACGAAATAATGCAATGCGCGCAACCGAGCCTCACCGTCATCAACATCTGTATGCTCCTAAGTAGCCGCCTAGGTACCTCTAGCACCATTGATCATATCCCAATATCGATAATGCACTGAAACCCCGTCTCATCTCTCTGGCCCCCGATAGCACCCTGTAGGCAACCTGCAAACACCCTGCAGCCCATATTGAAATCTCACGGTGAGACGAACTGTGCATCGCTTGGGTCGGGTCGCTCGTTGCTTTTTTTTCTTCTTACTTTCCTTCCCGTCGCCAGCTCCATCTCCAGACTGACGGGACTCGAGGGGGAGGTCCGCGGCAAGCATGAAGGGGGTGTGTCTGTGCACTTTGTTTGTAAAAGCTAGAGGTACCTGTCAACAATGGCATAGATCCAATCTGATCGGGATAATAGTCTATCTGTTGACCAACTGAGGAATCCGTGCTTGGATAATGGGATCGATTAGTTAACTTTTCTTTTCTTTATTTCCCCCTCCTTCTCCTTTTCCTCTCCCCTGATTTTGCATGAATTTAGTGATGCGGAAATAAGGGGGGAAGGGAGGGAAAGGACTACTGCAGATTGTAGAACGTGCAGTGGCAGTGTCTCGGTTAGAGGACGTACTAGAGAGGTCTACGACTTGGGATATTGTAATCAATGAAATAAAACCGATAGACAGAATTGTCATTTCTTATGTACCAGCCATAAACTAACGCCGGCCATTGCACCTAACCCAACCTGTAGCTTGTATAGTGTATTTGTATGCACCCTTCCGCCCTGTTAATACAAGTGTCATGAAAAATGAAGGGAAAAAAAAAAGGCAGATGAGACATGGAAACTGAAAATTGAGAAAGGGGGATAAAAAAGAAAAAAAATCCCCTCCACAGTCGATAGTCATACAAAATGGCGTGTCAATAATACCGAAACAAAAAAGCGGGAGGTTGCTGGGCTGCCTCAGTCGTGGTCTGTCGTTCAATTAACCTCGCGGGCGTATCCACTGCTTGGGGCGAGTACGATCACCACCGATTTGTTGATGGGTAATATTTCCACCCTCATGAGATTTGTCCAAAGCACAGACCTCGAGCGACGATAACGATAACGATGGACCCACAACTTAAATCTTGTCTAGCTGACTTTGAAATGTTCGCCATGAGGATTAATACCGTAACGTAATAAGATGGAGCATAATATGCGCAATATGGCCGATTCACTGATTAAAGGATACAATCGACGAACTGTTGGATGTTCTACTCAGGGGGGGTTCGAACTCTGAGAACCTGGCTGCGTGGAAGACTCAGGCTTCGGTACCAAGGGGGACGGTTCTAGAGGAGGTATCCGGTTGACAGATGGGGAAGACACCGCATGTTGCCCATTGGAAGCTGTCGAGAGATGGCTGTGTAGACCCATAGCATTCTCTCGTTGCCTGCGCTCCTCCTGCTCTGGGGTCATGCATTTCACTGGCGGTGGAATTGGAGCGTCGGGTGAGCTTCTTCCCATCAGCTTCGGACTTGGCTCTAGCCTTTGTACTGGCGGCAAGATCGGCGCACCAGCCATGCTTCCTGCAGTCGCCGGCCGTGGAGATTGTTTAGTAGGGCTAAGGCCGGATAGTAGAACATGCTGAGAATGAGGGGACGAAGCCCGGTTCGCAGTAGGGGTCGCTGTTAATGATACGTTCCCACTGTGAATTGAGGAAAACGAAGCCTGATTTCCGGTGGCAGGACGCGGAGTGTGATGCTGTCCATGCGGCGTCCAGGGGGCGGGACCGTCGGAGGAGGCCATAGGTGGAAATCCGGCAAGAGGCCCGACATCCCGATTGCCTTGGGTGGGGGACATGGATGGTCTATTTTGGATGGGAGATGGGAGCGTGGGGCTGTGGATTGTATGGGAGGATGAAGGTCGTCGCGTGAAAGTCGGAGCTGGAGGGAGCGGGCCACGGCCATTGAGTGGGAATTGGTGGATTGAAGGCAGCTTCGGCTGCTCTTGAGACGAAATGTGGCCGTTTACGCCTTTCGAAGGGGAGAAAGGCGGGCGAGATGGGCTGAAAGGAGCTGCGTGCGATGATTGCGGTCGGCGCTCGGGAGAAACGGGAAACGGCACAGCATGAATTGGCGGATGTGGCAGAGAAGGGTGCGGTTGTTTCGTTGGGGATCCATTGATGACCGCGCGGGCCGCAGCAGCACTGCCTTCTGTCGTAGTTGGAACAGCCCTCGGCGCACTGGTCGACGTACCATCTGGGTGGCTTTCAACAGGACCAGGAGGCGAAGAACTGACTTTGAACTTGAGCGGCGGCAATTTGGGGAGCTTCGCTTCCTCTTCGCGGCGTTTGCAATCCCGGCAGACAAAGTGGAAGTCCTCGCTCTCGGCCTCATTCTGTTTGATCCCAAGGCACTTGCTGTGCTGCCATACATTGCAATTCTCGCACGCAACGCTATGGGAGCCATCGTCCTAGGCAAGTTAACAGGAGGACAACGCGATTTGGCTTGTCAATCGAACTTACAATATTTTCTCCGTGAATACCACAGCCAGAACAGTCGAAGACCCACTCGTCCTCTTGAGAGAGATCCTCCAAGTTCTTTCGCTGTTTCTCCAGTTCCGACTTAAGTTGCCGTTCGGAAACCCGGCTCTCCCCTCTTTCGAGCTTCTTTTGCTCCTCTTCAATTCGTTGCAGCTCGGCCTCATGCAGCACGCGTTTCCTTTCACGCTCCTTGATACGCTGTTCGCGCGTCATGATACGTGAATGCCGTTCGTGCTCCATTTTCTTCAATCTCTCCTCCTCCTTGCGAGCCGCAGCGAGTTCTTCGTCCCGTTTCTGCGCAGCTTCAATGGCTTCCCGGTCATGTCGCTCCTTCTCGCTCTTCTGGGCGATACGGCTTGACCTCTTAGCGCCAGCGATGAGTTGGAGGTTAAAGAGCTCCTTTTCGCGCTTGACCCTTTGGCGCTCCTGTGATGCTTCCTCCTGCTCGATTACCGGGAGCACTTGTTCTTCGATCCTGCCCCTGAGTATCTTTTCATCTGCATCTCTTGTGTTTCGTAGCGACTCTAGAAACTCTTTGTAATCGTCTAGCGTAACGGCGATGCATTCCCATTTCATTTTTTCAAAGGGGTCTTGGTCCTCAACGTCAAGTTTCACTTCAGCGTTCTCCTCCTCGGATTCGTCATCGTAGTCGGCACCGGTAACCTTTCTCCGCTTCGACGCTCTCACAGCTCGCGCACTCTTTCTCTTGGGCTTGGACTTGGACTTGGACTTGGACTTGGCAGGGAGGGGAGGAGGGGGAGGAGGGTCGGTACGACGATAGAGTCGATTATCATCTAGAATATAGTAGTATCGGCCTTGACGGTCGTATCCAACTTCTTCAATACGCTGGGGCGCAGTTAGCATGGGTCGCAAGGCCGGGGCGGCTAGATACTCACCCATTCCAATTGGTCTGTCTCCCTTTGTGCTGGCATCTTATCGCGGATTCGATCGGGGTTCCAGAACGTCCAGACGGTGAGCTGATGAAGGACTTGAAGTTTCAAAAAGACATCAAAATCCAGGAACCTGTTCGGGACTTCGTCGTACCCGAAGGGGTTTGTAAGGTGAGAGGCTTTCGCATTGTACTGTCGTCGCGTGTATTCGTCAAAATTATCGAACCTAATGTCATAGAATGAAACTCGTCAGCCCCCGCAAGGCGCAGCTAGAAATATGTGTCACGTACGTAAGTCCGCGATGCGACGAAACCCATTTCAGGAGACAGAGCCCAATCTCCAAAAGCTTCTCAGAAGGTTCAGGTTTAAGACATTCGTTTTCCAGATCCTAAGCAAAAAAAAGTATGTTAGTCCGCGAAATACAGATTGACTAGCCATCAGAGCTCTCGGTTCTAGCCCTAGATTTAGAGCGAAGGGTTCAGCATACTTCAATTCCAAAATCTTCGTCGATTTTCATGGGTTTCCCAAAGATCGCGATATACTGCATGAGGTTCGCAAACTCCCAGCAGTTTCGAAGCTGCGTGAGCAAGCCAGGCTCCTCGCGTGGCTGCTCCGTCGGAGCGTCCACCTCGGAGCGGGTGCGCTTTCGCGATACCATGAAGGCGGTTCGAGACCGTTAAAAAAGGCGCCGCGGCGCAGGGGCAAATTTCGTGCAAATTGAAATTTTGGCGGCGATCCCGAGATATGGTGCCAGTAGGTCTGGTTGGGGAAGTGCGTCAAAGTATAATTGCGGCCTGGGTCCTAAAAACCAGAAAATGGTATACTCCAAAAGGTGGGCGTGTTCAGGCGAGAAGGACGGATGAGCTCACAGAATCTCCGGAGGCGCGCGTCGAGATCCGCCCGGCGGCTCGTCAGGTGACCCCCGATAAGGCTGACCCAGCAATACGACAAGGAGGCGACAAGAGGAGATTTTTTATGCATTGCATGCGATTAATCATTGTAATTATACAAATTCTCTTCAAAAAAGACAAATAGAGACTAACAATGCAATCAATTGACGACTAAAAGCCAGGAGTCTCAGCCAACTAACGAAACACATAAACTAGATCTGGTATCTTGCATCAGAGGTCTATCTCACTCATATCGGAGGCGGAAAAAGACCATAGAGCACAATGAAACAGAGAACAGAGAAGCAGAGCGCCGTCCATATCAGTATCCACGCAATCAAGCAGTCATGTACCGTGATGGCCGAAAGAAATCTGAGTAGATAAACAGGGGAATAAGAGAACCCTAAGTTAAAAGCAGAGGCAAAAAGACAAAGGTAGACAAATAGCAGCGAAAAGAAAGCAAACCCCCTCGCCTGACCGTCAGGAAACCAACCCCAGCCCAATATGCTGATGAACACCATTTCTGTTGATCTTTCAAACGAATCCCCTCTTGATGCTGGTATCCTTTCCGTTATTTTTGTGTGTTTTCTCTTTTCTTTTCTCCCCATCATGCATGTATACCGTAGTTGCGCCTTATAACCCATTTTCGCCTTAACCTGTCCCATGCAAATCGTAAGTGTATCAAGTATACCCAAAGAAATTGGAATCGAACGAAAGCAATGCTTTTCAACTTTTTACATGGCAACACCCGGTGCGCCGTCGGACACGTTATCGGACAGATTGATTAGAAGTTGAGCGAGGCACCGCTTTGTGGCTGCGTCGTCGCGGAGAACCGAGGAAAAGGTGGCATCTCGTAAAGGCTCGGGAAGGCATTGGCGTAAGGCCTCGCGGGCGCGGCTGTTATCACTTAATCTGTCAATCGGTCAGTAGCGCTTCAAAATAAACCCCTGGAGTTAAATTGAACATACCGGAGGAAGCAGCGCACGACATGCTTGAGTAGCCTCACGGTCTGTTGCTCAACCAGTTGAGTGACCATATTACTCAGAACCGTTCCCACGGCGTAGAACCTCTCGTATGTCGCACATATATATGCCAAGCCGATATCATCCAGCAAAATCTTCTGTACAATGAAGATAGCGACCGTCTTACTTAACTCCGAGCCCGTTTCCATTATACGGAGGCAGAGAGGGATTATCTCGGTAGTGAGGAGGAAGTTGATGACATCCGACGAATCATTCTTGACCAGTGCACCAATGACACCCAGAGAGGTGAGGCGGAGGTACTCGAAAGGGCGAGATTTCGAGGTGGTATTCAGAAAGGGATAAAGGAATAAAGGAATGTGAGCTAGTCGCAAAAGAAATAAGAATCAGTAAGGCTAGTTAAGTTGCCAATATCAAAGTTGCTACATACCGTTCAGGAAGAGGGTGCGGGTGTCATTGTGAGACGCTACACACTGCAACAAAGCCAGTGCGTTGCAAACCCGATTTGAAGCCGCAGCAGTAAGTTGCGACGGGTTCAACAGGGGGTATACGGAAATGATTTCTTGCAGTAGTGCGGTCATTACACCTGTTCAGCGAAAAAAAAAATCGTATTAGCCATTGTTGTTCGGAATGGTTCCCCGACGGGTGCCCAAGAGAGGGGGGATCCCTACCAAATGAGTGCCAGATGACAAGTGCCAGCTCAGGCACCTGTTCCCTCTTTTTGCTGAGCTCCATCAAAGCGGTTTCTCTGCGATTCGGATCCAGAAGCTCCGCAACCCAGATGAAAACCTTCCGGTTCTCATCGCTAACTCCGCCATCGATCATTGACATCGCACCCGGCAACGCGCCATCCCCACCGACGCCTCCGGCACCCACTCCTTGGGCTGAGTTGTTGGCCGCAGTAGTGCCGGCCATAGCTATACGGTTGTAGTGTTGTTGTTGAGCTGCGGCGGCAGCGGCGGCAGCGGCCTGAACTTGGGCATGTTGCTGGGCGACAAGCGTAGAATGCTGCTGTGCTTGATGTGGGTGGTGCTGGGCTTGGTGTTGCTGCTGCTGCTGCTGCTGTTGATGCTGCAACCAGGCGGCATCAGCCTGAGGATACTGGTGCTGATGAGAAAAGACGTGTTGACTTTGCGTTTGAAGCATGGCGGGCCGACGAAGGATTGATACTTAGGAGTGTGTTGCAATCCGCCCTGACCGACCGGAAAACTCGAATTGACGGTAGGGAGGGCTGAAGGGAACAAGGAGTGGTCAGTTGGTTGAAACCGAGATAAGATTCATTGATCAGTACGCCGAAGCCGGTTGCGAAAATTGAATGAGGAATAGACACCCGGGGTGAGTGTCAGGCAGAGGGTTGGATTCGATGTGAAACGGTGATTGAGGCGAGCGAGGTTCGGGCTCCGGGAGGCGGGGAGACGCAGGTTCCGACCGGCCTCGAGAGCCTGACTCAGACTCAGCTCCAACTTTAGGCCATCGATGCAGAACAGGGAATCGTCCCGACCGGCTCAGCGATGCTCGAGTTCCACTAATATTCATCTTTAATATGGTTTCGCAGTCGTGGATCTATTTAGAAACAGCCCTCGATTGCTTCCCATTGGATGGGCTGCACGTTACACTCGGCGCACGGGTTATAATGGCAGACGCATAACGGGCCATCTAGAGCTCCTGATGAGGTGTGCTCCCGTCCTGGTGCACTGTACATACATGGATGCATCCCCCTTGCCAGCTGCTTCTTCAGTGCAGTCTGGGCGCTGTTAATCCGGCCTTCGCTGTTGTCTCCGATGCTTCTGGTATCAGGAGCCTAGCGGAGCAGTCGATATGGTATACACTATGTCTGCTGAAGTGGTAACAAGGATAATCACATTCTCGTTTTATACGTATACTAGTATGTACATCCAAATATTAAACATGCAACACATCAAATCATTTCCATCATAATACAGGTATCTCCTAAAGAAGAATGAAAAATTGCGGTGGTAGAGACAGTCAGTCAGATCCATCCGTCGTGCGCCTCATGCGCCTCATTTGTCCGTATAGAAAAGGTCAATAAAACGTTAAATCATATTTGAAAATCTTCTGAAGTCATGCCGTCCACCGTCAGTCTCGTCGTAATCGTTATGCCCGTGATCTGGATCGTCCTGATCTTCTGCTCCGTCTAGTCCGTCGGTCGGAACTCTCGCTGGCTAGAAGGTTGTTAGCTGAATGCTTCAATATGCGAGGTGAAACTGGGTAATCAAACTTACTGGTGCTGGTATAATAGCTATAATAGCTTGGGTAGGTGTAGCTGCTGCTCTTCTCATCGTGGTCGTCCTTCTTTCTCCTCAGCCCGAGACAAAGCGCAATCGCACCGAGAATGATTCCTATCGTTGCGAGACTACCCCATTTCGATTTACCCTCGCCGCCATGATCACCACCAGATGGTCGCGCACCGAACCATGTGCGGCCTGGAGGCCGATGCGAGTGATGCGAGTAGTGGTCTTCCACGTATGTCTCCTCTCGTCTTCGTCGCTTGCCGCAGCCCAGGCAAGCAAGAATACTGTTCAGGAGCCCGCGGGCACAGAGACAGAGACAGACGAGGAACAACAAGAACACGCCAGCAAGTGTTCCGATCACGATGCCCGCGATAGCACCACCACTTAGGCCACCACTGCTGTCTTCCGGAGCATCGACCCCAAGCGCTGGGGATCCATCGGTGGTCACAGGCGTTTCGAAGGCTTGAGTTGTCGTCGCGGTTTCGGTAGCGGTGCTCGAATCCGTCGGGCGCACCCCGGGGGTTGCCGTATCAGTAGCCCAAATCGAGGTAGTGGCAGCCAAAACGCACTCGCCGTCACTGCAGATATCTTGAGCGCCGCAACACTTGCTGCCACACTGGCTCTCTCCGATCTCAGCTCGACAACTTCCGGAGCCGCCACCCGAGCCTGTCGGACTCGCGACCCAACTACTCCATATGGATGTGAGTGTCTGGACGTCGGTTTCGGTCTGAAGGTAGGTGCTGGTATAGTATTCCCAGGCTCCGTCTCCACCTCCACCGCTGGAACCGCCTGAAGACGAGCAGACCGCTTGGCCATTGTCTGTAATGCATGTTTCGCCAGAGGCACAGCAAAGCTGGCTGTAGTAACCACAGGGGTTGTTGCAAGATCGTTTTTCAAGGCTGCCCCCCTCGTCGGCTGTCGGCCCTAATGGACTGGCATGAGCGATGTGACACCAGCTCAGCAATGCCAGTATCGATGTCGCCGACTGTAGTAATCGTGAGGAATGCATTGCGAATATGACAGCAGTCCGAGAATTTTTGGGCGATCGGTATGGAAACAGTCAAAAAATGCGCTGACAGCCTGGCAGCCGCAATTGTTGGCTGCAGGGTCTTGACTTCGACTAAGGTCCCGCCGTATGATGACTGCGATCAACAGATCAAGACGGCAAACTCCCCCAACAAACAGATGGAATGTAGAAATAGTTTTAAGAACGTGAAGAAAATCGACGACAACCGAAAGAGGAGAGAGAAGAATGAGAGGTAAGGGAGGGGAGCCGGAGCTGTTGTGCCCGCGCAGGCGTTTGCCGATTTTCCCAACTCCCAGCCTCCTCACTCCTGCAAGTAAATATACAAGCCCAACCACCGCATTTCTGAGACATAAACCACCAATCGGCTTTAAAGTCCATGCGATCACTATGGAGTCATTTACTTTCTATTTTCAAAAATCCAAAGGCTGGACCCTAATTTTCTCCCGTCCTGCGTCGTCACTGCTCGACGGAATTTCCATCCTGGCGTGGGAGAAGCCCCTCCAACACCGTCCAACATCCCCGCATCTGACCATGCTGGGCAATACCGTCAGCCATTATTGCGCTCACGAGGGGAGTCAGCGGGCAATTTATGCTCAAGCAATCATGTCACAATATTTGCTCACGAGGTGGCAATTACTTTGATTACCTCCAAGACTCAGGCACTTCTCTCGTAGCTACGAACTACTGGAAGTCTGGAAGCCTCGCGATCAGGTACTGATTGATGGGCACTCGCTGATTAGTCGCTAATCAGGCTTCGGGCACTCCACCGGCTTTGTTGGCCCACTGTCTCTTTGACTGGTTGCTTCCTCTGGAGACTGCAGGGACAGCCTGTCAGTCCCGCTCTTTGTCCTGCAGGCTTTTGGGTTACGGCGATCAAGCGGTGTGCATGAGCAATTGTCGGTGACATTTCTCGAGTCCTTTCGTCGGTTTTCACTTTCTCGAGTATCCTGGGCGTCCGCGACTGCGAGAGATTGAAGGTCGGGTCTGACATTGCCAAGCCGACCATAGTATAATTTTGATTTTGAGATCAAAACCAGTAGATACAAACTAAACATACAGTTCCAGTATAGGACATTACTCATGTAGTCATTCCATATATCCATCAAAGACATCATCATGTACAAATTCCATGCAAAGTTTTCTTTCATCCAGAGCCATATCCATGTCCATGCTAGCTGCTTCCTCATATAAAGAATCCAGCAACGCCCACAGCCACACCAACGACGAGATCGTGAAGGCTCGAAGTCCGTCTTGACCCTGCTCCGTCAGCCCCGCCTTCGTAGTTCCCACAAACTCCTAGGTTAAGACCATGGCATGCAGACTCTCTCAAGCTGGAGCATGTCGAAGCCGCACCTGGCGCCCCAGCCTGAGTGAAGTCCGCTCCCCCTCCCGTCACAGTAACTCCATATCCCCCAAAGTGTGTAATGCACTGGGTAAAGTCGCTCTGACATCGATCATAATATGAGGAGCATTCGTCGGCATCGGAGAAGGACGTAGGTACGGCGACGAATGGGTAGGCGCCCGATATTGTCGACCCGGTAACTTGTGGCCCGTTATCGCTTGTAGGCGTCGCATCTGACGTTTGAGGGGAATTGAAACTCCCCGCTCCAATTGTACCGGTGCAGGCTGCCCTGCTCGGACAGCATGCGATGTGTTGTGCCTCGTCGCTGGTACATATAGACCCTGATCTGCAGCAGATATCTGGGTTGTCTAGATCACCGCATCCGTTGTACCCTTTGGGGCAGTTGCCATCGCGCTTCTTCAAAAGTCGTAAAACATCATATGCTCTCCTGCTGTCATCGGGGCTTGCTGTGATAGGGGCATCGAATGGAACGGTCTCGATCGAAAGTGCGCCGGAGGCGAGGAATGTGGCCGCAATCCAGCTGGAGATCTTCATTCTCGAGGGTTAGGCTTGGGTCGTCCCGCCGCAATGGAAAGAGACTTATAATGGGGACAATGATATTTTGTCAAGATAGAAAATTATGTTCTGTCGAGCGGCTCCAATAATTCAGGGCTCTTCCGTCGGGTAGCGATGACGATGAGGTGGCTGGCGATCAACAAACTACTCGAAGCGGCAAAACAGAGTGAGATCCGTGGGTGGGCCTGAAACCCACGAGCGCCAAGAGCAGTGCCGCCCTATACTGAGAACCCAACCACCTCACTACGTACCATATATTGCATCACTAAGGCCACTTTAATTAGACTGAAGCAGTCCTCTGCCAAGTACTCCGCATTACTCTTGTCAAACAGAGATGACAAGTCCCTGGTTTGAACAACACCGGATTCTAGAACCAAGCTTAAAAACAACCTAGCTCTGGAGCAACAAGCCTGTAATGTATGACGATTGCAAAACATGTGACCGTCAGCAGACTCGCCAGCTGAACACCCTGGCGTTGGTGCAAGGTTTTTAAACCATTACTGAGCTGCTACAAAATATCCTCGACATTATCGGTGCACTGATCATGGAACTTCCGGTCGTGGATTTTACGGCGTGGTATAGCATCGGGGATGAACGGTCTCGACAGCGCGTGGCGCAAGAGCTCGTGGATGCCTGCCAGCGGGTAGGATTCGCGCGTATCATCAACCATTCATTACCTGGATCAGAACTTGACAAGACATTCGAGTGGATGAAAAGGCTATTTGCGCTTCCAGAAGAGGTCAAAATGAAAGCCCCGCATCCAGAAGGATGGGCCGTTCATCGCGGATACTCATGGCCTGGACTCGAGAAGGTCTCTCAAACCATGAGCACTGGAAATGATGATGAATTGAAGAGGAAATTGAGAGAGGTGCCTGATGTTAAGGTGCGCGGTTGCCTATTTCATGAGCAAACCTACCGGCGCCTCCTCTGGACTCATTTAGAGCTCTGAAGCCCATGCTCACGGTGATATAGGAAGTTTACGATATCGGTAGTGAAGAAGATGCTAGTCAACCAAACCAATGGCTTCCTAACGAGAATCTACCCGGTTTCCGGGACTTCATGACCCGATTCTACTGGGACTGTGACCGAGTCGGCAAGGAAGTTCTCCGGGCACTGGCTGTAGGACTCAACCTAGAGGACGCAGAATACCTGACGAGAAAACATTCAGGAAATGCTAATCAACTTCGACTGCTTCACTACTTGCCTGTCCCGGCTGAAGACTTGGAAAACGATCGAGTTAGCCGCTGTGCCCCTCACACTGACTGGAGCTCGATAACTTTGCTCTTCCAAGATGACTGTGGCGGACTGGAGGTAGAAGATACCTCACGCCCTGGTATTTTTGTATCAGCGCCTCCTGTGAAGAATAGCATTATCATGAATGTGGGAGATTTATTACAGAGATGGAGTAATGGTCCGTTCCACCGGTTTTAGAATCCGGCACCCTGAAAGATAGCCTAATCCTGATCTATAGACCGATTACGCTCTACAAACCACAGAGTAAGCCTACCCAAGCTCTCGAATCGAATTGAAGGACCGAACCGGATGACCCGCGAACGGTACTCGATTCCTTACTTCATGTCTCCAGACGATGACACTGTCATTGAGTGCATACCATCTTGCATGAGTGAAAACGAGCCCGCGAAATATGAGCCTATAACGCGCGGGGATTACAATAAAATGAGGGCGTCCATGATGTATTAATTTCGATTTACCATCAGCTTTTCAGCTTCTCGACATTCAGTATCGGGAGCGGGGTTGGCATATTGGCATGGTCGTCAGGACAATAACTTAGGCACAGGCACCGAAAATAGTTCAAGAATGACAAGATATAAATTAGTTCCGAGGTTTTAAACCGTGTACGGAGTATATCAAAGTTGAAATCGACTGGAGTATAAATCCAGCCCTAAGCCCTCATGTATGCCTCGTCAATGCCTGGATATAAAATTCTGCCTGAGGCAGAAAAGATTACCAGAGCCAAGCCGATAAGGGTCCTGGAGTTTGTCGGCCGCCTCGCCGGAGCAGACAAACGACAAGAAGCCTCAATCGCAAAATACCACCCAGGACTATTCACCATTACTAGTAACCTGGCTGTATCGATACCTAATCTCCCACCGGCTCTCATATCAACCCACGAAGCACACCTGAACCTCCATAACCCAAAACCTCCCACGTCACGGCAACCCCTCCGCCGCATCTTCCAAAATGTCTATCCCAAATGAAGCTCTCCAGAAGGTTAGTTCAGCATACACGCACAACCCTATATCAATGAATGAGCCCGCTAACGCAGCTGGTGTTCTTCACGACAGCTCCTCCAAGAAATCGAAGCGCGAGTGATCACCTCGCAGCAACAAATCGGGATCACGAAGGCGCAGATGACCAGCAAGAACCGCGATATTCGGATGCTCGAGTTGACGACGAAGGAGATTGGGTCGCTACCTAGTGATACGAGAGTTTACGAAGGGGTTGGAAAGATGTGAGTTTGCTCTGCACCTTGCCAGGTTGGCACCCTGGTCTTCCCGAGGATAGAGTGAGGTCAAGATGGGTGAATATGAGCCGAGACGGAATGTAATGCTGACACTGGTTGCTTGCGATGTGTAGGTTCGTTGGTGTGCCCAGATCAACGGTCGATAAGCGGATAACGACAGAGAGCGGGGAGCTGAAGGGGGAGATTGAGGGACTGGAGAAGAGGATGCATTATTTGGAGATGACATATAAGAACAGTCGGGAGAACTTGGAGGCTATATTGAAATCCGGTGGAAAGGCGTGATTTTCTTTTATTTTCTGTCTATGGGAACATACCTACGAATGGGACAAAATTATGACACCATTTATGAGTGCTTGCTTGCCGGGTTATCAGAGCCCATCGTCCCTAACGAAATGTAACTGCATACATCGGTGCCATCGTCTCTCGATCGGGCCCAGTCCTTGGAGGAACGAGCAGTTCGGCCAAATACTGACAAAAGAAATGGCACGTTCTATGCGAAGGGTGCGATCCTTGCCACTGGGTCCGCAGGTGGGATTGGATGGCTAGCAATTACGAGCAGTCACGCTTTTCCCTGTGGTTAGCAATCTATGGGACTAGCACATGAATCTGGATGATACGGGTTGCTGAGTATCTGTTAAAATGAGTTGCTGTTGACGGGTGGGATGGAGGGATGCTGCTGTGTAGCATGAGCACATATGGCAAAAAATGTGGAGGAGTATTTGCAGTTGTGTAAATTTTGTTTTTGAGGCAAAGAAGTTATTTGCAACGATTTAAAAACTGGAAGTGTATGGATTTGATGGTTGGATTAGCCATCACTGTCTGTCCGTTGGCTGATAGCGTAGTTATATATTAAGATTCCACAAGCTGCAGCTGTTGAATGAAGCTTTGCCTCTTTACCAATAATCGGGCGACGTGAATATAAAGCCATCAAGTCAAAAACACAGACATTTTAAAGATATTGGTTTAATCCAGGAAATGAAGCCCGTAATGTACCTACCTCAGTGAATATTCCGACCTGTTGGCTGAGACGCTCAGACGAGAACAAACCCTCCAGATTTGCTCCATAATTAAACTCAAAAGGAAGACAGACGAAGTCAAATACGACACACGGTGCCAGAAGAAACACGAGTCCCATTTTTTATGATTTGGGAGATTTCTAGACCTCGGTGATCAGTCCCCCAAAGCGCAGCGCTGATAAGGGCTGCCTAGTGTCAGCCTGGTGTCAAAGAGAACACCACACCCAATATTTAAGCATTCTTGTCCGGTGAGCGGGGCTTCGCCGGGACTGATTCTTTCTTGAACTTCACCCGCAAGGATAAGGAATGCCGTTAACTTGGAAGGGCTGAGCCGCTGAGGTCAGAGGGACCCAGCGATGGCGAATCGCCCGGCTGGTCCTGCACGATTATATTAATATCCCCCCATATTAATTGGTGCCACATCCTGCTTCTTCCAAGGTTCCGATCATTGGAAGCGAAGTCGGCGGTCGGAACTTTGGAGTCATGTCCTACGAGAAATGCCCGCTATTTCCCCCAAGGCCTGAGTCTTGGATACGGCGCGGGATTAACCGCCGTGTTCCTTGGTTGTAGTCGCTATGTTTAAGAATAGACTCCCGATATCAAGAGCCAACGGTGTTTTATGTAGCGCCGTAGAAATGAATGGACCAAAGTAGATCTTGACGTCGAGGAGCGCCCAGCCACCTGCACAACCCTGCGATGAAGAGCCTGGTCGTCATTCATTCAGATGATCAGCCGCCCAATGGCCCAATGATGCCGGATCCCCCACTCCAGCTGAGCCGCCCGCCATAGAGGAGGAGGGGGCTGCTTTCCTGACTTTTGTCCCCTCGCCTCTTTTCTCTTTCTCTCTCCCGGTTTTGCTCGTTCTCTCATCGTCTGTTTCATCCTTATCCCGTTTCGACTTCCTTGTTGGTGCCTGACGTTCAGCTGGCCCTTCCCCTCGTCCACCCATTTTAGCCCCGCCGCTCCGTCCCTTATCGAGCCACTGGACTGTTCTTACTCTGCATTAGCCCTCGTGTTCGCTCTGCGATAAATTTATCCCACAAGCGCTATATATTCGGAGGTTATCTTGTTTCGCAGGATGCCTAGACACCGCCGTTTTTCAATCACCGACTCTGAGACTGACTACTCAGAATCTGACACTTCCATGATGGAGTACCCCCGCAACCATAGAAGACGCTCCATTTCCCGCACTCGCCCCAGCTACAGCAACACTTACCTGAGCCCTAACAGGGTACACGAAGATGTTCGCATCCACCGATCTGCCTCGACAGGTGCCCGTCGCACCCGACAAGAGCGCGATCGGGAGCGGGTCGATCGAACCCAACCCACTGCCGTCATTGTTGACATCAAAAACGACTCTCGGAATACGAGCTCCAACAAAGCCCGTAAGGATCGCCGCGATAACCACCGCGAAGAGACCAACCATTACCTAGACCCTTATGAGTCTGAGGACGAGACTTACTTACGGCGCCCTCAGCGCCGAGCTCGTGCTAGTACTAGCGCTTCCCACTCTCGGGAGCCCTCGCCCCTCCAGCCGCCACCCCGCGACTATGACCTCCTCATTGACCAGCGGGTGCTTGAACACAATGACCACCGCCAGGATCTCGAGCTCCTCCGACAGCAACAAGAGATTGAGCGGCTTGAGCGGCAGCTCGCCCGCAACCATGGCGAGCATGACGTCCGTCTCATAAGGGAGGAGGAAGACCGATACGAAGACGATATAAGTGACAGGCTGCGACGGCTTCAGAGATACGAGGAGCACGAGCGCCTAGAGGAGGAGAAGCGCAAGGCTGAACGTCGATATAGGCTCCAGAGGTTGGAGGCGGCCGAGCGTGAATCCGCTGAGCAAGAGGAGGTGCGCCGGAAGCTAAAGCATGAGAGGCTCGTGGAGCTCCAGCGCAAGATTGATGAGGAAGAGGAGCGCGAACGGGTCAAGAAAGAAATTCGCGATGAGGAGGCAAGGAGGGCTCTTGAAGAACAGAAGAAACGAGCCGAGGAGGCCAAAATGAAGGCTGCCGCTGTCGAGGAGTGGAAACTTGCTGAAGAACGACGGAGAATCGCCGAGCGTGAGGCAGCAGCGCAGCGTGACAGGGAGTTCAGGGAACGCCTGAGAGTTGAATTCGGCTACACGGAGGAGGAGATTGAAGACATTATCAACAAGAAGCACAAGAAGGATAAGAAGGAGGGAAAGAAAGACGAGAAGGGGGAAAAGAAAGACGAGAAGAAAGAAAAAAAGGAGGAAGACCCCAACAAACCAACTTGGATCAAGGTACGATGCCGCAATCTGACTTTGCGATGGACTCTACTAACGTTCTTTAGGTCCACCGCAAGCATCTCCTTCCAGACACGTTGATTGCCTATCGGCTCCCTTGGTCATGGGATGAGGTAGGTTTAGCTGTTAAGATTTTCTGATGTATTTCGGGCTAACAGATGAACTTCTAGTACGACGGAAACTATATGATCATCAAGTCTTGGGTCAGCGAAGAGCTCCAGGAGGAACTGTTCGCACACAGCCGGCGATTGCGCGAGGGCAAGGTCATCGGCGAGAAATCTGAGACCTTGACCGAACTGAGGGTGAATGACCGTAACAAGGATAAAATGTACCTTGTGCGGAAGAAGAGCCCTAGCCGGCGGTCATGGATCTTCACCTGATGTGGATGTTGAATTCTTTGTCTACTTATTGACGATCTCCCCTTATATATCCCTACCTGACCTTCCTTGCAACTATTACCTTCGCTACTCGTTTCCTTACACGGTTCTATGAGTGCTATTTGTTTATACTTGACTTGGTCTTTAACATGAGTTGTGATTTATTGCTATTTATACACGATACAGTCATGAATGAATGATCTATGATGGCCTTTCCAACCCAAACCATGACACATTACAGACTCGGTTGATAGATTAGTATTATATCCCCACCTCAGACCTCGCCTCTGTCTTCGCCCACCTCGTCTCCGCCCTCAGAATGAGCTCCTCATACACCGTCCACGCAAGCGCGGAACTCAGCGCTTTCCTCCCAATCCTCAGGCCCAACCCACCAAACAGACTCCGCACCCCGTCTTCCTGAATCATCAACCGTACGGCACGCATCATATTCCCGTACTTTGCTGGCATAAGCTGAAGCCGTGTCTTTACCGCATCAAATGGATTCGTAATCGTCGTGGCAAGCCCAGCAGCCAAAGCACCCGAAACAAAATTAACAGACGAAGACGACGGGGATTTCAGCCGCTGATCCGCCTCAGAAGTAGTAGTCGTTGCAGACGCTAGGTACCGCTTTAACTGCTCGTAGATGACGACATAAAGGCCCGCATATGGGGCGTCTCGCGCAGCGGTGGCACCGAATCCAGCGAAGAGACCGCGGATTCCTTCTGTACGCATTATGTCCCGACCTGCGCCGTAGAGACTGCGGTATGCATAGTAGTCCGACTCATAGCGGACTTTGATGACAGTAACAGGCATCATGACAAACCCCGCGGCGACCCGCGCAGCGGCTCCGGTGGCTAAGTTTGCGGTGTTGGAGAGTTTAGGGAGAGCGGATGAAGAAGACACGGAGGAGGGGAGAACCGTGCCGTTAGCAACATTATTAGGGTTAGCGTTTGCGAGGGCGATGGGTGTTGCGAGGCTTTGGCGAAGCGCGTTGAGAGACGTGAAATAGAGAGCTGAGCCGAAGCCTGTGCGGAGGGCGGAGGGCAGGGTTCCACGCCATAGACTGCGGATTGGGTTGGGAGAGGAAAGGATTGTTCTGACTGTTGAGAGGAGAGAGGCGTGATGGTGTGATTGTTGGACCCGAGTTTTGAGGAGATCTGCTGGTTGCAGGAGGATAGAGGATGTGAGACCTGAGAGGAGTCCAGCTCCGAAGTGGAAGGTGGTTTTGGAGGCTGGATTCGGTCAATTAGTCACTGCAGTTGGCTTCAAGGTATCAATCCAATGGAATGGGTAGATGGATACATTTTGAGACCGTCCTCACCGGTGGAGGTGCGTAGGTAGAGCTAGCATTGTTCGACATATCGATATCTCCAGCGCTTCCGCAGGAAAAGGCCCGAGGTTCAATAGATATCTATCTCACTGTCGGACAAGAGCGTAGTATTTTAGACCGGAAGTTGGACCGTTTTTGAGCACGGTCACGTCTGAGGAGGTCTGGCCCACATTTCAGGCCCAGGAGTCGGGGGTTGGTTTACAGTGGATGGAGTGAAGCTATCGGTGAATTATGTGAGATGCCGCAATATTTTTTTCAGATGTTCATGAAGTCATCCGAGGTTTTGCGGAGAGGTTTCTGATTGGCTGTCTCCGCATGCGCCTGGTAAGATTCGTATTAGTACTGTAATGATACCCCGCCGGTGGGTAGAATTCACTTGCAAAGTCCTAAATGGGCAATCTCTGGATGTATAGGTGATTCTTTATAGCGACCGAGACGCAATAAATGTGCGAGTTGACCCGGCTGTACGCGCAATTTGCCGCAATGGATCCTATCTCCAGGCGGTTGTCCGGAAGTTGCGGAGGCAAGGGCCAATCGGCATCCAATGAGACAGGATGATTTGTCGACGTCACAGGCGAACCTGAGTCGAAGAACGGTTCCTGCTGATGCGAACCACAGCCCATAAGGCTGTTACTTCCTCGGCGGCATTGATAATTCTCCCTTGCTCCTTTCTGCATCTTCCTGCTTGCCTTCTGCAAGAGAGGTATTGTCAGATTCCTACGAGGATCTGTGTCTGCGCCTACGACTCTAATGGCCTGGCTTCCGTCCATTCCGTATCCGCCTTCTAGGGATGGTTATTGGCACCCTGTTACTTCGACTTTGAACTGGTGCGAAGAGGCGAGTCGCTGCCCTGGCTTTCTCGATGAGTGCCTGTAGACTGAGGCTAATATTTGATACGTATATAGGACTATTATGCTACAATCTACTCTGCGGAGATCGTCAATACCTTGACGAATCTCTTGTTCATGATGCTAGGAGTGAAAGGCATTCTTAGCTGTCGGCGCAATGGGCACGATACAATTTTCCAGGTGGCGTACTATGGGTACATCGTGGTTGGTGCCGGCAGCTTTTTATTTCACTCAACACTGAAATGTAAGCGGCTTCCATGGACCCGATTTTAGGATCGCGAAAGCTGACTAGCCTCGGTTTGCTAGACCCAATGCAACTAGTCGACGAGTTGTCTATGATTTACACCACATGCCTGATGTGCTACGCTTCGTTCTCCTACTCAAGATCAGTCAGCTACCGAATCTTCCTGGCTCTGTTCCTCTCTGCCCTGGCTGTCTTCATCACTCTTTACTATCATTACCTCCAAAACCCAGTATTTCACCAGAATGCATACGCCCTTCTTACTGCCATCGTGCTAGTACGGAGTATGTACACAATGGAGGTGGAACTCCGCCCTTCGCGGCGGCATACAACCGAGGAGGACCGGCTCGAACGGAAAAGGCAGGGCCTCCCCGTCCTCTCCAAGGAAAGACAACACTACGAGAATGTCCGGGACTTGAAGATTTTGAAAACAATGTGGTTCATGGTTGGCTACGGACTAAGTGTCTTTCTGGGCGGGTTCGCAATCTGGAACCTGGACAACTATTTCTGTAGTACAATACGAGTGTGGCGTCGAGAACTCGGCCTTCCCTGGGGCATCTTGCTTGAAGGCCATGGTTGGTGGTATGTTAACTGACTGGTATTCATGTATTAAACCACAGTCCCATGCTAACTCGGTTTGACTAAAGGCATGTAATGACCGGTACCGGCGCATACCTTTACATCGTATGGGGTATTTGGCTACGGCACTGCCTGAACAAACGCCAAGAGGAATACCAATTATGGTGGCCGCATATCTGGAACACGCCTGAGATCGTGCGAACCTTGACCGACGCAAATGGATCGGCCAAGAAAGTACTTTGAGACACGCTGGTTAAACGCTTTTACCCTCCGCTTTCGACTATATATTTATACCTTTTTTCAGCGGAAGAGCCTTGTTGTTACGGAGTTGTGTGCGTTGGATACCTCACTGGCAAGTGGCTATAGCTTTATCTGAGTTATTTTTAGGGCCAGCTTAGCTGAACTGGGCCGCTGATAGACATTTCCACTACTGGGTGGTTGAATTTAGATAACATATAGAATGAAATCAGGGAACAAAAGCTTTATAGAAATGATACCCACTCAGGAAATAGTGTATGTGTATTTCTAATGCGTGATACTCTAGTTTGTATGTACTAGTGTCGTTAGGAACTGCATAACGCATCACAGCTTCGACTTCGAAGCTTCCTTCTTGGGCCGCACAGGAGCCGGTACATGCTCCTTCCAGCGACGATCGATGGTCATTTTCTCCACCTTTGACTTGCGGCTCCACTGGTCCCTGAACAACTTCTCGTCTTCCTTCCACCGTTGCAGCTCCGGGCCCAGCCATTTGCTAGTTTCCTCGGCACATTGGACCGGCGCTTCCTGCGCAACGAGGTGCCCGTTCTCCTTTAGCACCACGTCTTTGACACGCCCTGCCAGTATACCGCCGCTCCCACCGAGACCAGTTCCTGTATGATTCAATTTATCTGCTATCATGGTCGGCGGGGACATGTCTGACTTGCCACCGAAGATATATAGTACGCTGGGACGGAGGTGCGGGAGTTGGGTAAATACTCGGTACGGCTCCGGCCGATAGAAAGGCCAAGAACCTACAATGTCTGGGTCGAGGTCTGGGTGTGTTACTTTGTTTACGGGGACAGCAAACCCAGGCGGCCCGTCGTAGTTGGGTCGGGAGAATGTGAATACTTCCTGGTGGAGCGTTGTTCGCAAGGTGACAGGATATTCAGCGCTTGTGTCTTTCTCTGAAGAAGTCGAGGGAGATTGGTCATTGTGGGGGTAGATGGGTGTAGGAAGATCTCGGAGGCCGTATTGGATCCAACGTTCTAGTACGCGAGGGTCCCAAGCTTGATAGAAAGGATTTCTCTTGAAAGATTCTGCGGCAGCCTTCCGGGATGGCCACTTGTCGCGCCTATAGGTGGAGAGCTGAGTGGTTTTGGCGATAACGAGTTTCTGCTTCCCTAGGTCGGAGGGGTCTAGTTGGGTTGTTTGTCGTTGGATGACGGGGTCGAGCAGGATAAGGCTGTGAATAAGGCGAGGATGTATACTAGCCAATTGAACACTAAGGCAAAGAACCTGGTCAGTGATATGATATCCGAGTGGTGAATTGGTCGCTGGAGACAAACAGATGTGCGCCGCCCATACTATGTCCGACACCGATGATGGGGCGCGGCATCTCTTTCCGCTTTACGTTGACAAGTTGGAGGAGATCACGCGGATGGTCAAACCAGCTGGCTGTAAGTGTAAATGGTCAGTACCTGTGCGCCCAGTGTAGACATCGAAGGCCTCCACTTACGATCATTTCCCAGTAGGTTTTCGTTCACCACGCTGCTGTGTCCCTGGTGCGCAACATCTGCCATCCAAATGCTCCGAATCCGGAACCCATTCGCTTTTGACCGAGCATGTATTTCTTCCCAGAGCGGCTCATAAAGCTCCTATTCAGGCTTTTATTAGCCAAGGCATATACTCGGGGAATTATTCGTACGGGTTTGGCTATCGATAACCCTGGCTAACGATGATCTCATACCTTCGGAAAGCCGTTCGCGTGCGCCGCAAGTATAGTGACATCCCCCGGTTGGGGACTAGGATTATCCAAGGGAATGTACTGTCTCACAGCCAAATTCAAAATGTCCTCTTGTTCATTTGCTGTCGCACCGGGATATTCTCGGATGTGCTGGCAGGGAACCACATGCTCGACGATGCGGAAGGGTCCCGATGAGGACATGATGGTTTTCAAGGGGCTAGGTTGAAGCGCTGCAGAATGCTGGTTATCACAAAGTAGGAGCCGATGATTAAGAAGAAAACGAGGGTTTGGCTTTTAGGTATTGGAACTCGGGAGCGCACTGGCTGACCGTTGCCGATGCAGGGCCCCCAGAAAGTTAAGCCGAGGCTCTCCAGACTGGCCGATCAAGAGCCACACCCGATGGGAGCCGCGGGGAGCCAATCTCCCGCGCAGAATGCGCAATGAAGGTAAGGGACATAATGGCAAATGTATATGGAAATACAAACTTGCGCAAATATGCCGTATTCTTTGAGAGTCACGAGGATAGATTCTTATCCACGGTGGGTTGATGTCAGGCTCAAATAGGCAAGACCTATACACGTGACCTGGTGTCTATTGGCGCGTCTCAAGCGCGTCGCATCTGCGGAAGTGACCAACACAATTGACCTCGAATTCTGACAGCTGCAGCCAACGAACCCCAGACTTGCTTAATTCCCATTATCGAGGGATCGTGTTCCAGCGCCCTCTCACCACAAGACACGACCGGCTTTTCGCTCCTCACGCGCTGATTAGTTTGAAACTCTTATCGATACCAATCGCAGGTGTTTTCCCACCATGGGGCACCGAGACGAAAGCTTCCAGTTGTTTGACCAGTGCAGGGTCTGCATAGTATCCTCCAAAGACCTTAGCCCAGATACTGCACAACAGGTACGTACGGAAGAATAAAACGACCAATCTTCTAGAATCTAACCTGGTTATCTGATCTCAGCTCGCGTCTACCCTCGAAGAGAATGGCGGCGAACCAGTCGTCTATGAGCCCCCGGCTGAATTCCCGGACCTCGCTGAATTTAGTCACATCATGTCCACCACCATCGACTTTCCCGAATTCGATGCCGCCAATGATGCTTTGATCCCCGTTGTTAAGCCTCAGTGGATGCAAGCATCGCTGTCAAAGAGAAAGCTTGCCAACCCACGGCAATATAGCCCTGACCCTAGGCTCTTCTTAAATGATGTCGTGGTTACGTGCGGGGATATCCCAGAGGGCGATAAGGACGCGATCATCGGTGGGGTTTTAGCGAAAGGGGGTCTCTATAACCCTAGAGTGACTCAAATGTGTACTCACCTAGTTGATTTGACTATCGACTCCGACAAGGCCCAGCTGGTCAAAAATCGAAACCTTGACGTTAAAATCGTTCTTCCTCATTGGTAAGCGCTATTCTATCCTGGCCTTCCATTCTGATTACACATGTATTCACATATTTCTTAGGTTTGATGACTGTTTGAAACTTGGACGACGCATCGATGAACGTCCTTATACGCTTCCAAACCCTGAAATACTTCGCTCGGCGCCAGACGCTCCAATTAGATCTACAGAGAACCGCGACATCATCGGGGCATCTACCCCAGAGCCAGCCACATTACCAACTCCCATCACATCCCCTGTCAAGCCCAAGCTTAATGTCTTTCATGGAAAGGTCATTATGCTCTCCGCGGACCTAGAAATTGGATCACACCTCCAAAAGACCATTTCAACGCTCGTTAAAGATGGCGGTGGCGAGATGACTTCAGAAGTCTCAAAGGCAACCACTTTAATATGCCGCTACAGAGAAGGATTTGCATATCGCGTGGCGTCAAGATTGAACAAAGACGTTGGGAATCTATCCTGGCTTTACCATTTGATCACATACAACACTTGGACGTCGCCCTATCGACGCCTACTGCATTATCCCGTCCCACGCACTCCCATCCCAGGATTCGAAGGGTTCAAAATCAGCTTGTCTAACTATATTGGGGAAGCGCGATCCTACCTAGAGAATCTAATTTCGGCCACTGGTGCTGAATGCACTAAGACACTGAGACAGGAAAACACACATCTAGTGACTGCACATGACAATAGTGAGAAGTGCAATGCAGCCCGAGAATGGGGGTTGCACGTTGTTAACCATCTCTGGCTGGAAGAATGCTACGCGAAGTGGAGATTGCTGCCCGTTTCTGATCCTCGGTACACCCATTTCCCCCGGCGAACGAACCTAGGCGAAGTCGTGGGCCAAACCCGGTTAGATAGGTCTTGTCTCGAGAGCATGTTTTTCGCAGAAGAAACAGTCTCGGCACCTGCAGGCCCCAGGAAAGCAATGCAGAACAGAGATCAGAACACTGCAGCTATGAAGGCCTCGGGTGTTGATGAGAATATGGTTTCTGACACAACAAATGCTACTCCCAGAATTGGCAAGTCGAGGAAGGCTACGGAGAGCAAGAACCTACAGACACCTGCCCGCTCTCGTCTCGCGTCGGATGGCAAGGAAAACGACACGCCATCCTCTACGAGCAGTCGCAAATCTAAGGACGCTGCAACTGCTAAATTGCATGACATTGCACCCGACATTGCTCTGTATGAGAAGGAAATGAAACGCGTCGGTGGTGTGATTTACGGTGGTCGACGGAAAACCGACGAAGATCGAGTGACCCTGAATAATAACAAGAAACGATCATCAATGGAAGCCCAGACTGAGAGTGACGAAGAGGATGCCACAGAAGCTAAGCGGCAGAAGAAAGCGAAACCCCCTATCGCAATGCATCTTCTCATAACAGGTTACAAAAAGTGGGTTGGGAATATGAAAAAAGAAGATGCCGATAAGGTTCGCTATCCCCTTAGTTTTAGGTATATACAAAATTGCTAACACGGATAAGCGCCAACTTCGGGAGCTCGGTATCATGGTCGTCCAAGATGCGCGCAAATGCTCTCATCTCGCTGCCCCGTCTGTTTTACGAACCCCCAAATTTGTTAACGCCCTTGCTTATGGCCCGGTGATTGTCCAAATCGATTTCATTACTCAGTGCCTGAAGAAGAATGAGCTTCTAGACGTAGACGACTTTCTTCTCAACGATAAGGAAGCCGAGAAGCGGTTCGGGATTTCATTGGACCAGGCTAATGCCAATGCGAAAACGAACAAGAACAAGCTTCTCCGAGGATATCACATATATTGCATTGAAACTATCCGAGGAGGGTTCGATGCTTTCAAGTCAATCGTTGATGCCAACGGGGGCGATTGCAACCTTTTCCGGGGCCGCGTTTCATACCAAGCGCCCCGCGAGGAGAGTGACGATGAAAGCGACGACGAGCACCAATCAAACCGAAAGGAAATTTATCTTCTCAGTAGCGCGGCTGCCGAGCACCAAAAGCTGTGGCCACGATTCAGGCAGCTAGTTCAAAATATAGGTAAAACCCCGCGGATTGTCCGGGTTGATTGGCTTCTCGACATGGCCATGTCGCAGGAGCGGCGGGCTGCTGGGGATTATGAACTAGATGAAGAAATGGTGGAGCAGACTGAAGAGTAAGCTGATGCTCCGGCAGTGTTTGATATTTCACTTACGATACCTGCATGTGATCATGGCTTGTCTTGCCTGGAGTTTTTTGTATATCCACATCTGTTTGCAGAATAATTGGCGATTTGTAGCATTTGAATGGAAACTCGTTTGGGCGGGCTTTAGAAGAATTTCACTCCCTCTTGCCCTTCACTACCGAAAACCTGTGCCTTTCCCTGCTTAACGAGGACGTTCAAGGACCGCATCATCGCTTCTATGTCCATCCCATGCCATTCTATGCAAATCAGCTTCAAAATCATCAACTATGCTTGCGCGAGAGCCAACATACCTTGTGAAATAGTCGCTTCCCCTTGAATCAGCTCATAAACCGTAAGGACAACATTCTTCTGCCCTGTGTTCTCTACCTACAACCACCAATAAGCCCAAGTTAGCGTTCAACCCAAATAGATTGAGAGAATAGTAAAACCACCTACCCAATCTGCAATAATCCCCGCCCATTCCTCAGGTCTCTTCCACCAAATCCACGCCGTAGTCTTGTTAGGCCCGTCAACCCACTCCGCCCTCCGCCCACCACCTCCCTCTTCATCTCCCTTGCACATCCAATCTAGCACCGTCCTCACATCGCTTAAACTAAGCCGCTTTGAGATCTGAGCGTTCCGAAAGAGTTCTGACTCCACGGCCTCGGCAAGATTGAGTTTGTATGTATTGTGCTGTCGGCACCAAAACTGGATCAGCTTGGACCAGCGCTGGAATTGAACGACGCGGGTGCTGGCGTTTGGCTGGAGAGAGAAGAACGGGGGGAAAGAGTAATAGTAGGGGAAAGCAAAAGCCCCGGAAGGCACATCCTTCATTTTGAATACGGATAAAGGAGGATATGTTGTGATACAGTAAACTGCTTGATATGGAGGATGCGGGGAAGTCTCGTCCCTCCGCTCCGCTCGAGTGACGTTCGCCTGTTCCGTCGGCCGCAGAAAAAATTCCGCCCGGCGACTTGACGACAACTCGAACAACCCCTCTTGCACCAATTCACAACCCCAAAAGAGAGAATTTACCATTCGCCATGGGTGCATCAGCCAAAAAACAAAAGCGCGAGGAATTTCGCAAAAAGCTCGCTGCTGCGAACTCCGCAGAGTCTGGCGAGAGCTCCCCCGCCTCAGCGGCCCTGAAGCTGCCTCAGAAGAAATACTATCGGCAACGCGCTCATGCGAATCCATTTTCAGACCACATGTTGAATTAGTATGTTTTATATTCTATAACATACTGTTCTGCCCACTTCAATTGGAAGACTAACGGCTGTTTGTTGCTGTGTATAGCCCCCTCACCCCAGCACATATGGACTGGAGCACGCATTTCCCGGCCTTCACAAACCCCGACCCCATGCAGACGAACCTCGCCGGCGCAAGAAAACTGCTTAAGGATGTCGAAGTTGTAGACATTGGGTGTGGATTCGGCGGGTTACTTGTCGGGCTTGCGCCAGTTCTCCCTGATACACTCATGGTTGGTATGTTTTTTCGCTGGTTCAAACATGATATAGCCCCGTCTATACAAATAAGGATAACTAACACATTTTTCTGAAAAACAGGAATGGAAATCCGTATCCAAGTAACCGAATACCTAACAGCCCGCATCAAAGCCCTCCGCAACCAACAACAGCAACTTCTCCAAGTCCAGCCTCCTTCCTCCTCAATACCGACCCCAGCGCCACCTACAGCCGCAGCTCCAGATACTCCAGGCACCCCAGGAACAGAGGCAACCTCCGACGAAACCTTCCCTACCACCATAATCCCGGGCAGGTACCAAAACATCACGGCGCTGCGCGCCAACACGATGAAGTTCCTACCCAACTTCTTCGCGCGCGGCCAGCTATCCAAAATATTTATATGCTTTCCAGACCCCCATTTCAAGGCACGCAAACACAAGGCGCGGATTGTGAGCGAGTCCCTGAACGCCGAGTATGCCTATAGTTTGAAACCTGGGGGGCTGCTGTATACGATTACGGATGTAGAGGAGTACCACTATTGGATTTTGAGGCATTTTGGGTATTATGACCAAGGACAACAAGGGCAGGAGCAACAGGCAGAAGAAGAAGAGGGAGGGCAAGAGGAGAAGAGGGAAGGGTCGTCGGAGCTCTTTGAGCGGTTGACGGAGGAGGAATTGGAGCGGGATGAGTGTGTAAAGGTTATGAAGGATGCTACGGAGGAGGGGAAGAAGGTTACGAGGAACAAAGGGAATAAATATGTGGCGGTTTTCAGGAGGAAGGGTAATCCGGAGTGGATTTGATTTGAATTACTATACGGCCCATTTTCCGTCTATTCGGAGTTCTTATTGGGATTATCAATTGCTTTCTGGGCTAGCATTTACTCTTATATTTAGGTCGACTGAGTATTTTGTTTCATAAATCTTTAGTAATCCGACACCGACATGACTTGTAAGAAAGGAAACCAAAAAGAGAGCCCACCCAAATGCGATTGACTGGATGCCTATATGCAATTGGGTGTAGATAGGAAAAGAAAAATACACAATGAATGACAAAAAGATGTTAGATGTTTCGCACATGCCAAATCTAGGGTTTAGTAAAATACGAATGAGCGCTGCGTTCTGCGTAAGTCATAAATTCTGACATAGTACCTCATTATCAGGCCTATAGAGATCATGTCCTGAGCGAAGTCTTTAGTCGGATGCCTTCGCATCGTTCGCACACGGCCAGCTGAACTGGGCCTCCGATGATCCGGCCTTTGGCGGTTCGTCTTGGCTCGCCTTCCTTGACAAAGTACCGACCCTCAGGACCGAAGCCATCGCCGCACTCATGGCAGACAAAACAGTTGTCGTGCCACTTCCCACCTACTGCTGTGACCACAATGTCATCGAGAACAGGCTTTTTACAACCAGAGCAATTAGGAGCAGTTCTGCGAGAGTGGCAGTTTAGACACCAAGCATAGCCATCTTTCTCCACGAATGGAGTGTTCGAATTGAAAGGCTGAGAGATGGTCAGTAAATTTTCAAATGCAATATGGAGGATACATACATCACCACATTCAGCGCAGAAGAAGTGGCCGACATGCCACTCGGCACCACAAGCAACAACCACTTCTCCTTCAATTGGAGTTTTGCAGCTTTTGCACCTGGGGCTAAACAATTCATGAAAGTCAAGGTGACAGTAAAACCTCATTGACTGAGCCTCCTCATCCACCGAAGGATCTGCAAGTCGCTCCGCCCGCTTTGCATCTGGCTCTTGGTAGAATGCAACACATTCTAGGGCAGTATGGCAGTGGTAACAGATAAAGCACTCAGGATGAAAGCGTGTCCCTGCAGCCGTAACAACTTTTCCTGCAATGGGAAGTGAGCACGATTCACACGATGCAGTGGGAACGCCGGCACGAGAGTAGGTAGACATCCAACGATCTTGCGAAGGCAGGAAGTTCCCGCGTCCACTGCTGCGGCTCTGGCGATATTTTGGATTTGATGCTGGTTTTGGACTTGGCTTTTGCTCTCGGGGGTTGTCCATCTCTGCTATAGTGGGTTCCTTTTCATCTGCTATGTTGATAACAGGAACAGAGGGTGGTTCAGATACCGCAATGGATGGCGGCGATGGAGCAGAGTCGGGAACTTGGATTTCCGGTATTTCTCTCTTCGGTGGGCTCTGCGCTTCTGTGGGTTTCCAAGTCGGATCGAAGCTGACAATGGGCCGACCAGTGCGGTCACTCACAGCAGTTGGCATGGGGAGTTTCGAGCTGCGGTCTGACCTCCTCTTGCTCGTAGCCGCCCTAATGTCATCGCCACGGATTTCAAGCCCATCTTTTGTGGGTACCGGCTCGCTGGTCTCCTGTGTCACATCAGGGATGGGTGGAGAGGGTGCGTTGGTCTTGTAGTCAGGATTTCTCGATTGAGTCGACGGTTGTTTATGGAGCTCGAAGCGAGACAGCTTATCAACGAACGGAATGCTGCCAAACCGGCTTGGTAACGGTCGAGACCCCTGGGGAAGTGCATTGCGTGGCTTCGACCGAAGCGCAGAGGAGTCGGACTTTGAGAACATGGAGCGTTGGTCGTCATTGCGGTCAGGCTCCTCGTATATCTGGTCCTTCGGGTTCCTAAAAATACCTCTTGACGAGTCACCGTTAACTCCCACAAGCCCTAGTCCGTCCTCGCTCGGGCGCTCTTGATCTCGTGGAAGTGCAAAGTTAACCTTGAGATTCTTCCTTGGGATCCCACTTCTCTTGTGGACTGAACTCTCCTCATCAAAGCCAGTGGGCTCTGACTCTGTGCCAGTTTTGGAGGGTTGGCCCCTGAATGAAAGACGATGACTGTCACGCCAGGAGTTTCGAAATCCGCTTCGTTTTTCTTGTGGCTGGCTCTGCTCTTTGGGGCTGCCGTGTGAGTTATTCACGTCTGGGTTACGATAGGGCGCATAGGGGTTTTTGAATTGAAGCCCCGGGTTTTGGTGCATCCAGACTAGTTCGGTGGCTTCGTCTTGTGCATCTTCGTGGATGCGGATCTCGTCATTAACCTCCATCCCGTGCAATGCGTCACGTAAAGATCTTGCCTCCTCTCTTTCTATCCTCCGGTGAGGGCTCTCGCGATAGCTTGGCGGTTGAGAACCCGACGAGATACGAGAGAAGGCTCGAGTTGGGGAGACATTCTTTCGAACGGGAACAACCCTGGGCTCTTGAACCAGTGGTCGACCGGTTGAGCTACCAACAGAACTTCGCAACGAGACCGGTCGATGATTTGAGAGAGCACTGGATGCACGCGGGCGGTCGATCTCGGGTGGCGGAGCTGCCGAAGCCGCTCTTGAATGTCCATACATTGACATAGCAGATGTGGCGCGTGGTGGAAGTTCGTCTCGAGGCTTTGAAGGCGATTCTGTTCTGGATGGTAATGGTCGGGAGCCACCAGGACGTGTCGGCCGATTGGTTCGCAAGTCCTTTAAATAACTCGCTGCAGGCAAGAAACCAAACAATTCATGAGCACGGGAGAGGTCACAGGGAAGAGCAAAATTCTGAATCAAATCAAGTTCAAGGTAGTGTCAAGAGCATGAAGAATGCCAAGACTTGGGCCAGCAATGCAGACTCACCGATCTGATCGTTGGACATGTATGAGGGGCCAGGCGGAGTAACCTTCCGCTGGGAATCTCTGCCCTTGCTATTCTGAAGAGAAGATCTGTGGATCATTTTGGACGGGGATCGATGTCTTTAAATATCATATCAACTACGAGAATAGGCGTGAAACAGGAAATGTACTGGTGGGACGTGACAGGTCGTGTCGTGTCGGTCTGGATGATGTCTGCGATGAGGTACGCGAATAGGGCCAATGAACGTCAAGGAGGTGGCTGGGAGAGAAGGAAACGGAAAGAGAGGGTTGGAATTGGAACTGGGTACAAATGAACGTGGGTCAGTCTCGGTCGGTGAGAAATTGTTTCAACCGGCAATGAGGTTGGAAAATGAAAGGAAAGCGATATTGATTGCTGTTATCGCAATACTGTAAACAAGCACCAGAATTGGGGTCGGGACCGGTGCCTCGGGCGATACAGGAGCTATGGCCACCAAAACACAAACAGTGCAAACACATGAGGGGTGTTGCAGGTTGCTAAGCATGTCAGGCTGAGGGCTCCACCTCTGCATTCGGCAAAGATCCTGTCCTCTGTGATGTTGTATATCGCCGGCCAATATCTTGACAAGACGTCGGCCATTCGAGGCAATTCGGGCATAATATCCAGGCCCCAAACTCCCTGGAATGAGACTCAAGGGTCATTTCACGTGATCACCACCACGTTTTACTCGTTTCCTAAACTGGATTAGCGTATTGACTGGTCGTACCTTCCTAATCCGGGTGTCGGCTCCTTCCTCCACCTCTGCTTCTACGGTATACAGTATGGACTGCGCGCGGCCTCTCGTTGGCCGACACAGCTGCTTCTGGGGGCCTGGGGAAGACTATCAGATCAAACAGTGCCTCCTATCACTTCTCCGGCTTCCACTGTTTCGCTTCCGCCTCTCATAGAGATCTCCGCACGACGCTTAACCGGCACCTTTGCCGATCCACCTCGACCATGGATGACAGGCTGAGGCCCCAACCCACCTCCAGATGGCCGGCGCCGGGCACCAATGGCGGTCTCGTTAGCGTGCGTTCGGACTCATCGCCGGCCTTAAAAGGCTGGCTTTGGGGCTAGCCTTGCGATTAGCTTCTATATTTTGTCCATGTCCACCCTTGCCCTGCTTCGTTCTTCTCCCCGAATTTCTTCTCTGCCCTTTCCCCGTTCATCCGACTTGCCGTATACATAGCTGCAGTTTCCTCCCTAGGGCACCAGAGAGTCTTGTGCGGATATCCCCAACGCTGCACATGTCGAAGGCCCTGGCAACATCCTCTTCTGCTCTCCATCCTGGTCATCTTGGCCATTACCTATGGCAGATAACACTCCGATCGACATAATCCGCTCTCGCGATTATGACAATGACCTACATTTACAGGAGTCTTCCAAGGAAGGACGCCCTGGGGGGTTGGGCCATGAGCAAACCACAGTTGCGCCAGAGAAAGCTACGGATGACCTACCACCAGATGGTGGATATGGCTGGGTTTGCGTTGCCAGTGTCTTCTGGATCAACGCCCATACATGGGGAATCAACAGCGTTCGTGTTACAACTTCGCGCACGCTATGATGATGATGATGCTAACATGTGCCATAGAGCTACGGTGTGTTCCTTGCCCACTACCTTGCCAACGAAGTATTTCCGAACACATCACCTCTAATGTATGCTTTTACTGGCGGTCTGAGCATATCCTGTGCCCTCCTCGTCGCACCTTTGGCCACCTACCTCATCCATCTCCTTGGAACCCGAGTGGTCCTGAATATGGGCGTTTTCTTTGAAACGCTTAGCCTAATAGGATCTTCATTCGTTACGCAGAGGTGGCAGATATTTCTCAGTCAAGGCGTTTGCTTTGGATTCGGTATGGGATTCTTATTCGTTGGTAGCGTTGGAATTACACCACAATGGTTTCATCGTCGGCGGGGCCTCGCTATGGGAATCAACGCCGCTGGATCTGGTCTGGGCGGCTTGATCTATTCTCTGGCGGTTGGTGCGATGATACCTAGGCTAGGGCTCAGCTGGGCATTCCGGATATTAGGGATAGTTGCCTGCGTTGTGAACCTGGTATGCGCAAACCTACTCAGGGATCGCAATAAAGCTGTCGGAAGCCGTTTCAAAGCTTTCCACCTCCCACTACTCAAACGGCCCGAATTCCTTCTGTTTCTTGCATGGGGTATTTTCAGCATGCTCGGCTACGTCGCTATCCTATTTAGTATGGCCAATTTCGCCGTCTCTGTCGGTCTGTCCGCACACCAGAGCAGTATAATTGGGGCTTTACTCAACCTTGGGCAGGGTCTAGGGCGACCTTTCGTGGGCATGTTCAGTGATAAGCTTGGCCGTATCAACATTGCAACCTTTCTTACCTTCCTCTGTGGTCTTTTTTGTCTAGTAATCTGGACTTTTGCTCGCAACATGGGCGTTGTCTCCTTTTTTGCCGTTCTCGTTGGCACGGTAGCAGGCACGTACTGGGCTACTGTAGCGCCAGTGCTGGCCGAAATTATCGACCTAAAGGATTTGCCCGGTGGCCTCAGCATCACCTGGCTCGTCCTAGTCCCACCAACGACCGTTGCAGAACCCATAGCACTTTTACTGCGAGATAACAACTCCGTCAACCGCGTTTACCTGCATGTCCAGATTTTCACCGGTCTCATGTACATCGCTGCTGCGGTGTGTCTTTGGGTGGCACGAGGTTGGAAGGTGGGAGACAATATTCGAGCTAAGCAAAAGCAGGCGGCAGCTGCGCTAAATACCGACAAGAAGGGGGAAGGTGTTGTCCTACAACAGCACGGCGGCGAAACTGGTGACAGGAATGTTGAAGGCCCTCCACAAACAAAGATGGCTATTTGGTTACCCCATACACTCATCCGCCGGATGGTAGCAGCCAAAAAGGTCTGAGATCTCCAATGCAGAGAAGGTCACCTATCAATTGTATATAGTAATAGAAAGACTTTAAAGATGACCCTGCACATTGATATTATCCGTAGGTGTACATTTTAATATTGTACTGTGGAGATGTATCTTTTTCCCAGCTGTTTCCATCAGACGCCATCCGATATAAGTCCCTAATAAAATCACCGAAGCATAGCTCGATTTCGTATAGTAAATACACTTTTGTTCCGATTTAACCAAGCAAACCCATCTAATTCTTGCCATCTAGGATCAATATCCGAACTCTCCTCTTGCCAACGCCCCGTCCACTCTCCTCCTTCACAGAACTAACATTGACTTTGACCCTTTGGAAAAGCTCCACAAGCATTGCCCGCTGCTCCTGACCCTTATCAGAAACCTTAAGCGTATACTCCTCGGGATCAAAATCACTGTCACGCCTGGGCACCAGCTCTCTCCGCTCCTCAACAGAGCGCAACGCCTCATCGCCCGGTAAAACGAAATCTTCTAACCTCACAACACCCTCAATACCGAACCGGGGAACAAAGACCACGACTCCGTTCTCGAAAACACGCATGACGTAGCCATCTTCCTCGATACCGCTGTCGACTCCGTCCGCGGCGAGCTTCTCGCTGCGCGCTTTAAGTGCTTGTCCGACGTAGTATTCGATGCTAGCGCGGCCGGCATGCTGCGCGTTGCGGTGGCGGTAGTTGATATTGCGGCAGATGTCTTCGAGGCGGTTGCGAGTGATGGAACCTTCAATTGTGGCGCGGCCGTCTTCGCCTTCGTAGTTGATCGCTGCGGCGAGTTGGCGATGGACGAGGAGATCGGCGTACCGGCGGATAGGGGAGGTGAAGTGGGTGTAGATGGGAGAGGCTAGACCGTAGTGGCGGAACTCGGACTCGGCATGGGCGCCTGCGCCGAAATATTCGGCTGATGTCATACAGCGGGTGGCTAGGATACGGACTAGGGTGTTGAAAAAAGGGTTCTGAGAGTCGGTGCAGCGGTCGAGGGAGTCCGCCAGCGCGCCAGAGCTTGAAACGTCGAGGCGCATGTCTCGCTTTTTTGTCAGTTGGTTGATGAGCTCTTCGAAGTTTTGGGGTGGAGGAGTGGCGTGTCTTCGGAGCATGGCAGTTTGAGGGAAGGAATTGTAGATTTTGGTGGCGACAGTGATATTGGCGTGAAGCATGAATTCCTCGACAAGACTATTTGTCGCAAGCATAGCCTTGGTTTTGACATCCGCTAGCGGATCACCAACTTCGTCGTTGTCTGCTTCGATGCGGACTTCCGGAGATGCGAGGTTCAGTGCACCAGCATCCATGCGTTTCTGGCGTAGGATCTTTGACATATGAAGCAGTGTGCGCATGCTTTCTGTCAAATCATCAGTCTTCGATGGATCGTCAATCCGCAGCTGTGCTTGTTCGTAGCTGAACGCTTCGCGCGATCGAATCACAGACTTTGTGAAGTCAGCAGAAACAACCTCTGCGTCCGGCGTCATCTCCCATAGAACCGAGAACGCATAACGTTCCACGTATGGTTTGAGCGAGCATAGATCCGTGCCCAAAAGGTGCGGAAGCATATCGATGCGCTTATCGACCAGATAAACTGTAGTTCCTCGAACACTAGCCTCGAGATCCATGGCATTGTTAGGTTTAACGAAATGGGAGACATCTGCGATGTGGACACCCACTTCGAAATTACCATTCGGCAGCTTTCGTGCGTGGAGAGCGTCGTCGATATCTTGGCACCCTGGAGGATCGATACTGCAAATGAGAAGGTCCCGGAGGTCCCTACGTCCTCTCCAACCGATATTATCCTTACTTTCTGGTACTCGCCAATCATGGCCCTCTGAGGGAAGGCAGTCCAGTACGGATTTCGGGAAGGGTTTGTACTGCACGTCATATTCGAGTAGCAAAGCTTCTGTTTCGGCCCCCTTCGTCTCCAACTCTCCTAGTGTCCGAATGAAGTGCCCAGTTGGATACCTAGAGTCGCGGTTCCAACTATCGATCGTGACTAAAATTCGTTGGCCCAGCAGATCCGTAGCCTGTCGCGTTCGGACCCGGATCTTTGGAACTTTCTTGTCCATTGGGAGAACAAAAACATTCTGTTGTCGCCGGCCGGTGGTTTGGGTACTTGTTGAAGTCGAATCCACGGTTCCAACGTATTGGCGCCAGTTTCGCTTCACAACACCGACAACTTTTGCGGTCGGTTGTGGCCGCCCCTCGATGTTCTTTCCATGCGCCTGCTTAACCTCCTCCTGTAGCGCCCTCCGTTCTTTTTCAGTTACGACGGCTTCGTTGTCACCGGCTTCGGCGTTGTCATTCTTCGTGACAATTTCTTCCTCAACGATTTTTGTTGACGGAGATTTCCATTGGTCCTTGGGCAATACTTCAATCACAACAACATCTCCAGAGATAGCTCGGTTGCTGTTATGGCGGCCCATGATAATCAGGGGTTTATCGAATGCCGCGACCTTAACTTGTCCTTCCAAGTAATTGTAAGGGGAGACATTGAAAACTCCTTGATGAAGGTTTCCAGCCCTGAGGCCTGTCATCATCTTCGACATTGAATAGTACTCCGGATAGAAGAGTTCACCCCGAGATTCCTTCGCCTCCCGAGCTTCTCTTGACTCGTTAATCATGTCGAGCAATCTATCCGCATCCTCCAGCCCACTGACATAGTTCTCTAGAGACAAGGCCGTCACATTTTCCTCTTTGGCCTTGCGCAGGTTCTCCTTATCATCCGTAATGACCACTATTGCTGGAAGTGACTTCTCCTTCTTGCTTTTCGTCACTGCGCGCAAATGGTCCATGTACCATTTCGCGACTGTTCTAACGGCTCGGTCGTTCCTGTCATTGATCGACTCATCCTGGCCTCTCCTTACATGTGTTTCAAGGCGGAACTCGTTGAAAAAAAGATAGAAACGTTTTTCGTCGGTTTTAATCAGGGCCAGCAAGCGATTGTACAGTGGAAGAGACTGGTTCTTCAGCTCCTCCAGAACCGTCTGAAGAATAATCACATCATAGAATGCCCCCGTATGCTCAAATAGGTCCATACCATTCAATAGCGCATTTGTATCAGGTACGATGTAATGTCCGCGGGGGAAGGCAGCTGTCCCTGCAGGTTGCTCGGAGAGAACGAATGGTACAACTAGAGCATTTCGCATTAGCAAGAGGGTTTTCAAGGCGCAAATGGAAGGATTTCCTCACTGTTTCCATTCGCATCCGTCGGAGCGACTGATGGACATGTTGTACATAACCTCGACGAACAAGGGATATCCTGTCTTAAGTAGAGCTCGCGAACGATCTTTTGCACCTTCCCACTTTTTGTCGAGCGAACGAAGACTTTGCTGGTGACGTTTGCAGTCGAGGGATCTGCGGAAAAGTCACGCCTGAGACTCTTCATTTTTCCCCTGATACAGATTCTGATCTCGCAGATCAGATTATCTTGAGAGCAGGGCTGAGTCGTTGTAATCCGTACAAAGTCGCTGGTGCGGGCGGTGCTAATTCTATAATTCCGCAGTCTTCCCGTAGAGACTTTTCCAAATCAGGAAATTCTCCCGCAACTCCGACTCAACTGTCTTGATCACCTCAGGCTTCACCCTGAGGACGTGATCATGTATTCTCGGATTCTCGGAGGAACTTGTATCTATCTCTAAAACATTAGCCAGTCTGTCGATATGGCTGTCGCAGTAAGATAAATTATTACTATAATGCTCTTTATAACCAACTTTACCGCACAATCCCCTAACTGTTGATAGGCCGTGGGGCAACTATGTTCAACCGCAAGCATCTCAGGCAATTTAGCCCAGTGTCGAACACTTGTGCGGAAAGCAGTTGAAGCTGGCGCAAAGGTACTGTATATGTCGCCCCTTGGTTATATGTGCGTTAGGCCTGACGAAATCCGCAATATTCCAGGCACTATTCCTTCCAGAAGCAGCGGACTATATCGCCTCATCTCCGGCGGAGAGTGCATCGCTCGCCCGCCCAGTGCAGGATAATGAATTCGTCCTAGGTCTTCAAAGTGAAGCTCGAGATAGTGGTTTGCATATCAACGTCGGGATCCACGAGCCTGCATCAGATGGTCGAGTAAAGAATACTCTCATATGGATCAATAATAAAGGCGAGATAACGCAACGCTACCAGAAGGTCCATCTATTTGACGTGGACATTAGAGGAGGCCCCGTGTTAAAAGAAAGCTCGTGAGATTCTAACAGGTAGCCTTCTGCGATTGGACATTTCATTGACGCATGTAAAGGAGCGTTGAGAAGGGAACCGAGATTCTTCCACCATTCGATACAGTACTCGGTCGTGTCGGTCTATCAATCTGCTTTGATGTAAGCTCCCCCGCCAAATCTCAATCTGCCAGTAAGAATGTGATAGCTTATGGGAAATATTACAGTTACGCTTCCCAGAAATCAGTTTGGCTTTGAAGCGTCAAAATGCTCAAATCATAACCTATCCATCAGCATTTACTGTTCCCACAGGCAAAGCACACTGGGAAACGCTTCTTCGGGCCAGGGCAATTGAAACCCAGTCCTATGTGATAGCTGCTGCACAAGCCGGTCCGCATAATGAGAAACGACGAAGTTATGGCCACTCTATGATTGTCAACCCTTGGGGTGAGATCTTGGCTCAGCTCAGCGACGGCTATCAGGAGCCGCAAATCGCTGTCGCGGACATTGATTTGGATCTTTTGGCAAAGGTTAGGAGAGAGATGCCATTACTCAGAAGAACAGATATATATCCCGAAATATAGTTGTATTATTAAAGATGGCCAGACATTTGCGTTATCATTAGTAGAACATACCTGTCCTGCTGTATAATTCTTGTCATCTAGATTATATATAAATTTTAAATGGCCAGAGGATGTCTATGGGTAAACTTATATTCTCTTCTCTTTTCATGGTTCTCTAAAACAAAGCGTGAGAGTGAATAGTTCATAATACAGTATGTCAGGATGCACGCGGAGAAGAAGCAAGAAAGCGAATGATGCAAGACAACCCACACCATCCAAGTACTGAAAACGGATCTTTATCGAGATAGGTGCGACCACCCGACCTGGATTGTCCTTTTTGATCACTCTATGTACAATGTACAATTAAATGGGGCAGCAACAAAATTCATTTCTGCGAGTCCTCCAGGATACCCTCAGCTTCCAGCCTCCGTCGAGCCTCCTCCAGGGCCCATGTTTGTATCCTAGATTTCACGTTAGCCTATGCATTTCTTTGGCTGGATATCGACGATAGCATAGCGAAAGATTCGCGACCGCTAAAGTTGGGCGTACATACGAGGTGTCAGGCTTGAAGACATATGCAACTCCGGCAGCAAGTAGACTGCCGACGAATCCGTAGTACCAAATGTTCTCCCAGCCCTCCTTCACGTACTTCTGGCCGGGCTTAACACCGAAGAGATACCCAGTCGGAGGGTCGTAGTGATCACCGTGGTCGGCCGCACGGAGACTGCTTCGCGTAGAAAACCCCTGGATATTCTGAGGGCTGCGACGAATACAGCGAGCGCGAAGGCATTGTGTCAATGGGCGAGCAGTCATCTTGAATATGTAGATCCCGTGTTGTAGCTAATAACCGATAGAGGTAGACAGTGGCGGTTGAGACCCCTGTCGAGCGAAGGTGGCTCGCGGAGAACGAATTGGTCGGGCTTCGGTTTCTCTTTTTGCCGCAATATAGTGATAGGATATGGCCCAATGTATGAACCCCAAAGGATATTCGATTGCCGGGGTCGCAGTGGGTGGCTTGTCAAAGTAGAGGGGTGATGAGATGAGCCGGTGTCGATATTCAGAAGCCGCAAAAGGCCGATGGTGCCAAGGAACTAGTCCAAACTGAGTAATATCGCAATCCCGCCTTTCTGCCTTACAACTCAGGCATAATTTATGCCTGAGGCATAAATATATAGTATTAAACGCGTCGACGCGTGCAGGTACCACAATGTGTAAAGACCGTGCTCTCGGAACTTGGGTTGAGCCTTGAACCAACAACAGTCCTGATTATTCTCTTCTTGCACTAGTCCTTCATCGACAGATAATTCTTCCTGTTACCTCCTCTCAAATTGATCGCGCTCTTTACTACGAAGCCAGGATCCCCTCGAAATGCCCTGCCGCAAAGTGCCTGCGGGGAAAAGAGTGTCAACATGAATCCCATTTATAAGGGACCAATCCCAGCTTCCACAGCTTCACGCTCGAAACTAGATACCTTCCGATACAAAAGTGATAACGATAATGGTACTGAAGTACCGATCATGAGGACATCCCCACAAAAGGGCTATCCAAACAAAGAGAACCAGGCATCCTGGTTAAATGGGGTGGTGGAACAAGAAGAATCGAAGCAGAATGGCCAACAACAATCACAAGGGATTGCAGAGAGCAAACCCATCAAAGATTGCCCGCAGACTCCTGGTAATAGGTTGCCTTTGGCAGACCTTATCGGCAATGCAGAGGATGCTTTTAGCCGGGCGCCTGTAGGGCAAGAATTTACGCCAGAAGACTACGTTATTTGGCAACATGCTCTTCCTAGCTCGAATCCAAGCACTCAAACACCCGCAACGCAAGGCAAAAAGCGCCGCCATAGCGTATCTCCAAGCAGCTCTCCGTTAGCCAGTTCCAAGGGTGCCCGAAAGGGATCGTTTGACATGCAGTCTTTCCAGGCTTTGCTCAAGACGCCACAGAATGACCTCGCAGCAGATCTTTGGAATAATTATGTAGCCAAAACAGGTACACACGTTCCAGATCTTCAACAGCCACGCTTTGCAAACCTTCTATCGTCCTCTCCGCATACACCCGGATCGGCAAAGGCAGGTCAGGACTCTTCAGGGTTAAGACGATCAATCAGCTGCAATGCCGAGTGGCCTAGCTCTACGACGAAGAGGAGGAAAATCGAAGAAGCTAGTCACCGAACAACAAAAGGCCGAACTATATTTTCACGATCGAGAAGCAATATAATGGTGCCAAAGGATCTCAAAGCTTCCAACTTTAGCTCGCTGGTCAAGGAGATGGAAAGGAGTCTTAAAAAGTCCCCTTCCAAGCAAGCGGGCGCCCCGAAGACTACTCCAACGACAATACACAATAAGACACGTCGAAGTCGATCAGCATCACCATTGGAAACAAAAATCACCAAACCCCCGGCCAGCATGGATGAGGATATGGTTGATGCACCTGACGCTCCCACGAATAAGAAGCCTTTACAAGAGTCATCATCCGATTTCGGTGGCGATGACTTGGACGATGAGTTCCTTGGACTAGCAGAGGCTTCGATGGATCCCTTCGTGGAGTCCACTGGGATAGTGGGCACGAAAGGAGTGCTTGGTACAGGACAAGGCTTAGCTTCAGAAGCAGATGATCAATCTCCTGACAAAAACGATCTTGATTTACGTCCGCGGGCAGATAAGGAATCATCGCACAATACCGACTATAAATTTGACGTTGATGAGTTTGACGACGATTTTGAAGGATTCGGGGATAATATCGATGAAATCCTCGCGGGTTGTGATCAAACCTCAGGCTACAAGGGCCCCGACGCAATTCAACAACAATCTCCAATATCAAAGCACCCGCCCCCGCACGAACGTACGGAAATGCCGGTGGCGATTGCAAATGATCTACAAAACGGAACGAAAGAACAGTTTACAACTTCCAGCGATGAATTCGACACCGATGAGTTTGACATGGACTGCTTTGATCAGCCCGTCCCACAAGGTGAAGACAGTCCAGATGATGTCCGTGGCTCTTAGTCAATACACTCATTAGGTCTTTGCTAAGTATCTTATAAATAGAACTATAGAAGTCGCAAAGCTATCAAGCGTTACTTGATTGTGGATGTTGCTGATTCTACCTATACTACTCAGAAAGGGCGTCTACAGCCGGAGAAGGTTTGCTGCTGCTCGCCCTTACAATGCCTTATCCTGAACTGACTTTATCAAAAAGATCCTGTCGGTGCAGGATGAAAACAGTAAACGTAAGAAGGTCATCGTGCTTCGAGACTCCTGGTTCGATAGCCCGTGCGATAAAGAATCCTACATACACTTGATTGGAGAATTTGATGCGATGGGTCATTGCATTGTCACTGACGCTCAAAATATGATTATAATTCACCCTGACCATCTTATATCTGCGACAGTCATAGCAGACTCAATCAGCTGCCAGCGACGAGCAGTGCTACAGGATCGTATCAAACGAACATCGGATATCGGCAAGCCGCAAGTATTCGGCAACGTATTTCATGAGGTTTTCCAGGAGGCTATGAAATTGAACCAATGGGACACGGCATCCATGCGGGCATTGATTGAAGATGTTGCAGTCAAACACGTGGAAGAAATATATCTGATTCACATGAGTCTCAATGAAGCTGTTGACCATGTGATGGCCAGGATTCCTGGCATACAAAACTGGGCAGACGCCTTCCTACGACCAAAGCCAGGGGTAAGTACAGGCGTAAATACCGTATAACACTTCTCTATCTAACTTGGAACAGGCACAATCATTCGTGGAAGACAGGAATAGTTCGAAACTGAAACTGAGTGTCAATAAACTCCTGGAGGTGGAGGAGCACATCTGGTCACCGATGTATGGGCTCAAAGGCAATATCGACGCCACTGTTCAAGTTGCCTGCAATGAGGGAGATGGGGACAAAAACTTGATTGTGCCCCTCGAGCTTAAGACCGGCAATAAAGAGACGAACCAGGCTCATCGAGCTCAAACCGCCTTGTACACCTTGTTACTTTCTGATCGTTACGGTAAGTACCAGCCGAAAATTATCTATTGAATAACATTTACCGACGCTTCTCTGAGCAGATGTGGAGGTTACGTTTGGCCTTCTATATTACCTGGAAACGTCAAAAATCATGCGAATTCGAGGCATACGGCATGAACTCTTGCATATGGTACAGGAACGCAATCGTGTTGCCGGGTATGTGCGCCAGAGATCACATCTGCCGCCGATGATCAAGAGGCCTTCGATGTGCAATAGGTGCTATTCAAAAACGGCTTGTTTTATCTACCACAAACTTGTCGACGATGGAGACGGCGAGACCAGCGGCCTTGGTGACGAGTTTGTGAAAGCAATGGAGCATTTGAATACATCGCACCGCGACTTCTTCCGAAAATGGGATGACCTCCTTACGAAGGAAGAAGTGAGTATGATGAGATTCAAGAGAGAACTGTGGACACTGCTCAGTCATGAACGGGAAGCGCTTGGACGGTGTTTTGGCAATATCGTGATTGAACCTGGAACAACTTGCGAAGACAAAGACGGATCGAAGATCAATCGATACCGCTATACTTTCATTAAAAAGCAACAGTCTCCATCGTTTTCGTTCACCGAATCCCAGATAACTGTCGGAGAACCCATCGTTATTTCAGATGAAATGGGTCACTTCGCGCTGGCCAATGGATATGTTGTGCAGGCCAGCCCTCGGCGCATCACCGTCGCAGTGGATCGAAGGCTTCACAGTGCTAGAACAAGGTCAGATGGGTTCGATGCTAAAATGAACCAGTCATTCCGAGGCATCATGGAAGTTACGGACGGCAGCGCTCCTTCTACCGCATCCCCAATAGAACCGGGAGAGGAAACGCTTTATCGATTAGATAAGGATGAATTCAGCAATGGCATGGCTATTGTTCGAAGCAACCTCATTGCTATGATGGAGAAAGATCTCTTCCAAGCCGGTCAGCTGAGACGACTAATCGTTGAAGGAGCGCCGCCTACATTTAAAAACAAGGTGCCTCAGTTGTCCGGTTTGGACAAAGCAGGCCTAAATATTGACCAAAAGCAAGCAATAAACAAGGTTATGAGCGCGCAGGACTATGCGCTGGTCCTGGGAATGCCGGGAACTGGCAAAACGACGACTATTGCCCACATCCTTCGAGCTCTGGTTGCTCAAGGGAAAAGTGTCCTCTTGACTTCTTATACACATACTGCAGTCGACAACATCTTGCTGAAAATTCGAGATGACAACATGCGAATTCTCCGTATTGGAGCAGCGGCCAAAGTACATCCGGATGTTCAGCAATTCGCTGAACTCGCAGCTGCGCCCAAGAAGACCATTGACGAACTGAAGTCTGCATACGAAGACTCACAAGTCGTTGCTACGACTTGCCTTGGGGTTGGTCACAACATATTCAATCAACGCGTCTTCGACTACTGTATCGTTGACGAGGCATCCCAAATAACGCTGCCGGTGTGTCTGGGACCTATTCGCATGGCAAAGACCTTTATCCTCGTTGGGGACCACTATCAACTTCCACCACTGGTGCAAAACAAGGAGGCACAGGTAGGTGGACTTGACGTCAGTTTGTTCAAGCTACTATCCGATACACATCCCTCGTCGGTGGTCAACCTCGAACATCAATATCGAATGTGTGAAGACATCATGCTCCTCTCAAACACCTTGATATACTCGGGTCGCTTGAAGTGTGGTACCCCAGAAGTTTCTGCGCGCTCCTTGGAGACTCTCAACATTGGTGGTCTCAAGCAGCACCACCTTAACGACTTCTCTCAAACAAGTCACAGTCGCCAATTATGTTTGGGGACGGGCCAAGGCCGCTGCTGGCTACGTGACCTGGTTGATCCCTCAACCAAGACTTGCCTCGTCAACACTGACACACTTGGGACAGGCGCTCGCGAGGTTGCCAATGGTTCACGGATCGTGAACCCCATCGAAGCAACCCTATGTACTCAACTTGTGGAGGCACTTATATCATGCGACATTCCGGCGCGCAGTATCGGCGTCATCACATTCTACCGCAGTCAACTCTCACTTCTCAAACAGAACCTCCGGCACCATCTTCCAGAGCTTGAAATGCACACTGCAGACAAATTCCAAGGACGAGACAAGGAAGTTATTATCTTGAGCTGCGTACGAAACAACCAGGAAAACTATGTCGGCGACTTATTGAGTGACTGGCGCCGAGTCAATGTTGCCTTCACACGAGCACGCACCAAACTTCTCGTCTTAGGAAGCAAAAACACCCTCCGCAACGGGAACGAACTTTTAGGGAAATACGTAAAGCTGGTGGAGCAGCGAGGCTGGACTTACGATCTGCCGAAAAGCGCCGCGGAAAATCACATATTCGGCGAGGTCCCTATTTCGACATACGACCGTTTCACGCCTAGTCCAAACAAAAGTCCCTCGGTGAAGAAGACACCTCGCAATCCATTGAGCCCCATTCAAGAACGCCAATCATCGTCGGGTCTCAAAAAGCCTGCGAAGAAGGGACTGAAAATCTTGAGTGGTCAAAAGATCCTTGGGAATAAGCCTGTGTTGCAAGATGTGGTGAATGATCTTGTGGGGTGATCGGGGGTTTTTACGCTTTTGGTTCGAACCAATTCATGTGGCGTTTTTTTTGCATATGTTTACATTTTTTTTTTTTTTGAGGATATCCATAGGCATTGGGTTGGTTTATTGTTGGTTGGGTTTCTACTGGATGGTATCACTTGGGTTATTGGATAGCGGCATATGATAGCGTATGACCAAACAGAAGTTCAGTTACATAGTTGCCAGGTGATGATCACCTTTCGATTCTAGGCTGTCTGCAACTTTCTAACTTGAGCGGTTCAAGACATTGGCATATTGAATAATCCCCATCTGGGGATTATATTGTGCCACCAAATCACTAATATCCAGGAGTAAAGCCCTAAGCTAAAGTAAGAGTTACTGTGGTTATGGAGAGCACTTGGTTGAACTGGCGCCCATGGCAGGGTCCGGGCAAAAGTTCATTTCCATTTCTATATAATTGACGCACCAACATACTCCCAACAAATAAAGTGCCGAGCATCCTGGGCCTTCGCATCTTTGTCCTCTGGAGCAGCCGCAGGCAACACCATTATCGTATACCCATCCCTACCCTCTACGGCGCCTCTCCCTAGGGCACCCGCGGAAAGAGAGAACCAAGGCGGAGTCTTGCAGACCCGGGGGCCAGTTTCACGGCTGCATTATTACGATTGTCAGCACTATTCATCTCATGAGTTCGAAGATATAAGAGGGTGGAACATACAAAAGGGTAGTGAACAGATGTATTATCCATTTTAAGGGAATAAACCCGTGCCATTTTAGAGTTATTAGATCAGAAGCACTCGCATCACCTATATCCGGTGTATCGTATCGGCACAGATATGGGTCTATATCGTCATCTGCAGAAACTCGTCGAGACTGGAGAGATACCATGCCTAACCACTCAGAGACCTCGACACAGAGGTCCTTCAACTCTGATTCGGGCGTTTCGTTCGTGAATTGTATATCAGAAAACGAGGGCGTTGTAATATTTTCTTTAGTAGTGTAGACTGGCTCGCAGGGGATTATTTCAGGGTTGTTACCCTTTAAAGTCGTATCATCTATCTCCGGTTAGCATTGACCTGCATGAGAATGTTTCAATGCCCAGTACCTTTGGCTACACCGAGCGATTCCGTTCCTAGGTCGAAAAATAACCATGTTACAGGATTGTTTAGGACATTTTTAAAAGCCCACTCTATCCTCTGAAATCCCTTCTTACCATGCAACATTGATGGTAGCCGTAGGTTAAGTTCGACCACTGCAAAACTCATCAGTTTGGCTGCTAATGAAAATGTATACTGTGCAAGAAAAGCTTACAGAATCTCTCCTTTCCATGTTTCTTCCCTCCATAACGGATGGGCTTTCCGGTTAGCCCGGTCCCCTCATAAATCTCCTTACTCAGTTCAAGTTTTAGGACGCCTGGTACTTGGGTCAGCCAAGTTTGATTGTGAGAGGGTGTTCCGATGGCTTACCATCTACAAGAGAGAAGACATTGTCCAGCCCTGATCGACCCTCAGATAACATAAGAACATTTCCTAATATAAGTTCAATAGTCAGCAAATAATAATTTGGTGTATGGATATGCAAATAACAATGTCATTTCACATAATCACTGTCACAGTGCACGAGATGTCAAAGCTGTCCGAGGTTATAGAACTTTTGCAGTACCTTTTTTTATGTAGGTGTTGAAGAAGCCTTCATCTATCAGGGAGGAGAGAGTCATGGAAATGCGAGCATATCGGAGCTTTTGTAATTTGGAGTTCAATGAGCTCTCAATGGATGAATAGGCCTTCTTGGGCAGGATGACTTCGACCTTGGTAGACAGTCAGTGAATGGTTATTATGCTATACGAGATTGGGGCTGGGGGATATTGAGGTACCGTATGCACGAGTGGATGGCTTAGAATCGTGGAGAATGGGGATTTCTTGGTGGGAGGTTGTTTGGGATCAATGAACTGAGGCAACTGGGCCACAGTGGTGTAGCATTTTTCGCGCCCAGAGACATCATCATCCTCTAACCCGAACATTATAGCTTCTCAATTGTAAATTCAAGTCAACAGTACCGGACAGCTTGGATGTGAAAGGAATGTAGAAGCTCTGTCGTAAAATGTTTTTTTTTCTCTCTCTCTCTCCAAGGGTTGGTATGACAAAAGAGTACCAAGCATCAACATGAACTCCGCAATATAAATCCAGCCTTATCAAGGATTATTTTGTGTCTCAACAGCCAATAAGGTGATGTTATAAAAAGTCTCGAGAATATCCAGTGTGAACGTCCAAAAGTAGATACAGATTACGGATTTTTGGGAGACGTTCAAGGCCTCGAAGAAATTTCCTGCCTCAGGCACTGAGGCCCCAATGTCACGGGCGAGACTCTGAAAATCATTGGTGATGGTCCTCTCAAGCTTCAAGTTTCGCGCCTTTCTAGCAACCCAGTTTCTGCTCCTATTACCAATTGCTCGCTATATTATACTGCTGCGATCACGATTTTGCTCCTTTGCGTGCCTGGAACCCCTGTCGTCCCACGTGCAAACACTCCGGAAACGCCTGCCCCGAGGGGCCTCCGCTGGCTACACCAGTAGATACAAAAATGGCTCCCACGCGGCGAAATCTACTTCCCAAGGAGCGTTTCAGCTTTACCTTCGGATCGCTGAGGACGCAAAGCTATCATGATCCGGCTGCAAAGGGACCTGGCTCTCATACGTACGTGCGCCAGGGAGAAACAGACCTCTACAAAAGAAGCGGAAGCTCATGCTTATAGGATAACACAGAATACGCTCAATCGCATGGAATCCTACCGGGCAGCTCGTTGCTACAGGTTCTGCCGATCGCACCCTTCGAATATGGAATCCGGAGCGCTCGCAACCTAGATATTCCACTGAACTACGCGGTCATACAGCGGGCATTGAGAAGGTTCTCTTTAATCCGGCGCGCGATTCAGAGCTAGCAAGCTGCTCTAGCGATGGCACAGTACGGATATGGGATGTACGCTCAAAAACATGCGTGAGCCGTCTAGATGTCGGAGGGGAAGCATTCACTTTAAGCTGGTCGGCCGACGGCAAGGTCCTTATCGCTGGAAGAAAGGTAGAATATCGCTCTCGCGCAACCGTCAGCCATTGGATCTAACGCATACTTCATAATGGCAGGATGACACCCTTGTACCGATATCCGTTGAATCGCCTTCATCACCAAATATCCCTGTCAGTGACAACACCTCCAAATCGACCATATACAAGACTCTCGATTCCCACCCCCAGCCAATCCAAACCAACGCAACCACATTCTCCCATCACATTTCAACCAACGAGTCCCCCAACCTCCATCTCTTTGCAACGACCGGCGAAGGCACCGTCAAAATAATGTCCTACCCCTCCTTCGAAACCCTCCACACCCTCTACGCCCACACATCGGCCTGCCTTTCTATCGCCCTCGCCCCAACAGGCCGCTATCTCGCCGTCGGTGGCAGCGACGCCCTCATCTCTCTCTGGGACACAACAGACTGGATCTGTCGCCGCACTGTCTCAAGTAGCAATGGCGGCGCGGTGCGCGGGGTAAGCTTTAGCTTCGACGGACGCTTCGTTTGCGGCGCATGCGACGAATCCGGTTGTGGCGGGAATGGAATTGAAATCTTCCACGCGGAAACAGGCGAGAGTGTGCATACAGTGCCAACAGGTGGAGGATCAAATACAGGTATCTCTGCTGTTGCGTGGCATCCGTCAAGGTATTGGTTGGCTTATTCGACAACCGCGGATTTCTCGGGCCCGGGAGGGCTGAGGATTGTAGGAGCTGCCGGTGGTGGCAATTTATAGTGCCGATTCCATCTGAATGCGCCGATCATGAGCTTATATTGGCCATGATAAATGTACGGGTATGATAACTGTGAATGGGTGACAGTATTGCCCTTATTTATACAATATATATACTACTATTTGAGAAGATGAAAATGAATACAAACGTAACAAGCCTACATATAATTTGCCCATGGACAAAATGATTAACGTATAAATCTAGAGACGAGATTCCATTATATTCATTAGTATCTACAAAATACACAACAAACCCCTGCCCAGCCTAACCACCCAATCCAGATCTACTATTCTATTCCCAGACGCTATCAGTCGCTAGCCTTGTAAAACACCAGAATCAAAACTCCAACTAGCCCCAGGCTTAGTCTCACAAGTCATAAAAGTATATCGTAATAAGTAGGTAGAGACGCATGTATACTTGAAATTCACAGAAGTGTTGTCACGATCAAGGATTCCAACCCCCAGAGCCCATGATATGAGCCCATTGAGCACCACTGAACCCATCCATATCTGTCGTCATCAGATCGATGGCCTCGGCATTGGGGTCGTTAGGATCTCCGGTAACATTAATGGGGAAGTCCCAAGCGGAAGGCATATTCTGCTGTGGCCTTTCTGCGGCGGCGGATGAATGTATTGATCCCATGGAATATAGTGGGTTATTATTGGTGTTGGGGTCTTGATTTGAGGATTCTAGGAACTGGTTCAGGCTTGTTGCATCGAATCCTCCTGTTGCTGTTGCCGTTGCAGAGTCTCGAACTGGGGTATCTTGTGATTGTGACGAAGGCTTGGAGTGTTTTGGGGATGAGGGGTTGTTGTCGATTCTCATGAATGAGGTGTTAGATGAGTTCATGGTTGATGGGGTGGAGCTTTCTTGGGCGGAATTCGTTACGTCGTGGAAGCGAGAAGGAGGCTCGATGTCGAAGAGGACGCCTGTTCCTGTGGTGCCTTCACTAGGGTTAAACGTGGCTTTGCTAAAGCCCGGAAGGTTGCTGAACGAGCTCGAAGGTGGTACCGTCGAAGCCGATGTCGAGGTTGGTTGCCGCGAGGGCTGGGGCCGTGGGCGCGCGGGAAGACAAGCAGGAATGCCAGCCCGGTTGTCAGGTTTTGAATTTGGGTCCCATACTTGAGCATTGGCTCCGGTACATCCTTTGCCTGCGGCGAGTGAACGGTTCAGTGTCCCAGTATGTGGTGCGGTCTGAGACGCCATAAATTTAGCTAATTATGCCGTCGTTAGGGGAATATGTGTATTACCTCTCCATATGTATGGCCCGCAAAAAAGGACCTTCGAGTCTGCTGTCCAGCCGACGGTAGCCGGATATCTTGGAATGGAGTTCCTTCGATGTCAACTTCTAGCTGACACAGGAAGGATTCGGTGAGAGGGTTCTGATTCTTCAGAGCGTCGAGAACGACGAAGACAAATTGCAACGAAGAGCGGGCGGCCGTATCATCAGGGCGGAATTTTAGATATTGTACAAAGACACGAGCGGCGACATAAACGCAAAATGAAATAAAAGGGTTCATCTAGAGGCCCGTTAACTTGTGCGATGAGATACACGCAATTATGTCCACTTACTTTGCTCATGTCCATGGAGCTAACCATTTTCATGATACTTGATATTTGGTCAGCCGCGACGATACACCTTCGTTTGCTTTCTAGGATAATCTGTTCCGGCATGCGGTTTTTCTCGGCCTTGAATATCGCCGCTTGGTGGAGACATATCGTGGAAGTGTGGACAGCCAGATTGCAAAAGAGAACGTTCGCATCGCCCATCCCAGCGGGGAGTCGCAGGTGGCTCGGCATTGACAGCGCGAAGTGAAGTAAAATATTATCGTGGGACCTATGACGCTGCCAGAAAACTCCGTTGAGATCGTTGTCGTTGTCCTGGGGTTCAGGCCGATGCAGATGCGTCAAGTTTCGGCCCAGCAAGCACGAGACAAATGCCACGCTTGCGAAGGGCGATAAGGTGGACAGGTCCTCGCCCGTTAAAACGTCACTTAGGCGCGCGGTCTGCTCCATTTTGCCATTGGTGAATGCTTCTTCACTCGCTGGGAGGTTTGTTAAGATCTATTGGTCACTGTTTAGTTCCCTGGGCCTTATCAATCGTTAGCTATGTTGGGCACAACTGACATCTCGCTCATCTATGCAAGTGGGCCACCCAGTCCCAATGCTTGCATATCTGTCAACACAGAACGTCATCCAGAAAACCCTCCGCCGCTCTTCCGTCTCCGTCCAATCTCTCGCTGGTGGTAAGCACTGCTTAACCTCGAGACCCTCGCCATCTAGCCGATGCAACCCAAGCATAACGGCTAGTCTAGAAGCTGACCCAGCGCTTAACCATGCCCTAGGAAAGAACATCATTTTATACTCGTAGCAACCGATGAGTAGCCATGTCTGGCAATGAGCTAAACTGAGAATAGTTTCCCCAAGGCCTTTCATTTGATCCAACTCAGCGTACTTCCGAGCACGCTGGTAAAAGAGTGCATGCAAGTTGGAATATTTTTCGCTGACAGCCGCTGCATGGGCCCAAACGATGTATTGCAGACATGCTGGAGGTCGTGAAGTAGGAGCGAAATTCATGGTGGCCATATATCGAGGACGATGTATTACTGGCATAAAGGCATGGATCTTCTCGAAATAGATTTGGTTCCTGGAGAAAACATGAGAATTGTGGGCATGAAAAAATGCGGAGACAAGACATACAGCTCTTCAATGACCTCACGAGCCGGAAAAGGCTCCTCTAAGCCCAAACTGATCATATCCCATCCGAAGCTACTTGTTGCATCAACTCCCTCTGGTTTAAATGATGTGGGTAGCTCAGTCACTTGCTGGCCTTCAACCGGAGACATTGAATTAATAGAGTTGTGGAGGCTACTTCCCATCACATGCAGGCCGGCACCGGAGGGCTCGTTTGGCATACTGATGGAAAAGGTTTGTTCTTGATTTGGGGCCGCAGTGGTACTGGGTTCCTGGGTTTTCAATAACGTCTCGACCTGGGCTAGAGTAGAAGAACAGAGTTAGCATCAACTTCATAACCATGCAGCGTGGCGACGCGAAAACGCACCTAACCTGGCCTCCAACTGCTTCACATATCCCCTCTTCGGTCCACTCTTCTTCCGCGCCTCATCATATGTGCATTCATGGCCTAGGCGCGAGCAAGTCCCGCAGCTGGGCTTCCTCCCATCGCATTTGAGTTTCCTCCGCCGACAAACAGCGCACGCAATGCGCTTTGGGCGGGGGACGTAGCTGCCGTCGCCATTATTGGAATCCGTAGCGGCTTGTCCAGAATTATAGCTCGTAGGATTTTGTCCGGCATGCGAGGATGGGATATCGAAGTCGATCTGCAGCTGGCTTTGATCGTCGAGATAGCTCGCCATGGTCGGGTCGTGGGGCAGCGGCGCTACGCTACGGGCGCGAGATTTCGAATGTCGGGCAGAAGCTGAGAGTTAGAGGTGCTCAACCTCAATGGCAAGTGGAGTGTCAACAGCCTGGAGACCCCGCATGAGGGAACGAGTGAAGCCGATAACTGGTTACAGTAGGGGGGATAGATGGGTTGATGATTAAGACAAGTTGAAGGAATAGGCAGCAGAACCACCACGCCACGGCTGGAGCTGCCATCGAAGTTCGGTCACTCACCATTTTGGGGGAAAACCAAGCGGATACGAACGACGCCACGCATCAATCCATCATTCGCACTGGCATTTTGTATGCTCAACCAGTGACAGCTACGAATTTACATCCTTCAGAGTAGCTAGCCTGGGCTTCTTATCCCGGATCCAACGGTGTCACACAAGCACGTGCATCAGAATTCCAAGTCCCAACGACTTCCTGATGTCTGAGATGGTGTTGCAGGATCAACTACAGTCCAATCACTTCGGGGAGATAACTTCTGGAAAGCAGGCTTATGTATTTCTATCGTAGCCCGTAATGTACAAATTCAACGCCGTCGCAGAAAGAACCATGAACGAACTCAGCCCAAGTATAACAGCGAGATAGGAACCCCTGGACAAGGCGACAGAGCCTGTATTCAGTAGGCAAACATTTGTATAATACAATAATTACAGAAAATGGATGAGAAGAATTCCATAAGTCCGGGTTGAGACGAACGCGAATGCGTCTAGTGGTATCCTCTGCGGCGCTTGCCCTGGTTACGGACTCTGGGGATAACAACAGCCTTGTTGACCTTCCACTTGGGCCGAGTCTTGTATCCGGATTTCGCCTGTATGTCCAGTTAGCGTGGTGTATTAAAGGGTGAAGTAACCGTGATGGAAGCGTGAGTTTACATACCGGAAGACCCCAAGGACTTTTCGGGTCAACATTACCCTTGGACTTTCCTCGTCCACCACCGTGAGGGTGGTCAGCAGCGTTCATGGCAAGACCACGGACCGTCGGCCGGACGTTAAGCCAGCGCGATCTACCCGCCTTTCCTAGCTGGGTGTACTTATAGTTCGGGTTGCTAGCGACACCAACGGTGGCACAGCAATCTTTATGGATGATACGGACCTCACCACTGGAAAGCCGGATAGTGACATGGTTAAGGGTGCGTTCCCGGATTTGTTTTTCGCGCTGCGTCAATGGCTTCGGCTCTTCTGTTTCGCTTTGGGTTTCCTGCTTTTCTTTGTCGGCTGCATTCACCTGGTTAACACCTTTGGAAATGAGCGTCCCATATGTGCCGGCGCTACGGCAAAGTTGTCCACCGCCGCCTGGGCGCAATCCGATGTTGAATATAAGTGTTCCAACAGGAACCATGTGTAGAGGCAAACAGTTACCTCTCCAGGCAGTTCGGGCAGCCATCACACCGGGGTCAACAGCCCCTCCCATGCTTTTCCAGAGGTCTTCAGGGATACCAGCCATGTAACTCTGCACAACATCGCCCTCCCTCAAGCCATCTGCAGCCACGACATAGCTTAACTTTTGTGTTTCTTTGCTGCGAACCAGTGCAATGTGGGCACTCCGTCCGGGGTCGTGTTCAATGCGCTCGACAAGATGCGGACCAGGGGCATCTCGTTTGAAGTCGATGATTCGAATACGGCGCTTGTGTCCGCCACCATGATGCCGCACGGTAACTCTGCCCGTGTTATTCCTACCTCCCTTGCTTTGTCCACGTTTGGGAAACGTCAACTTGTGTACCGGCCGACCCTTCCACAGATGATCATTTACAGGCCTTCGCAAGTGTCGAAGACCAGGCGTACGCGGTGTGTACTTTCGCATGTTAATGGTGGAATCCAGGCGAATAGGAGGAGGAGCGAATGCAAGGCTGGGATCGAGGTCGGAGCTTGAGGCAGGTTCTGTTGGTTGCTGAGCACCTGTAGAATAGGCGCGCACAGAAGGCGAGGACATGCATCGGAATGGCAGTCGAATGCCCCTCAGGGCGACCCTGTGTTGAAGCATATTGCACGATATGCTGTGTGGAAAGAAAATATGGGAGGGTGAACCAATTGGCCCCAGATGCGGAAAATCGTATGGATCGAGACCGGTTAGACTATTGCTCAAGCATGCTCGCACAGATTTCAAAGCACGGTCAGTCCGGCAGAAGCGTTGTCGAGGCGCTGTGACGAATTGCAACTGCCAGCAGCACTGTCGGCTCCGGCTGAGCAAAAATGTCTCCGGATAATATGCTGATGTGGCTGTGTAATATTCACGTGATCCTGCACCGCCATATCCCACTTTGCTGTGGCTGATGTAAAAATCACGAGACCACGCGCGTCGGGGAGACAGGCCGCAGTTGCCCAGCAACGGGTTATTGTTTTGGTGATCGTGCCGCGCTGCTTCACGTTTTGGCGCGTTACGTTCGACCTCATCGCCTAGACAACTTCCGCTCCGCTGGTGCTCTCCCTGCCCGAACCGTACTATTACCATTATACCACGCCCTTTCTACACCAATTCCCGAGTCCGTGAAAGGTTACTTTACGCTTTCGTACTGTACCAGCACCTGGGCAGCAGCAGCTCTCTTTTATTCAACTTCTTTCCCCCCTTCAATCCCTCTCGTCTTCACCATCACGAAGCCTTCTTCTTTTCTCTTCTCAAATACTCTTGGAAAAGTTCGTCCCCAACGTACATAGCCAAATATTGGGCGCATCTGCATATACCGCGTACATACTCACGCCTTCACGACGTAATTCCTCGCGACTCGACCAAGTTGTGCTGTGGGGCATCCGTCCTTCCCAGCCTGGCTGACTTCCGCGCTAAACAGTAGGGCCAAACATCGCCTGTGCCCTGTCAAGTGGCCGACCGTCTTTTCCTACCTCATCCACCCCCCCATCAACATACCTTCAAACGCAGCCTCTACTTCACGCATCTTTGACGCTTGCTTTTTGTATCTTGTCGCTTTACTGTTCATACTTTACTTTTGCAACCACCTTATACCCCCTTTTTACGGTATTTTGATTTGCGAAAGAGAGCTGCGCGTTTTGAAGCTACGTGATTTACCTCAATTGAGCACCCGATCAGCATCAACAAACCCATATACATTGAGGTTCGAAGGATTTGTTCCACATTCCTCTCGGTCTATCTCTTCCACCCTGCATTATCTCAACTGATTGCTTGGGGGTTAACATACTCGCGTCTGGTACGTGCACCAATGCTGCCATCCCCTGGGTATTTGGGGTTCCACTGGTCGTTTCGTTGAGAATGCTGACTGAACGCCAGCGACGTGCATTCACAGAACTCTCGACACTATCTTGATAATTTCACCTTTCTCCTATCCGTCGAGGGCTTTTTTACTGCTCCTCGCCCTATTCTCGTTATGCCTCCGGTAAGGTTCCTGGTTCCTCATGATATAGACGCGTCACGAATCGGCTATTCGATCGATTCAGCTCGTCGACGCGAAGAGTTGTAGTTAACGTTTTTGGCTTCTGCTCAGGCACGGAACCTCCGCACACGAGGCACTATGAATGAAAACGATGAGAATGGTCCGTCAACGCGTGTGACTCGAGCCAAAGCCGCCGCCTTGACGACATCAGATGTCCCTGCTGCCAACGGGGCCCTCAAGAAGCCCCTTCAGACAAAGAAAGCCGCCACAGGTACAACTGGGACGCAAAGGAAACGCGCTGCCCTTGGCGATGTGAGCAATGTCGGCAAGGCAGACAACGGCGAGACCAAGGACGCGAAGAAGGCCACAACCAAGACTGGTCTAACATCAAAAGCCACTATGCAGTCTGGAGGCGTTCAGAAACTCAGCCGTAGCAACATGTCTCGTACCGCCCTGGGAGCCAAGGATAACAATGCAAAGAAGCCTGCCACAGAGGCAAAGCGCCCCGGAAGCGGATCTGGTATGGGAAGCGCGATGAAGCGCACTTCCAGCCAAAAGTCGCTACAGGAGAAGTCTTTTCAGCAAGAAGAACCTCCACGCAAGAAGGTTGATATTGAAAAGGTTGTGGAGAAGCAGGCCGAGGTCGTCTCACTGAAAGAGAACGTCAAATCACGGACACAATCAGAAGAGCTAGCCCCTCAGGACTTTGTTGCCGACCTAGACACCGAGGACCTGGATGATCCCTTGATGGCCGCCGAATATGTGGTAGAGATCTTCGATTACCTTCACGACCTGGAGATGGAAACGCTGCCAAACCCCGAATACATCGACCACCAACCCGATCTCGAGTGGAAGATGCGCGGTATCCTTGTCGACTGGCTCATTGAAGTCCACACTCGCTTCCGCCTCCTTCCTGAAACCCTCTTCCTTGCTGTCAACATTATTGATCGTTTCCTATCTGCTGAGGTGGTGGCCTTGGACCGCCTTCAGCTGGTCGGCGTTGCGGCCATGTTTATTGCTTCCAAGTACGAAGAAGTCCTCTCACCACACGTTGCAAACTTCAGTCACGTCGCCGACGAGACTTTCACGGATAAGGAGATCTTGGATGCTGAGCGTCACATCCTTGCAACTCTCGAATACAACATGAGCTATCCCAACCCCATGAACTTCCTTCGCCGTATTTCGAAGGCAGACAACTACGATATCCAAACGCGTACTCTTGGAAAATACTTGATGGAAATCAGTCTCCTTGATCACAGGTTCCTTGGCTTTCCCCAGAGCCAAGTGGGTGCAGCATCCATGTACCTGGCTCGCCTCATCCTCGATCGCGGCCCATGGGTAAGTTGCGCCACTGCTTATGTCAAGAATTTGCCTACTAACTCATATATAGGATGCTACTCTATCTCACTACGCTGGCTACAACGAAGAAGAAATCGACCCTGTCTTCCGGCTGATGGTTGACTATCTGCACCGCCCCGTCTGCCACGAAGCATTCTTTAAGAAATATGCCAGCAAGAAATTCCTCAAAGGTGAGCCTCTTCATTACTTTGTAGTATCTTGTTTATATGCTAACACCCCGCAAGCCTCAATCATGACACGACAATGGGCCAAGAAATATCACCACATGTATATCGACAGCGCTCTTTCAGAGCCATACAGCTCCATCAAAGACCACGAATAGATTAAAGAAGTTCTCAACTGTCTGGGCATTCCGGTCTTGGGGAGTCCTGAGGCTAGGAGTTGGTTGATTTGAATATGTTGGCATTTTTTTTTGTGATGGGTATAGGGCAACTCTTGCATATGTTTACGACGGCTTCCTGTTTCAGTTGCGAACATTGGCATTCTTCGGCTTCACGGGGGGTGTCTGGCGCTTTGTTTTCAATACTTGCTTTTTTTATTCATTTCTCTAACTTCTTGGGTGCCTTCGGGATGCTTCACCTTTGCTTAATGATACTTTCCAAGATTCAGCGATACTCGAATTCAGTACTATTGAGCCCAATAATTGCAGGTTTTAGTTGAACAAATTTTTCGCAGCCACGTCGTTTCCCTTGGTGGGATAAACATGGTTGTCTTGACAAAACAATATATATTATTGTGGCTCAACTGAGCAGGCGGAGGATCGGCAACAACCGAGGTTGCTTCGCTGCGTTCTGCTTCATTGAACGTTCCCCCTCGACGAGACTATCTATATTCTCCTACTTGGGACCATTCGGACAAAAGTAGCCAACAAAAATGTCCTCATGCGTTTTTTGTAGAATTGCTACTGCGCATCACCCAGTGGCCCCGTCAACGTATCTCCAACCAACGCCAAACGCCAACGCCGACTCCCCTTCCACCCCAACACCAGGCCCAGGCGAAGACGGTCATGCTTTCTTAATACTTTCCACGAAACATGTCCTTGCTTTCCTCGATATTATGCCCTTGACACGGGGCCATGTGCTCGTTGTTCCACGGGTTCATCACGAGAAGTTGGCTGAGGTGGGGGTAAGGGTTAGTCGCGAGGTATGCTATCTTCGCCATTGCTGCTTCCCCCCTCTTTTTTTCTTGGGCACGCCATTATATGACTGTATGGGATTGGATTGATGATATTTATATAGCTCGGTACATGGCTCCCCATACTCTCGCGCGCCGTGATGAGAACGGTATTCGGGGAGAGCACTGATACAGATCCGAGCGGCAGTGGGAGTGGCGATAGTAACGGGAATGGCACGAGTGGAGATACTCTTACAAGTCCGAGCTGGAACTGGAATGTGGTCCAGAATAACGGTATCTATTCTTATCTCCATCTCCATCTTCGTTGTCATAACTAGTCAACTGACACACTTCTTAGGCGTCGGAGCTGCGCAGGTCGTCCCACATGTGCATTTCCACATTGTGCCGCGACCGCCGTTAGGTCAGGCGTCTACGTCGGCGAAAATGAGCTTTGTTATGTTTGGGCGTGGGCAGAGAGAGGACTTGGATGATGAGGAGGCGGAGGACTTAGTACGGCTTTTGAGGGAGGAGGTTGCGAGGGAGGTGGTGAGAGTTAAGGAGGTGGAGGGGATTGACCTGGAGGGGGAGTTTCGGGATGCTGAGAGTGGTGTGGCTGGCGGCAAGGGGAGATTATAGATAGTGAGTATGGACTATATCATATAGATTTGAAGGGCATATATAGCATTATTGCCTTATTGTTTATTTGGTATCTTGTTTCCCGGCAGCTTGTCTTGAAGCCGGAAATGAGGCGCAAATGGCCTGATTTTCCATAAGTATAGAATATTCCAGGTCCATAGGTGGACTAGCCATCACTGTGTTGCCGGGGTTGGACTTTTCTTGTTTTGTTTTGGGTCTGGGTTCTTCATGAAATACTTTTTAAAAGTATTAGATCATGTCTTCATATATAAAGGTCAATGGAAATGTAATGGACTTACCTTTCTTCTGAAAGCGTTCAAATCATCGGCTGACACGCCGTTATCATCGCTTTTCTGGCGCCCTGAGGATATGTCCGACAGAAAACCTTCTGGCAGTCTCCGGTATGTGATTAGGCGTCGTGTCCCTAAATAGAGTGGCCGCAAAGTCAGCCGATATCGAGGCAAGGCATAATGGTAATCCCTGGTGTGCGTTGCTTACAATTACTGAACGGTTGAACGGAGATACTGATAACTTCTAGATCTTGGTGCATTGGAACCGGAAACTCCGCTTCTTTATCGCTAGTCGTAGGCATCCACATGCATAAGCGTCCGTCTGTGACTAGGGTTCTGGCCGCAAAGCTGAGAATATCGTTGATCATGGCTTCGAATCCATACGGTTTTTTAGGGGCAATGTACCCAGGCCGACTATGTAGTATTAACTTTTTTGTTCACGATGGAAAAAGAGAATGGAACTTACTAATGTGCAGGCACTCCATCGATAATGACTTCTTCCTTGGGGCGGCCGTCTCGCGACCCTAGTACCCGTAGGCCCTCGCGCACTCCATAAGGCGGATCGCAAACAATACCGTCAAGAAATTGACGGTCAATTAGGGGTGTGTTCGTCAAGTCTGATGTGAACAGATCACCGAATTTGCTGGTGATTCCATATTGTTGGAAGTTCAGCTGTACACCTGTGGTCTTCCACTTCGCCATTTCCTTCCCTCGGAAGCTTCGCCCGTCGATATCAGAGCCAAACGAAAGGGCGCCAAAATGAGCTGCAGCAACACAGAAGCTACCTGTTCCAACAAAAGGGTCATAGAATAACTTTCCTGGTGCCGCGCCAGCCATATTTGCAGTGACTAGACTCAACTCGGCGTCCATGGATGTAGTGGCGATATATTTCCGCTTCTTCAAGTCATACTTGTTAATGACCTCACGGCTGCTTTCTGAGACGAAGCGACCAATGTATATATTTATTGGATCTGACCCTTTGGTTGGATGTTGCGATTTCTCCGCAGCTGGAATATGTGTAATATCGTAATACTGCTCTAGCACCCAGAAGTCCTGTTCAAAGTTCTTTAAGGTGATCGGGCCTTCAAAACCAAGGTAAGAAAATGACTGTATAATGTCTCTTTTTTGGGATGAGCTGCGCTTTCCAGCGAATGTCTCCACTGTGAACCGGAATGGTACCTCCTTGTACTGAGCCCAGAGATGCTGCGTTCTGCTGCGGACATCGGCATGGACGGCATCATAAGTGGTGCCCTGCCCCCAGAGTTCGAAGATATCCTTTACTAGGATGCTGCGGGAGACAAGAGTCCGTGCTGCTTCTTCATTTGGGAGCCTTACGACGCAGTATGGGGACTGGAGTGTTGTTAGTGTGAGGATTCATATTATGTTCTTCCTTTCGGTAGAGCGGGGTGTATTGCAACCCAGCATAGACCATCAGGCTTTGGTAGAGGCACCGGAAAAAACAGCAGGAAATGAGGACTCACGAGTTCATTGTAGGAAACAATCTCAAGGTCTATATTGTGCAGCCAGGCTAGCGCCTGAATTTCCGGTCGTCGGAAAGTCTCATGCGTTTGGGCGAAGCGGATGAGGTATTCCATCCTTTGTGCACTACTTGGGTTTCGAGCTGGATATCTCGGAGATTATGTTTTTGGAGAATAAAGCAAAGGAAGAGGTGGCATGGAATGTCTTTTCCGGTGCTGCGCGGGGAAATATTGATTAGTGTTGAGATGAAGGTTGTGGTATGAGATTTTTTCTTCCTCCCAGAGAATGAAACTGGGCGACGGTTGGACTTTCAACTACACCAGCCGTTACAACTTGGAATATTCAGCTACAACCATTATTCAGAAAATCAAAAATAAAACCAAATATATTTTAGAAGATGTACGTAAATTCCATTCTCGGTTAAAATTGAATATGTTCAGGTCAGCCATAATCGTTCTATAAAATACACAAACACACATATGCTCTCTATCGGAGGTATCGTCTCTCAACAAGCATACCAGCAACAGAATTGCCATCCAGGCATGGGAATCTCTCAATCATAACGCAAAAGAAAAGCGCAAACCTCGGAAAACATTCTTTCCACAAACCTTCGAATATCATAACATGACGCCATCGGTAACGACTAAAGCTCAATAACCATCTGACCCGAAACTCCTCCGCTATGCTAGCCGTTAACATTGAATACATGTCGTGAGCCATATCCGAAGACCGGGGCGGTGTCGACCTTCTGATCAGCGGGTATCATCTCATGGTTCAGGTCCCACCCGGCTCGACGGCAAAGCTCAGATACCACCACATCGCAGTCGCCAAGTAAATCGATGTCAAAATTTGTGTGTGATACAGGCTATATGTCCATGTTAGCCACACAGATTCAATTCCGTCAGTTTGAGTACCTACGGTGCGAGAAATGTAGATTTGGGGTATGTGAGGTGGCAGTACGCCCGGGACCTCCGCAACAGGAGCAACTTTCAGCGAAGTCCCAATGACAATGACCAAGTCCACTTTGTCCCTATCATGGTGAAGGAGACGATGCCCAAATTCATCGGGGAGATCTTCTCCAAAGAATGTGATATCCGGCTATTCGAGGGAAGTTAGTGATTGAAATACAACCCATATGCGTGTATAATACCTTCATCACCCCTGGAATAGGTATCTCGTAGTCTTCCTCGTCAGAGCTGTCCTCTGCATCGGTCTTCCTATCTTTGTGGGCCCCATTGCCGCTACGTTTCCGCTTCTGCCCTTGAGGCTTCACCGCATCTTCCTCAATCTGCTTGCGGCATTGGGGGCATTCAGGAACAACTCCTTTCTTAATCTCGTCATAGATCTCATCCCCCAGCACCTTGTGATGACATTTGACACAAGTAGCCTTCGCGAAAGAACCGTGGCACTGCACAATGTTTTCGGGAAGCACGCCCGCATTGGCCTCAATGTTGTCAATATTCTGGGTGTAGTTGGTAAGCAACTTCCCCTTATCCTGGAGCAATCGAATGAATCCATGAGTCGGCGAGTACTTCTTTTCGGTCGGGAGTATATCCTTCGCAATTGAATAGAAGATAGTGGGGTCTTCTCGGAAAATGTGAATATCAAAGACTTCCTGAGGGTCACTGAGACCCAGGTGCTCCAACTGTGAGTAGAGTCCAGTGTCCTTGGATCTGAAATCCGGGATCCCAAGACTGGTAGAGATCTAATTGACCATCAGATTTCCTTGAATGTGATTATAAAATAGCGCAGCACTTACACCTGCTCCAGTCAGAACAATTATATTTTTCGATTCCTGAAGCAGTTCCACAGCATCATCAATCGAGTTATACTGGGGTAGCTTCTGACGCCTGGTGAACTCCCGAGAAATTGCAATTGCCAGCAGAGGATGGAATGCCGCGTCTGGTGCACCATCAAGAAAAGCAGGAGGTAGAATCCCAAATGCGGTACAAAGCTTCTTCGCAGTCACTGTGTCGCGAGCAATCGTCTCCTCCACGAATTGTGCCTTGCCAATTTCATGAAGTCGCTTCCGAAACTCAACAGCTTCCTCGAGGGTACAAGCACCGGGAATTGCTAAAAAAAAAAACAAAAAACAGGTGAGACACCGTCAGTGCACTGGAACTTTTGTTGGCCTAGGGCATATAGAGTTTACTTACTTCCGTCGCGAAGCTGGTCATCACGGAGCATTTGGATGGCGTCTTCGTAAAGAGACTGAGTCTCCCACTCGTCATCCAAGGCATCGCTGTCAGTCTCATATTCAGATTGAGAAACCGAGCCCTGTTCATCCACAGGAACGGTGTTTTCGGCCGGGAGAGTCCCTTCAACCTCCGCGGCTTCGACCTCCACAAGCGGAGTCTTCAACGGCGGGCTTTCCCCACGGGGCGCTGAGACAAGGTCCATCCTGGTGAGGAGAATGAGAAACCTTCAGCAGCCTCTGGATATGCCGACAGATCAACTCACATTGAGCTTTTTGCCACGCTATAAAAGAACGATTGGCTCTGCACCATTGTACGGGAGCGTGATCGGAACATGGTTGATCCGGCCCGATTCCGATAAGGAGTCTTTATCTCTCGGCGAGATAGCGGATCTCGGACTTTGTATGGCGAAGTGAGCGTGATGCAGCATAAGATAACTTTTCTATTGGTATTATCATGGATATTTATTCTATTGACATTACGAGTCGGCCATTTCATGGTCACTGTCCGACTCGATCCCCTCCCATTCCTCTTCATCTCCCTCACCGTCTTCTGCGTTGCTTTCATCATCCATATCTTCGCCAATCTCCTTGTTCATAGCCTCCACGAGCTCCAGAGCGTGCTCTTTCAGCCGCTCATCCTCGTATTGAACAAGTCCATAGAGAGTCAGACTCTGCTTGAGCCATTCTCTACTAGCTACGAGCGATGCGTGCCTCTTTGCCTCCGGTGTCTCGTCTGACTCTCCTTCCTCAGGATCTTTCGGGGTTTCACCTTTCTCGGCTAAGAGATAGAGACACCATCCGCCTAGATACCAGGCCTCCACGCTCTGGTCGTCTTCAAGGATCAGACGCTCCAGGACTTCAAGTGCCTCCAGCAACATCGAGACTTCCATCAGGAGACGAGCAAGACTGATTCTGGTGGGGAAGTCCGGAACATTTGGATCCTCTGGCGGCAAATCCTTCCATAGCGCTAGACTCCGTGAGAGTGCTGCTCGCGCATCGTCTTCTTGTAATTGTGAAATTCGAATAGACGCCAGCGTCTGTAGTACTTCCGGGGAGCTAGGCTGGATCAGTAGGGCTTCTGTGATCAAACTTTCACAACGCTTTTCCGCATCTTCTTCCCACCTATAAACACCGTCAGCTCGAGAACCTGTAGTTAGGGAAATCCTAATAGGAAAAAACCTACGAAAGATCCGTCATATATATCTCCGCAACGCCGCAGAGTGCGGTTGCCATTTTCCCTTTCTTCTCCTCCAGCTCTAATACCTGTGCAGGGCCAGCATCTGCCTTCAATTGTTGAATGTCATTCCTGAGAGACACAACACCTTTCTCAAACCATTGAACGCTATCCTTTCCACCGAGCTCGCTCAATTGAGCGAGCCATAAGAACTTTTCAGCGCCACCTCCCTCGGACTCGGGAATAGAACCGGTCGGATCCAGCTCGACCGCTTGTAGAAAATGTTTCCTTGCGAGGTCAACCTCGCCCATTTCAACATAAATCCCTGCAACTGCAGTCTGACTCGAGAGCAGCGCCGGGGAGTTTGCGGGTGCACTTTCGAGTGCTTGCTGAGCTAGCGAAAGCGCTTCATCGAGTTGCCCGGCCTGAAGAAGTATTGTTGCTTGCTGGAGAAGCTTCGCAGGGTCTTCGTTCATTTTTCGTTTCGATATTGAGCCGCCAGCGCTCAGGACGGACTTTTCGCGGGACTTGGAAGCTTTCTTCTTGTGAGGTCTGGGCTTTCCCATGGTATGTCTGTCGCAATATATTATAACGTACTGTGTGATTCTCCGGAAGATGAAAATTTCCCGGCGGAAGTTGAAAGCAACCTTGCCTGAAGAATAGTTATTATAATTAAGAATTTGTCTTGAAGATTTGCACGACTGGAACTCCAGTGTATTTCCCGATTCGGGGGTGGGAACAATTTTGGTCATTTTCTTATCTGTTTGCTTGGTTTGCATGAGGGACCGCCGACGATTTCATTTAGACGGAGAATCGATTCAGGCACTTTTCAGTTTAACAACTTATCAGAGAATTCAATATTTTCGTTTTATCCAAGCTATTCGCTTTGTCGTTTTGTTTCTATACAAAATCTGCCTCGTGAATGTCACTATAATAGCCAATTTTGGTTTTCCGAACAACACCAAAATACCCCTCATTGGACCCCAGAAAACCGCTATTAAACATGGGCCGCGAAGACCAAACTGAAGAGCGCGAAGTGCTAGAATCTATATTCCCTGACGAAATCACAGGTAAGATGAAGTGATAACAACCTCGAAACCAAGCCGCACCCAGGCTTACTCAAGTAATCTAGACCTATCGGACACAGCATATCGGATATCAATTACACTCGACCCGCCAGAAAACGATGAGCAGGAAGCCGAACCTCCTATTTTGCTTTTACAAGTCTCCTACCCGGAAGAATACCCCGATGTTGCACCTGAACTAGAATTGATGGCGCCCCCGAACGCCCCAAAACATCCCCGACTAGACATCAGCGAGGACCGCGAGAGGCTTCTCGAAGCTCTCCAACCAACTATTGAAGAGAATATGGGCATGGCGATGGTGTTTACTCTTGTTAGTGCACTGAAGGAAAGCGCCGAGCTTCTCATGGCCGAGCGCGTTAATGCTGTTCATGCGGTGAAGGAGATGGAGGCCGCTAAGGCTGAAGAAGAGGAGAATAAGAAGTTCCAAGGTACCACTGTCAATCGGGAGACATTCCTGGAGTGGCTTGATAAATTTAAGAAGGAAATAGAGGAAGAGGAGAGGAGGAAGCGAGAAGAGAAGGAGGCAGAGGAAAAGAAAGTCAACAAGAAAGCACCGGCGAAAGAAGAGAAGAAGCTTACGGGAAAGCAATTGTGGGAACGGGGTTTGGCGGGAAAAGCAGACTTTGATGAAGAGGATGAGGACGGCATGCCGACTGCTGTGGAGAAAATGAAAATAGCAGCGTAGGATATTCTAGTTTGAAATATAATACCAAGGCCTGGTTATTGCCATACGCCCTTCCCCATCATGTTCAATTTCAACTGCAATATTATGAAAAAGATAAAGCCGATTGACATGAGTAAATTTTCCGTTCTAGGAAAGAGATACATGGCGGAAGTGTATTTTGAGAACCCCCGATGTGTTGCGTCACAGATCAGCTGTGATCTAAATGCATTCGTCATGAAGGTCAGAGCACCTAGCATAGCCCATAGCACATTGAGTTGTCTAGCTGGCACCCAGCTCCCGCAAGTCGGGTACCATCTTAGAAAAGTTTCGGGTTCGCGGGGTTCATGGGGCGCATTGCGCTCATAAGCGTGAACAACGCATAGCCACACTGTAGTTCGTGTTAAATGACAGGCGGAAGATGTGTTGACTAGGGCGATGAGTTGCAATATGTGGCCGTCGACCATGGGTGTGCCAAAGTCGGTCTGGCAATCGAACGAGTAAACTGGGATAATTGCGAGCACCAGTCATGAGGATTGTATTCCGGCGAACGTAGATAGACAAAGCGCGATATTGCAGAGAAACAAGGTATATCATGTTTCAGTCAATCGCTTCTCTTTTTCAGTCTTCTGTTTCTCTTCTTCAGCTAACTTGCGCTCTGCAAGTACAATTTTCCACATGGCATCCGCGACCCTTATGTTTTCGATGGTGTCGTTGCGGAGCTTATGGTCAATTTCCTTTGAGGCGGCTTCGCACTCGCTAGCCCAAGATTCCGCCTCTTCACCGGCCGTGAGTGAGTCCCAATGGTCTTCGTCCTTCGCGAATAGAATCTCCGGCTCCAACATTTGTCGGCGATCCGCTAAGCGCTGTCGATAATTTATCTTTGTTCTTATGACGCGGCTGATGCTTTGTGGCTGTGGTTTTTTGATGCGTAAGAATGGAATGCCGCAGGCATTGACGAGGACAGGGATACGGCGCCGACCGCTTACAACAGGTCGAGGTCGTGACAATATAGGAGTCGCATCCGGATGCGGCCGGACAGTAAGTTCCTGAAATCGTCGGTTTCTCTCTTTCTTAATTTGTTTCTGTGATGGGGGCTGCACGGGTCTCAACTCGGATAACACAGATTGGAACTTCTTTTTGCGTTGTTTCGCGATATGCGCTTCGGAAAGTATGGTGGTTATCAGACTGGAGTCATGCTTATTTCCTTGCGACGCCGAGTATAAAAGGTCAAGAGCCTGCCCCGTTTAGCCATTATAATCATGAAAAGGAGGTCAGTGGCTGCGTACTTCGTACCCGGCTTTAAGCGCATTTGCTGTCTGAGAAGGACTTTGAAGATTCTTGTATTTGCGGAATCGTTCTTGAATGTGCGATTGCGACGAGACGAGCTCTGGCACGGTTCGTTGTAGGTCGTTACATCGTCGGAGGAGTGCTCGATAGAGTGCTAGGCCTAACAAGGGTGTTTTGGTAAGCAACTGCGATTAGAAGGGTAAGAATTGGATTTCGCGAGCTTACATGCAAATCGATGCGTAGGAGACAATTTCGGGACAACAAGCCGATGCATTCTCCCCTATATGTTTGGAGCCCAGGAAATTATTTTCGGGACGGGCAAAGGTGCGACAACTGTATACGCACGTCACGTGCAGCATCACACAGAATGGTCCAAAATAATCCAAAATAATCTTGAAAGATTGGAGTCCCGTTAGTTCGTACGAGTAGTCAAGGAACCTGAATCCGACTATTGTGTCTTCCAGTTAAACATGGGGGAATTCTGTGGTGATATATCATCAGTTCGCCCTAGCCTTTGAGCATAAAGATGTAATAGTAAGCACTGTAGCTCCAGACTTGCAATGGTGAAAATATCGATTAGACGGCGGTCTTAGTTTACAGTATGTCTGCGGTTTACCGCACAAATATATAGCTGAAGGAAGCTAATTGATTGCAGCTAGGCTTCGCTGTTATGGGACGATGCCTGCCGTCATGCATAGACTAAACATGCTCTAATAGGTCAAGGAGAAGCTAATAACCGGACGCGAACACCGACCGAATACCCCGTTTTCGACTCGTCATTCATTTATGATGCAAATATTTAGAAATTCGAGCCCTCCGGAGGCTGAGGAATTTTCTTATGTTGTGGTAAAGCCATGTACCTGGGATTCTTAGGCATGTGACCAATATAAAGATGACCGATAGTGCACTTACCTTCTAAGTTCAATCAGGACAGTCTCCATGGTATACTCGCGCTTCCACTGTGCCAGACAGGGCAATTTCGCGGGGTCGACCTGATCATCATAAGCTTAGCCAACAGCCGCCCGTTATATCTCTAGTTTTGGATAAGACGAACCTTCCCGGAGTTTGGGTCAACGCATGGAAGATTGACGCGTGAGATAAATTGAAGAGTTGGAGGGCTATCGGGGTATTCAGGGCCGCAATGGATGTTGAGACTGTATATCCTGTTCTCGTGGACGCTCTTTAGTTGGGTAGGGCCAGCGTTAGAATATTGCACCCTTAAGAATCGACCGAGATAATGCAAGGCATACATGAGGGGGTCCAAGGAGGGTTCCATTCCAGTTGCTCATCATCATGTCCTCGCCATCAGCAAGACCGTAGGAGCAGGCCTCTAATTTTACAGAGCAAAAATAAATCAGCTCAAAGGTCTACATTGACGTTTGCCGGTGTCGCATGCCTACCTGCTCCCAAGCCCTTCTCGCCCTTCTCTAGCTCCTCTAGGAGCCTAAAATTCCGGGGTATTTTCGTATTTGCAGACATTATGAACTGGAAAATCTAAAGGAAAAGAAAACTGAAGAGACAAGAGAAATGAACTAACAGGTGACAAGTTAGTGACGGTGAAGAGGGGTTGGCGGAGGAGAAACAATTTCATCACCAAAGTAAAAGAGGGGCTGTCGTCACAATCCTTATCCGCTCTTCGATATCAAGCCACACCACCAAGCCTTGGGGTGAATATGAGGTAATTCACTTACATTACCAAGCAAAATATCTGAATCTTTGGTAATCCAATACAGTTCTTGCGGTGAAAGTTATCTGCACGTGATGATAAGAGACGCATCACGTGGCATTCATCTCGATGTCTTGGCGCCTATGAAGCCACGGCGGGCGACTCGTTGCGATTGTTTATACACCTGGTCATTTTCGGCATTTTTGTTTTGGAGAATGCTGGCCATTTTTGCTTCACTTATATGGAGCTGAGGACGGATTACGTTTAGTCTCTTTTGAGTTTCACCTATCGGCGATCTCAGCAACTTCATGACGACCGTGCAGCTGCCCGGTATTGCCTCACTGTCACTACCTAGCTGTCGGACGGGCCTTGGCCATGCGTAGTCCGCGACAATATTTGAACTGGAAATGTCCTCCCAATTACTACAGTCGGAACTTCTTAACCTCATCCAAGAATCTAAAAGAAAGAATTCTGACTTGCGAAATGTTTGACCTCCTTTCCTGTTCTAGAAGCAGGGATGCCAGAGCCCATAGCTAACTAGATTGTAGGCTGCTGAAGAGTCCCTCAATGACTTGAAGGCGCTTCCTTCTACTTCAGAGGCGCAAATATCCGCTGGTTAGACTGCACCCTTCCTGGTTTCCTTTTTACCTTTAGAAGAATCGTGTACTGAACAATAAAAAGACCTTGCGCGCAAGCCCCGGTTCGTTAACCCGTTCATTTTGGCATGCCATAGTCGCCATGCGAAACTCGCCGGGATTGGTGTCGTTTGCCTGCAACGACTGGTTGCATCTAGGTCGCTGCCATCAGAACGGTTGAAAGATGTCCTAAGCGGGTTGAAAGAAATAACAAATCTAAGTTAGTTCCCGACTTCTTCCAAATTACACCCAGACTAATGCCAGGAAGCCCTGGATATTCAGCTCAAGATCTTACAGACTTTGCCATCTTTATTACAACACTATTCCAATGACTTAGGCGGGGAGCTTCTTGTCACGACACTCGAACTATGTGCAACCTTGCAGTCGAGCAAGACCCTTGCAGTCTCCAGTACGGCAGCAGCTACGTTGCAGCAGCTTGTTGTTTCCACGTTTGAGCGAGTATCTGTCGAAGACCGTAAGTTATATTTAATGATACGAAACTTGTGACATGTGCTTATATCGTTATAGAGATGGACCAAGAGTCGATGCCGACCACTACGGTGAAAGTCGATGGAGGCTCTGTGAAAATAGGGTATTTTGCGCTGGATGCTTTACAGGTGAGCCTAACAATGCCCTGCTGGAATATTGCCTGCCCGACTAACCGGTAAGGTTCTGGATGATCTTTGTCGGCTTGTGGATGGCGAACAGTTGCACTTTCTGCGAATCAAGTCACTGTCTCCAGCGTTTACTTTGGAGCTGATCGAAAGTATCCTCCTCAACAGTGGCCAGCTGTTTGTTGATCACCCGGAACTCACGCAAGTGCTACGGAGTCGCCTCATTCCCATGACCGTTAGATATTTATCGGAAAGGCATACATTCTCTCAAATGGTGCGGATCGCAAGAATTCTCCTTATCCTACTTAAGCGGTACTTGTCTCTATTAACAGCAGAATGTGAAATGGCGCTGTCGCTTCTGACGCACTTACTGGAACCTGACGGAACGGCGTCATGGAAACGAGTACTCTGTATGGAGATGTTTCGAGGCTTATATGCTGAACCGGGACTCGTCAGGATAATTTATTCATTATATGATGCCGAGGAAGGGAGAAAGAATATCCTTCGAGACCATATGGCTTCGCTTGTTCGACTGGCAGCTGAAAAGCCTTCTTTGATTGGTGTCAGTGCTCGTTCAACGGTACCTTCACGCGCGGAACACACTCGATCTATCACAGAAGAGCAAATAACTCTCGAGGTTGGAGGAGTGGCAGGGGTCATTGGAACCTCGGTCCCGTCGAATGACACCAATGTGCCGGGCATCAGCAATCAATGGAGTGTAGTTCGCTCACCGTACCTGGAACTACTTGACAAGGCTGAACCTCCACTGCCGCCCGAAACATACATTTACAGTTTAGTGCTAAACTGCGTAAGCGCATTTGCTGAAGGGCTCGCCAAATTTATCCTTCCACTTACAGTGCCTGACCTGAAACCGAAGCGGAAGGGCCGCATTGCTGGGGAGCGAAATGGGGGCTCTACGGCAGCCTCGCAGGACTTAGAAAGGGGAGACTCCTTGAAACGATCGAGGTCAACTAAGAAGTTTCCGGTGCCGATCAACCCTCTGGATCTAGAATCCCATCCTCAACTATCAACGATCCGGACCTGCGCGGGGATTGTTGAAGATTGTTGGCCGGCCGTTCTAGCGACATGTTCGACTTTTCTATATGCGTCACTGGACGATGATTTTTACCACAATCTTGTTCGCTCTTTCCAGAAGCTGACACACGTTGCTGGTCTCCTAAGACTGTCCACTCCCAGAGATGCCTTCTTGACCACTCTTAGCAAAGCCTCCATGCCAACTGATACAAACATAGCGAAGCCTGTTAGTTCAGAAGCAACACCAGGGGCCCAACCAAGTGGAGCCATGGAAAAAGGACAAAAGGGCAACGAAGCCTCCCATGTTACGCCCCAGGAGCCCACAGAAGGCCCCGCAGCACCCTCAAGCGACCAAGCCCTCTCTCTCAGCACAAGAAACCTTCTCTGTTTACGAGCTTTGCTCAATTTGGGAATTGCACTTGGTCCCACCATGGATCGGCCTGCTTGGGCAATAATCCTCGGGACACTCCAAGATGCAGACTTGTTGGTTAACAAATCACCGACGAAATCGCAAAGTACAGCCGGCAGTGCCTTAGAGGCCACCGGAGGGACAGTAGGTGATGTGCCTCAAGGGAACCTGGGAACGGAAATTATGGCCGTGCACTCTGCATCATCCAAGTTGTTCGAAAGCACCAGTGATTATCCCGACGACACTTTCAGGGGATTCCTGATTGCACTCCTGGATCTCTCTGCAACAACGGAGGAGCCCACGACAACTGAAACCTCTGAAATGAATGCAGGAAAAGCATATTTACAGCCGAGCTCTGGTCGTATGCGCCGGTCGTCCCGTCGTGTATCACATGCGCTAGGGACATCAAGGATCCAGGACGAGGAATTGAGGCTCGTTTTGGATAGAGCACGGGGCTTAGCCAAAGCGAATTTGGAAAGAATGTCATCACTGGCAGAGAACGACCAAAGTGCCTGGGAGCTTCTTACGGGCCGGCTAATGGCAACTGCTGCTAACGGGCAGATCGGTCAAGATCACCGTTTGCATGCAAATGAGGTTCTCAATTCTCTTGTCTTTGAGACGATGAAGCAAAGGGTTGACGAAAGTGATTTGGAAAGGGATGCGCGACAGTTGAGAAATCTGAAGACACTCGAAGCTCAGGTCAGATTGCTCTACAAAAGTAGTGGTTGCCAGCTGGGTTCTCCATCGGCTTCTATAGTTGAAGTTCACGAGCAAAGCTTGGAGACATTGAAGAATATCCTGGAACAATTCGCTGAGACGTTTGTTCAATGCTGGGAAGCTGTTTTCGGCCTCATATCCAGTGTATTTGGCGTACCGACAGCGGGAGGCGACGGCGACGCTGCGAAAGACCTTGATGGTGGTAGGCAGGCGCTGGTGGCCGACTCTCCCCGGCTCATCCAAGTTGCATACAAAAGCCTGCAACTCATAGCATCTGACTTCTTGACCCAACTTCCGCCACAATGTCGTCTCGACCTTGTAGAATCCTTTTCAAAATTTGCTCTGCAACAGCAGGTCTTCAACATATCGCTTACCACAACGTCATCCTTTTGGAATGTCTCCGATTTCCTTCAGGATCAGACAGAGCGCTTCTCTATTGAATCACACGTCGAACTATCTGTTACTGAGGAGAAGCTTGCTGAATTAGCAAAGACGGATGATCGCTCTGTCTCGAGCAATGCGCTCTGGCTATTGCTTCTGCTGCGGATAGTAGACATCACGACAGATAGCAGATCGGAAGTTAGAAACTGCGCCATTCATACTTTGCTAAGGATTTTTGATGCCTATGGCCAACAGCTCTCACCCAAGGCGTGGTGTCTATGTTTGAATCGTGTTTTGTTCCGGATGGTCGAGCAGATCGAGGCTACATTCGCCAACGTGCAAAGCAAGGCCGGCAAAGACTCCGATGGGGCAAAGGCATGGACCGAGACAACAGTGCTTGTGATAAAAGGGGTCTCTGATCTTGTCACCAATTTCTTTGACGCCATCATAAAGGATGACATGTTTGACGGATCCTGGGGACAATTGCTTGACTATTTTCAGAAGCTAGCCAACTGGCGCCTTCTTGCGTTTAGTCAAGCAGTATTCTCGAGTCTATCTAGCATTCTTTTGCGAGTTCAGCAGCCAGACGGACTCAGCACGCAGTCCATGCAGTCGGCCTGGGCAGTATGGTCCAGCGGCCACCCGATGGACAAGGAAGATACGCTGGATCTGGATCAGCCTAATCAGGATGCCGCGATATCGTACCTGCACGGCTTCCAGCAAATTTACCGCTTATACAAGGATAAATTAACGAAACAGGATATCGAAGCAATTTTACGACACATGAAAACGACCGCATGGAATTCGATATGCCCTAAATATTCGCCCGATGTCGACCGACCGTCACAGTTGCAGGTACTGATAATTGACTGCTTAAGAATGATGTGCTTAGAGAAAGACGACTCTCAGGGCCAGATTCTCCAATGTCTATCAGAGCTTGCGGACTCTGCTCTTTCAAGATGGTCACCAAACAGTGACACCAGAAGACCGACCTACGTTGCTTTCTCCAAGAATGTAATAGATCTTCTTAGCTGGTACGTTGCTGAATACGGTATCAAACGAGATATATTCGGGGACGGCTCTGTATCGACTGCCCTGGAGCATCTCGCAAACCCCGTCGTCCAGCGATATGAATGGCCTGGGAAGGACAAAGAACCTAGCCTCTGGCAGAAATCAACCACAGCGTCGTTGAATGTTTTGCGAGTGGCAATTCCTTACGTGGAGAAGCAATATGGTAGTGTAAGCGAGTATGAAGTATCTCGGTTCTGGAAATGTGTTATCGAAATTGCGAATGGCATCATCGCCGCCAATGGCTACCGAAGCGCAGCAATTTCTGGCCCATCTCTATTATCCGACGAAGCTTTTGACGTTGATGCCTTCGGAAAGCTGAAATCTCTAATCATTCCGTCCCTCGGGGCTTCAGCAATTCAGGATAACATTAAGCGGGATTTCGCCCGCGCTCTACTCAATTCCTCTTTTATATATCACCCACAACGACACGATTTGCCAACCAAATACCATGAGGATGGGCCACTTGAAGGTATATATGATGTGCGTCCAGGAAGAACCTTCGATCCACCGCCAACTACTCGAACCAAGATGGCATACCACACACTGGACACTCTGTTCCAACTATCATCATCACCCGGCCAAAGCTCATCGACGGATGAAGACGCTCAGAAGAATATCTCAATTGCTCGTTCTACATCCCCGTACCTCATCCTACGATGTGCTGTATCGTTAAAGGGTTATATTGCAGATCAACCCCTGCGCGGGCTCATGCCACAGCCGACCCCAGCACGCAAGGCGCTACTGCATCTTCTTGAAGGAATGGTCAATCTCCACAGCGAACCATCAGCGATCCCACTACCGCCTACGCCAAATTCAATACCGGGCCAAAACCAGAGCCACAAGAAACACCTAGTGTGGATATATCCACTGGTTGTGCAGGCAGTGCAAGTGGCGGGAAAAGAGCGAGATGGTGGACAAGTATTACGTGCTCTAGGCGAGGTGTTACGTGAAGTTGGCAGTACTGCATAATGTCGTCACTTTAACTATACTATAGGATGCATAGATATACATATGGTTACTTTTTGCTTCTTGCTTTAGCGTTATCTCATATTGTACGTTACTCTTGTGAAAGACCATGCCCTCGGGCGTTGCAGAGGCAAAAATAATAGTCAAAATTCGATGCATTGTATGATTCGCTTCTAGCAAAACCATGTCGGGTACTTGTTTTGAAAAAGAAAAAGGAAAAAAGAAGCTAAAAAAAGCAAAAACAAAACCTAGTTAAAACTCCCCGAAAACACCATCCATGCAACCATACCCCCGGGTAAAAACTCCTAGGGATAAACAGCAAATACGTCAAAAAAAAAAGCCGAGGCCCCATGAGTTAAAATCTCAGAGCGAAGCTCCGGTTTCATACCCAGCCAAAACCGACTGTACAGCGGTCATAACATCCTTCTGCACAACTGCCGCCTCGGCGTGTACATCAACGGTAATAACATCCCACTCAGCGGAACCAGGCTCCTCCAAATCCTTAAGCTGGCTCTCTACCATGCCAGGCTTCATGTAATGCGCCTGACGGGCGGAGACGCGAGCAAATAGGGTCGAGCGGTCGAGCTTGAGGTAGACGAAGTGGATGCGCACGTTGGGGGTGCCATATGCAGCAAGGCGCATGACATCGCGGTATTTCTCCTTCAGCGCGGAACAGGCGACGACGACGCCGCGCGGCGCTGGGGTGGATGGGGAGGTGGGAGTGAGGAGGGTTGTTGCTGCATTGCGCAGGGCGATGAGCCAGTCCCAGCGGTCCGCATCGGTTAGAGGGATGCCGGAGCCCATCTTGGCTTTGTTGGAGGCCGGGTGGAACTGTCCTTGTGTTAGTTCCTTATCATGGGTTGCGGATAGAGTAGATTTATAGATAGGAAGGGAGAGGCTTACATCGTCACCCTCTAGGAAGGGAACACCCAATTGTTGGTGGAGGTGTATTCCAACGGTACTTTTGCCGCTGCCGGCGGGGCCAGTGACGACCCAGATGTGTTGGAGGTTGTCTGAAGACATTGCGACTTGCGTTGAACTGGAAGACGGTGCTGTTGTGTGGTTGAGGGCTGAGACTTTCGTGTGCGAAGGGTCTATAACCGTAGAAGGTTGACGCTCGCCGGCGGATAACATTTCGAAAGAGGTTGAAGAGAGAAGCTCTCTTTCTATTTATACACGGGAACGAAGGAGGATGGCGTGAGAGTGCGAGAATAGTGAAAGCAACAGACGAACGGACGCAGTCGCTGCAGGCGCAAAGTTTGGGGTGTGTTTGAAAGGGTTGATTGTGACTGTAGTACAAAGGCCAACAGATAGGCACGCAGGAGCGGTTGATCGAAGTGAATAGCTGCAGAACAGGTGAAAGGGTGAAAAGTACAAGTACAGAATGAGGACAGGAGGAGATTATATTGTGTCAGGATAGCCAGGGTTAATAAATGGTAATCAGGACTGTCTCAGGAGTCGGGACCGGGTTTGCGCCAGTGGGTCAAGGCCCAATATTTGTATACCAGGGCCACTTCCCGACTCCCCATTCCGGGCGATGGATTAGCGATATCAGCAGGAAATCGGCGATTAAACGAGCAAGGGGAAAGAGAAATACAGATGAATACAGCCGGTGGGGGAGAGTGGGGGAAGCAAACAAAGTCCTGGAAGAACGAGTCCAGCGGTCTGGTTGTTAGCGGCTGATCGGAGATACAACCGACAACTAAATACGGTGTGCACTGGACGCAGCGCTGTGGCTTTCAGCACAGGAATTGATTAAATGAGGATATGTACTTGAATCTGCGACGCAAAGATGCGCGTTCCCTTCTGCAGATCAACTTGCAAATTCCATCTGGCGGTCATGGAAAGAATTACGATCTTTAGTCTATGATGTCACATACTAATGCTCATTAGCCGGGGAGGCCGGGGGCGAAGCAGGTACTCCGTACTGCAATACAAAATTACAAGCCTGAGAAAGAATGATACCTCAGTTGAGGTAGCAGGCAAGGGCTCTGATTTGTGCGAAACATGAAGAACCTTCGCGAAAGCCAATCATCTTGTGATAAATGCTTCCCTCAAAACCATCCACGCATTCAAAGGCCGTTAAGTGCCCCCACGCTATACCTTATTAGGCAGATATGGTATTGCGTGGGATGTTCGTCAGAAAAAGATACAGCATCGTCCTTTCACTCCGACGGACCAAACAGGGGCCGATGGACGGATCTGCTCCTGTCAATAATTGAAGATGTCGTCTGTGCTGAATAGCCATGACCCTGACGGGTCTGTTCCCGGGTCTTTGTTTATCAGATTCGGTTCTTCCACCTCCCGTGGCAGACCACTCGTGTTGTTGCCCGCCATATCCTGGAAATCTGGTGGTGGTTTCACAGGATTTCGGTGCCTAAATTACTGGTAAACTGGTAACCATGCAAGGCAGGAGGCATGGTGTCCAACCTGGGAAACCTGATTTCTCGTGATTGCTTCGTGGGCGAGTAACAAGTGGACAGACCGCCGGTTATTCAGATCCCGGTCAAACATCACTCTCCAGGGTGAATCTCCGCCGTCATTGTAATCCAGGCTTTACCAATAGCCCTGTCAGTTCGCCCGACGACGGCGGGATTGACTCCTGAGTGACAGGCCATCCCATCGGAGATAATATATTGGAGGATTATGATTGGTTGATAATGGGGCGTAAGGGTGTGGCTTGAATCCGGGGAAGTCCGCTGAGGCTCATGCGGTGGAAAACATGCATGATGTCTTCCTGCAGGAAAACATTCCCTGATGACCTGTCTGGTCTGCACAAATGACTGAGGATGTTTGCTCCGACTTTTTCGTATCCCTGTATGTTTCTGCCAGCTGGCAAACGATGACTTTCAATTTCTTGCTCATGTGGTATCGGAAATGGGATTCCTTAGTGTTGTAGGTATGGCTTCACAGCCACACAGAACTGATGGTCTCTCTGAAACCCTGCAATAAATGTTCTTCCTTTCTGGCGATATGACCCTCTCGAAGGTACTCATCGTACGTATATCATTTGCTACGTATGCCGTAATTGCTGGGGCGAGACCATTGTTCGACCGTGGTCCTCCTTGGCAGCGTATGTGGCTCCATGGATATGGATTGCCGACTAGGCACTAAGTCATGTAACTTCAAAAACTGGTCTTGCTCAGCGACAATTAGGCGTGTCATATATAATTCACCATATCGAGGGGGGGGAACAAATTATGGCTTCCCCGAAGCTCGAAGTGACAACCAGTTGAGGTTTTGGCGTGGTGAATTGGATTGCACCCAACGACTTGAGGCGGACACCTTACGTAATCCACATATGCCACCGCCAGGCAGTAATGCGAGATGCTGTCAACCCCAGTGAGAAGCTCATCTGAGCTCAACGAGTGGCCGTTATCCTTGTGATTGTGTTCCCTGACCTACGCGGCCGAATTGACAAATTGAGAAGTACCAATATATCGGTATACTCGACATGACTTCCCTATTCTTCTCAACCCCGCTTGACATCGACGTTGTCCTTGAAGATGGCGACGAGCGCCAGATGGTGGATGCCAAGTTGGAAAAGGGCCATCGGGAGAAGGTGCCCCTTTACATGGACGGAGAATCAGTCAAGGGTGCTGTAACTGTCAGACCCAAGGACGGGAAACGGCTCGAACACACAGGCATCAAAGTGCAGTTTATCGGGACGATAGGTACGGAAAGCTAGCTGGCTGGCTTAACGAAGCCATGCGCGCGTGCTGCGAACGGTCTTATCCTGATGGAATATCGCTGTGACAATTTACTAATACGAACCTTTGCGCACGGTATAGAGATATTTTACGATAGAGGCAACCACCACGAATTCTTATCCTTGGTCCAGGAACTCGCGGCTCCCGGCGAGCTACAGCACCCCCAAACCTTCCCCTTCAACTTCAAGAATGTTGAGAAGCAATACGAATCATACAATGGCATCAACGTGAAGCTACGGTACTTTGTCCGGGTGACGGTATCCAGACGCATGGCGGATGTGATTCGAGAGAAGGACTTATGGGTTTATTCTTATCGTATGCCAGAAGAGAGCAACAGCCCGATCAAGATGGATGTCGGTATCGAAGACTGCCTGCACATAGAGTTTGAATACTCCAAGTCGAAGTACCACCTCAAGGATGTCATCGTGGGACGCATTTACTTCCTCCTGGTACGCCTGAAGATCAAGCACATGGAGCTATCGATTATTCGACGAGAAACGACTGGGACCCGACCGAATGAGTATAATGAGAGCGAAACGTTGGTGCGATTTGAGGTTAGTGCTTGGAATTATACCACCGTGAATTATTCTTTGCTGATTGGCTAACCGGGCAAAGATCATGGACGGATCACCTTCTAGAGGTAAGCCTTTCGCATTTGTTCCTCCTTGGATACGCTTCGGAGCCCCTCCAGTCGTTGAAATGCGGTCTTCTCGATCTGTTGAGACACAAGCGCAACTGGGCGGATATGAAGAGAAAAAACAGCTAGAACGAACTCGTTGCTTACTGTCAGCAGGTGAAACCATTCCTATACGTTTGTTCCTTGGCGGATTTGACTTGACGCCAACATTCCGGGACGTCAACATGAAGTTTTCGACACGTTATTATCTGAGTTTAGTTCTCATTGACGAAGGTACGTTCACATGGTTGCACGGGCCCATGATGTATCCTTTCTTATCTCACTGCATCTCGGATTTGAACGCATTGCTCGCAACTTGTGTCTCACAAAATGCATGCGCTGGTGCCTGAGTATCTTTCTCACCGCCAATTTCCCCTTGTCCAACCCATCAATAGCCGTCGGCAATTGACCACGGTTTCGGACCAGTCAAAGTTGCGCGGCGCTCGGCCCGGTTGGTTACAGGCACCATTATCGGCGTCTCCCCGGCTGAAACCCCCACGCTAAAAGCCCCCCTCACGTGGTGGACTCCACCGTCCCCAGTTATTCGTCCGGTTTTTTATTTTACACCGCTGTATTTTTGCCTTACTTGTGGCCCCTAGTATACTAACCCCTCATCTTTTAGACGCTCGTCGATACTTCAAACAATCCGAAATCATCCTCCATCGTCTCGCTCCCGAAATCCCACCAACGCCTGAAGTAGCCCGGCAGCAGCAGATCCAGATGCAGCAGGCCGCTGAGCAAAAACACCACCAGCTCCCACCAGGCTCTGCAACTCCTGGCCCAGGGAGAGAGCATCCAAACAACCAGCAACCAGCACAAGCAACCGCTCCTGTGGCCGCGGAGTAAGTATGACGTGGACTAGCGCATACCATACATTCCGAGCGAATGAGTACCAACTATCTTGATTAGTTAGGGCTAACCTCCTACTCACCTATTCTATCTACTTCCTATATGATACCAGCTATCACGGTATCAACATATACCCTCGCCATTCCTCCGCTACTCACTATGTATATTTCTGCATACGTATGTCGTGTCTCTGTCATGACCTGTCCCTATTTCTTTTTCTAGCCTGCTAGTGAGAATACACTTTACTTTTTACTACTATTTCACGAAACTTTCTTTTCTTGAGCCGGATGCTCTCATAACGATAGCATCTCTGTGCTAGTGTATTGTTGACGACATCCAGTACCGCGGCAAGGGCTTGTAAGCTTGTTGTCATGCTAAAAGTGTAGAGTACGCTTGGATCAGTTCATCATTTGACGCTTTCAGTATTATCTTGGCCACCAGGCTCGTGAACCCTTAGATACGGCATTAAATACATTCAATAGTTTAGTGGTTAGTTGGCAATATCGATCATTCAGCAAACTATCTTCATATAGAAAGGCGGGTGGAAGAAGGTTGTCACTGGGGTGGCGGGTCAACACGGTCAGGTGGCTAACGTAGTAGATCTGGAGGAGTTGATTGGTTTGAAAGAACACAACCCCTTGGTGTTATTTTGGGGGAAAGAGAAGGGCGCGATGTTGTTGCTCTTGTTATTTCAGGCAGTACATGGAGCCAGATCCTAGAACACTATCATGTCAATATACACTATTCCCAACCAGAGCATACACTATGCTTGAGAGTTCTCCATTATGGTCTATGTATCTCTAAACGCCACAATTGGAAATACACTCAAGAGCCAGGCTATCGCAGGCTCAAGAGCATGCGCTCTGGTGACTCGATAAGTTCCTTGACCTTGCTTGCCATCCTCGCCATGGTTGCACCATCCACAACTCGGTGATCCGCACTCCAGCTGAAATTCACTACTTCGCCCTTGGTTACCTGGTCTGCTTCATCGAAAACGGGTACTGTCCGTGACCTTCCGACTCCTAGGATGGCCACCTCGTTGGTCACGATAACCGGACTCACGTAAGTACCACCGATATTTCCAATGTTCGAGACCGTGATAGTACCACCGCTGAGGTCTGCAGGGGTGAGTTTACCTTCCTTCCCTAGTGCACTTAAACGCGAGATTTCCTGCGCGACGTCTAGAATGGAAATTCTGCCCACGTCCTTGATGTTAGGGACTATCAGACCCTGCGGGGTATCCATCGCAATTCCGATGTTGTGCTTTGGGCGCATAATAAGCTGCGGCTTGTCCGGGTTGCTTGTATCAACTTTGGCGTTGAGAATAGGGTACTCATTCAGAGCAAGGGAAACCGCTTTGACTACGAATGAGAGGAACGTGATCTTTATCGGATCGTTCTTGTCGTTGGCGATCTTCTTTCTCAAGGCCGATATGTTATTGATGTTGAGCTCATCAGCGTATCCGAAGTGAGGAATCGTCAGTGACCGAGTCATAGCCTTGAACATTTGGGACTGAATTGGCGTTAGGTTGACCGCTGTGTCGGCTTGCTGGGACGCTGGTACAGCTGTACTCGGCGTGTCCCTGATTGCAACAAACTTATGGATGTCTTCCTTCAGCACACGTCCATCCTTGCCTGTTCCATTCACATCTTCGATATTCACATTCAATGTCTTCAGTAGCCCGCGGACAGCCGGGGTAGCAAGTGTAGCAAAACGTGACTTCGGTACATTGCTTGTAGTATCGGTAGTCGAGGGAGCAGCCGACGTAGGAACGGTTTGGGGTGTTGTCTGTGAGTCTGTTGTAGTCTGCGCTGGTGGAGAGGGCTCCGCTACGGCCGGAGGATGATCTTCGGGGTACTTGGCGTCGTCGACTTCTATATCGCAAAGTGCCTACAAACACCCGAAGTTAGCAAGCACAATTAGAATATCAGTATATAGTCTTACCCTTCCTGTGGGAACAGTATCATCCGCTTGGAAATACAGTTTCTTCACAATACCCTCATACCTCGATGTAATCTAGATATATATTAGTTTGAGACATAAAGATTCCATTCGGAACGACAGGGTCCACAAACATCATCGACTGCCTTATCAGACTGGTACTGGCAAAGCGGATTCCACTCTTCAATCCGAGCCCCTTCCTCCACATACCACTGGATGATCTGGACCTCCGTTATCCCTGTGAGACGAATTGAGATTAGCTATCGGACAGTGCATGATGACGGTTCAGATAGATGAAAAAAAACGCACCTTCACCAACATCTTTTAATACCTGGGATCTGATCCCACCGAGAGCCAAAGCAGCGTGGAAACTCCGCCGAGGAGGACATATCGTAGGTGATCGAACACTATTCAAGGCCGTGCGGGATTGAGCGGATGTCCAGGCTCTGGAGTAGGCCCGACTGCAACGTAGGATATTCATTGTCGAGTATGCAGTCAGATAGAGGAGGATAGAAACAAGAGTCCTCTCAATGGGCGAACATTCCTCTCTCCCTTTCTTTTATCTCCCCGCATTATGCGCTTCCAACCGCCGACGATAACCGACGCATAGCGTAATGTCACGTGGGTCTCTCCGCATCTCGGGGATCGGTGGGCCAAGTCACGTGAAGAACAGGGCTTGGCTTGGGATACTATATATATAGAGGTGATAGCTCGTTTATCCACCGAAAATTATTATACGGAGGAGAAACGGTTCGTAGTTCCGGCAGATACCAATCAAGCCACTCGGGCCTAGGCGAAACCGGGACAGAACAACCTAAGGTGGCGTGGACGGTGTGGGTAAGTGCCCCTGATGTAGGTATTTCCCGTGTGGGCGCCTGGTAGGTAAACTTGAAGTAGGTATTCCCCGTAGTAGGGAATGGCCGCAGTAGGGATTACCCAGTCCTAGTATGGCATCATGTAGGTATTTCCCAGTATAAGAAAGGTTACTTCGTCATAAACCAAGCCATCCAACCTTTTCAACCATCTGAGGGAGTTTCTATTTTGTTCCCTACTGTCTTTTACCTACAAGATGGACGTTTTTCTCGACGTCTTGGACACATTTGTCTTCGACCGATTATACGCGTCGATATTGCCGGCGCCAAATGGAGTCGGGGTCGTAGGATCGCAATCGCAGAAGACATACAACCGACATATCGGTGTTTACATCCCTCTGGAACCGTCCGAATATGTGGAGGCGAGCATATGGAAGCGAGACGACATTGTACGACAGGCGATGTCTCTATTCCTGGTGGCCTGGTATGTCTGTTGACCCCTTTCAGAGAAATTATGCACTAACAAGGGCGCGATGTTCATTTCACAGGGTCTTCGGTTTGGCCATGTACCTTATCGGCAGCTTCATAGTCTACCATACAATGTGGGACAAGCGGCTCCTGCGGCATCCTCATTTCCTCAAAAACCAAATGCGCCTCGAGATTAAGCAAGGCGTGAGCGCGATTCCTGTGATAGCTATCCTGACTGCACCTTTCTTCGTCGCAGAGGTGCGTGGCTGGTCTAAGCTGTACGACTTTTCGAGTGAAGCTCCATTCCCTGGGTATACGTGGTTGCAATATCCGCTATTTGTGTGTTTCACGGACTGCGGGATCTATTGGATCCATCGATGGCTGCATATCCCATCCGTATACCGCCACCTGCACAAGCCGCACCACAAATGGGTCGTGCCGACGCCGTTCGCCAGTTACGCTTTCCACCCGGTAGATGGCTGGTCGCAAAGTCTTCCATACCATATCTTCCCGTTTTTGTTTCCGCTGCAGAAAAGTGCCTACTTAGGGCTTTTTACATTCGTGACCTTGTGGACAGTGTTGATACGTAAGTCATGCTCCCATCATGCAATTGAAGTCCGTAAACCGTTCTAATGCTTAACAGATGACGCCGAGTACATATCTCATTCTGTGGTTGTCAACGGGTCAGCATGTCACACAATGCATCATTTATACTTCAACTACAATTATGGCCAATTTATGACTCTCTGGGATAGGTTAGGAGGGACATACCGCACGCCGAAGGAAGACAGCTTCCTGCAAAAGGAGAATCTTCGAGCCCGGAGCACCAAGAAAGACGAGTAAGAGACGGGTATTGGGTTAGTATCTCAACATATAAATAAAGAATAGCTTGTCATCCCATTTCTAGTGCACTCGGTGTTGCCATGTACCGACTGCACCATTTAATGAATTCATTTAATTTCCCCAAATCATCTGTTGCAGCGCTGTCTGAATCCAAATATGGAAGATTTGTCCGTTGGCTGGCAATGTCAAGCGTGACCGTCAGTAGTAGCCACAGCTCTTTGGCATGTTTCGGATATCCTAGAAGAAGTTTCTGTTCGTTGTTTGCGCATGCGGAATCCCAAATTTGCTTCCAGTTATTGGCGGCAGATCTTATCTTCTCCAATGGCACAGACCCGAAAAAGTCGACTCTGGCCATGAATGCGAGGGAATTTAGTGCTGGGAGTAATTTTTTAGCAAGATTGTCTAGATTTGAAGCTTGTCGCGCAGCATACCATAGATCATTATTAGCAAATGTTCTGCTGAAAGGGAGAGCCTGGAAGGGATCGGTCCAGGGTCCGGATTGTCGAGCAACAGCCGAACTGCTTCCCTTACAGAGGGTAGCGGGAGCTCTGCTTCATAATCTGTGGCAATTCGATTGAATGTTGACGCATCTTCTGCTTCCCATAGCTCCGTTTTCCATGGAAACGAGCAGTCAAGTTCAAATATGGATATACTGGGACGATTTCTGAAACAAAGTGTGAGGAACCCGTCCGCAAGAAATACCCATGAAGCAAGGCGTATGCATACTTCCTCCGCTACTAATAATTTCCATGAGCCATCCTCACCATTGTTAGATGTAGGCGCCATTGACCGTTTCAGGTGGAAAATACCCAAGCAACGCATAAGAGACACCAAACTTGGATGACGAATTATCCGAATGCGGCGCCTAATTTCGACCCTCTCTTGCCCGAACTGTAGCATCTCGATAATCAAGGCAGCTTGAATGAGCTGGATCGTAGAGTGTTGACTTGTAATCTTGTGAGGCTGCAAAGTGGACTGAGTCGATAGGGAAGTAACGCTACGAAAGATATATTCTTCAGCCACATCAAGAAGTCGGGGCAACAGGGCTGCATCGTCCAATGAATTGCTGTATGCTGCACCAGTTAAAAATATCGAGAGAAGGAGTGGGTTGGAAACATTTCCCGGATCGAATGTAGGAAAATGCACAACTGGAAGATGCCAATGAAGAGAGTGGAAGAAGACTGAGACGAATATGGCAATGTTGGAGACGGTGAAAAGGGAAGCCAGTTGAGAAGTGTCGTATAACAACTGTGTATTATCTGCGCACTCAATTTCCATAGATTTGGACGTTTGAACGAGTTCTATCATCAGCTCGTTTAATTGTCCCGAAAGCTTGGTGGGCCCCGGTCCAGAAGACAGAAAGTCTGTAGGGATATGACTTTCCGTGGTCAAAGGAAGCTGAAAGAAAGAGCCCAAGCCTGAAAAATCACCAAACCACGCCGCCATGGAGTCGAGTGGTATAAGAGCATCTTCCAGATGAGAATAGAGGTTTTCGAGATTTCTCGGGACCGAGCATTCTGCGGTTGTTCCAATGGCGAGCCGGTCCTTCTCTACGGAAGGGTCGGTAAAGTGCCGGAGGAAAGAGAATTGCGTGTCATCTTTTGATGTTATAGAAGACTGTATTGACGGCGGCAATGAGAAGTCTGTCGAGCTGGAATCTGTCGGAGAAAACGCCTGCTGCGATTCAAACTTGCATTGTAGTCCTAGCGAAAGACAACGAGAGCACGGAAGGCCTTTGTCACAAGCCTTTTTCACAGAGAAACACTGATCGCAAGACTGTCTTTTCCTCCCTGGTTTGGCTGCTGGGGCAGGCTGCTTGTTGTGTTTTGCCGCGCATGCTTTACTATGCCGTCGTGCGACCTCTCTGTGCACACAATGAATTAGTTATAGCTCAATTACTGATCCGAGAACAAGAAGAGCGTACGGTTTTAGGAAATATTTTCTACAGAATGGACATGCAGTAGTGGCCTGGCCGGTATCTAAATCGATGGTCAATGGGGGAAGATGAGAGGGGGACTCATTATGCTTACGGGTCACCACATGGCGTTGCAAATGTGCCTTGCGCTGGTAAGATTTATCACACTGAGCGCACCGGAACATGGTTCCATACGTGGACTACTCAAGGATGACATTGGTCGAATGAGAAATGGAAGTGGAGATGCACGATGGTGATGGTTTGATGCAATCTCTCGAAGCTTGCATACAAAATCATGTGATTCTGCTATCTTATGCGATTAGTCAGCCATTTACAGCACCGACTGGTTCACTTGCATACAGATGGGGCTGGAATAGAATTGTCAAGAGTCAATTGATGCAGCGCTGCTTTGTTGTAGTGCAAGGATGGGGATATACTCAATGATGGCGCTGGCCGTCCGGTTGCGAACAGCGCCCGGCCGAGTCTGTTGCGCTTACCCCTCCCCCACCATCAGCGAAAAACAAGGACAAACTTCGAGGACGATCCTCAATGTTCGCCAATCTCAAATTGGATCTACATCGGATTGAACTTCAGCTAGCCTCTTGTGCGAGGTCGAGGGTTGGTTTCGATCTCCTCATTGGCGCCCCGCCCCATCGTGGGCTGTTTGTGCTCTGATAACCACGGATCCTTTGGAGCCTAAAGTGCGCGTTCCCAGCTGAGTTCCAGACCTTCGTCAAACAGATCTCTCCTCCCAGCACTTATCCCCAACTCATGTTCTTTCCCCCCTCCCAATAATAGACACCCAATTCATTGTCAACAGTGCATAGCAAATAACCCTACAACATGGTGGCTGAAAACTTGACCATCCGGAATCTTAGCTCCACGCCAATTACGCTGAAGCGCATTGAACGCTTTCGCGCCCCTGAGAAGGCTCGCGATGTCGATATCGGTACGCTAGCAAAGAACTTCACCAGACTTGTGACCAACGTCACCCGCGCTGAGGCGCCTGTCACATCAATTGAGGACAGCGCTAAATCCTTTGAGCACAAGGATGTCGATATCCATGTGGAACCCTTCAAGACGGTTCGCACTGATCTTCGTTCCTTTATTGACTCGGACAAGGAGCGAATCCGTTGGGTGTTCGAATCAAAGGGTGAACGACACCAAATCCAAACTCCAGTTCCCACGAACGAGACTGCCAGTATGAAGCCGTTGAGCAACGATGCCAAACTTAGGTTTACTGGGATTTTCTCGCCGGCGGGATCCCACCTCGCCGTTTTCTCCTCGGCGAACTTGAACGCATGGATGCGAGAGCTGAAGGATGACACTCTGCTTTCCTCCCTCTCCATCCCAGGAACGCACAACTCACCAACTTGCCATGTTGCGCCACCATCTGTCCGCTGCCAGGCCGTTGGCCCCCGTGAGCAGCTTAAAAACGGCGTCCGGTTCTTCGACATCCGGGTCCAACCCAAGTTTCCTGAGGATAAATCCAAGGACGAACTCGCCCTCGTGCACAGTACGTTCCCTATTTCTCTAACTGGAGAGAAATTGTTCCGTGATCTCGAACGTGAAGTCAACGACTTCCTTGAGCACAACCCCTCTGAGACCCTCATCATCTCTTTGAAACGTGAGGGACCAGGAAATCACACCGATCAACAACTTAGCCGTATCGTCCGCGATCACTACGCCCGTGACGGGAGTAGGTGGTATACAGATCCAAAAATACCCACCCTAGGCGAAGCCCGCGGCAAGATTGTCCTTGTCCGTCGCTTCGACATGCTTGAGGGGCTCAAGGACATCCACGGTGGCCGAGGTTGGGGCATAAACGCCACCGGTTGGGCTGACAACTGTGAAAACGCCCCCTGTCCGAGTGGTCAATTAGTCGTTCAAGATTTCTACGAAGTCCTGGAAGCCCAGAACATCGATAAGAAAGTCCAATACGTGACCGCGCACTGCAAGCGTGCTGGCGAAGCGCGCTACCCATTTGGTGTTCTCCCAGGACCCAAGGCGACAAGGGCCCATCCGTTTTATATCAATTTCCTCAGCGCAAGTAACTTCTTCAAACTGGGAACTTGGCCTGAGAAGATTGCCGAAAAGGTGAACCCGGCCACTGTTGACTATCTTTGCAGGAGGCACGGAGAGAAAGAAGGGGCTGATTGGGGAACTGGCGTCCTAGTTACGGACTGGGTTGGCTTGGATGGGGATTGGGATCTTGTTAGGGCTATTGTGGGGTTGAATGCTAAGCTTATGACGAGACAGAGAAATAACGAGAACAAAGACCACAAGGAGAACCATGATCACAAGGAGAACCATGATCACAAGGAGAACCATGATCACAAGGAGAACCATGATCGCAAGGAGAGCCATGACCGCAAGGAGAGCCATGAAAGAAAATAGGCAAATGACGGCTGATGATTGATACCACGGTGTACGACCTGTTGCGGTTAGCTTAGTTATGTTTTAATTTCTACAGAGGATTATCTAGTTTTTATGGGTTAAGAAATTTGATATTTAGGGCTAACACAAGAGAGGGTCCCCCTAGAAGTCAATCGTAATCTTTACAAACAATCTCAAAAGTACAGGTCCTTATTATACAGGTAGATGTCCAAGACAGCAGCGCAGCTTACTCTGCTTTATTTTCACCCTCACCATTGCCACCCTTCTGTTCATCCTCAAGTACACTTCTCCTGCTCTCGAGAGTGAAATACAAACTCTTCCCAGCTCCCTCCAGGGCATTCGTAATGCTAGATCCCATGCTTTGCAGCGCCATAACGAGTTGAGACCGCAGACCGTCAATACCACCCTCAATACTTCCGACCCACTTCGCCTGATCGACATCAAACAGCTGGTTGTCCAAACGAGCAGCAAGGACGTTTAACTTGTTCAGACCATTCTGCACAGGAAATTCGTGCCAATCCGGGTTCGCTCTTCGAGTGGGCGCAGGGTAGCCGAATGCCTTGGGAGCCAGAACGGACATGGCAGCCTTCAAATGCTCTGGGGACATTTGCGGAATGGAGAGCACAGCGATAGGACCAACAAGAAGAGTGGACAGCTCATGCTTTCCCTTCATATTGCGCACAGCGGCCTGGGCAGTACGCGAGAGATCGTGCGTCAAGGTTGGGTCGTCCCTGGATCCGGCAAGCGAGATCTCGGCGGATGTCTGTGTAGCTGGGTCGTTTGCGCTGGGGGGTTTGCCCTTTTCCAGTGTTGATTGGCTAGGTCTAAAATATTCCACGATACGTAGAGCAACCTCGAAGATGCCTGTCTGGATGATTTGGACCTTGATATGGGGAGCCAAGGGCGGAGTACTCCGGCCTTCTGCGGCAATCTTATCGTCCACCTTCTGCATGGCTTTGTTCAATTCGCGTCGGATCGCAGACCACTCAACTGCTTGAAGGTTGTCGTGTTGAAGGAAGACCATAAGGGGAGTGGTGCGGATAAGAGAGGTGTATTGCCGGAGAAGCTGTGAACGTCTGAACTCGGGCTTGCGATGCGATGGTGGCTGTGAGGGAGGAAACCTGGCAATTGGAGGAGGAGAGACGGTCATTTGCTCGACCGAAGGAGCAGGTGTCGTTGCCGTACTAGCACATCGAATTGAGGTAGAAATATCGAACTGACAGAGGAGCCTCTGGCCCCGGGCGGGTTGAGGAACCCGCGCATTTGCGAGACGTAACCGTGGAGGCATTGTGGGTGAAAAATGAAACGCAATTTAGAACGGACACTTATATCCGGCAGAAAGGCCCCTCGTGTACACCAGGTAGCGCGTCGAGCCTTTCGTGCAAACAAATAGCGGAATGCCAGCAACAACTGTGTCTCAAGATCGGACCAGGGAAAATTAACATGGACGAAATCTGGTGGCCCAAATTAGACTAGCGTGTTTATGGCGGTGTGTTTCTGCCGGATTCTTGAGCGGTGTTCTCCTCGAACGGCTGTTCCCGAGCTTTGCTGAAAGCGGTAAGTATGTGTCACCGGGCTATCGCCAATAATTAGTAGTTGGACACCCTGATCGAACTTATAAAGCGAAGCCACGCCAACCGGAGGAATTGAGACTTGATTGACATTAAGCCATCGCTTGTAAAGTCTCTGGATCCTTATTGATCCAACACTGGACTCCAATGGCCGCTGAAACTCGCCAAAAACCGGAGAGCATCTCCATTAGCCCTCTGCTCAAGAGACTTGCGTACCCCGCGTCCGAAGTTGCCGTCGAGGCTACAGAGATAGCTTCTGCTTTCGCCTTAATTTTCGAGGATCGCCTCTCTGACATACAGACTGCGGCTCTTCTCACACTTCTACATTCCACCCAACTGGACAAGGATGCGGAAGTTATCGCCAAATGTTCATACCGAATGAGGGACGCGGCTTTTCAAACCGACAAGGCGGCCTTGACGCAAGCGATTCAATCTCGGGGGAAACATGAGGGAAACTATAAGGGTGGCCTTGTATGTAACCAAACAATTAAAGTATTGAAGTATTCTGACGCCCAAATTCTTGATGCAGTGCGACATTGTCGGAACAGGCGGCGATTCCCATTCCACTTTCAATATTTCAACGACTGCTTCGATTCTCGCTTCTCCCCTCCTCGTCATGGCTAAGCATGGAAACCGTGCGCAAACATCTTTCTCCGGATCTGCTGACGTCTTAAACGCCATTTCTCCCGTCCCTCCCAAGATTAGTGCTGTCTCTGCCGAGAATCTTAGCCAAGTGTATACTGCGTCGAACTACGCTTTCTTGTTCGCTCCTAATTTCCATTATGGCATGAAGTACTCGGATACTGTGCGTCGAAGTCTTGGGCTGCGGACGATCTTCAATCTCATGGGCCCGCTCGCAAACCCTGTTGATTGGGCCATAGAAGCCCGCGTGGTTGGTGTCGCCTACCAGGCTCTCGGGCCTGTGTTTGTGGAGGCTCTGCGCCAGAACGGCGTCAAAAAGGGCCTCGTTGTTTGCGGCGCGGAAGACTTGGATGAAATTAGTTGTGCAGGGAAAACAAACTGCTGGAGGCTCTCGGAGACCCCTAACCCCGATTTCAAAGAGTCAAACCAGGAGGACGATGATGAGGACATCGTCCCACGCACAATAGCCAAACAAGAGGAGTTTCAACTAGAGCCGGCCGATTTCGGCCTACAAAGCTACCCGTTGAGCGAAGTATATGGAGGGAAGATGCCAAAGGAAAATGCGGCAAAACTTATGTCCATCCTACGGAATGAGTTGCCCAGGGACGACCCAATTTTGAGCTTCGTTCTTATGAACGTAGCAGCACTCCTGGTTACCTCTGGAATTTGTGAATCTGAGACTTCCAACATGGGCCCTGGGGACGATGGCCAAGTAATTACTGAGCGCGGTCCAGGTGGTGGCCGCTGGAAGGAAGGTGTCCGACGAGCGCGCTGGGCTATCGAAAGCGGCTCGGCTCTCAAATCCCTGGAAAACTTCATCGAGGTTTCGAACAAACTCTAGTAGAGTTATTCGTGAGGACCGCCTTCGGATATTTACCTTTAATGTTTTGAGTTATTTTTATGTAGTGAAATTTCGGGAATTTCGGTCTTGGGTGACAGGGATCTTCCAAATCAAGGAAAAAAGTAATTGGGTATATGGGAATCGTGTCGGAAATATCAATAGAATCTACCCAGGCAGATACTGTTTATGGGAACCAAAAGATACGCGGCTTTCACGATAAACCCCGGTAGCAGATTAAATACCATTGCGTAGATATTTTCTCAGGGAGCCGCGACTCTATGATTCACACTTAAATCCCAACTCCAAAAAGCGCCACAAAATGCACATAACAATCATAACAACGAAGAGTGTCATAAGAATCAAATTCGTTCAACACGTCTCAAATGTAACGCTTCACCGCGCCTCGAACTGGACCATCCTACACAGTGGAAAATCAGTATCAAAGCCATCCCACCCCGCCACAGGCACCGTAGAGATGAACTCACCGCTTCGTCCGCTCCTTGTACAAAACACGATGTCCACACTCCTTGCATCGGATCTGATCTCCGCGCTTGAGAGATACGCGGGCGTTGCATTCGCCGCATAGGTAGGCGACAACAGGGCCGTCGAGAGAACCGGCTCCGAGGTTGTCGTTGGTGAAGGCATTTCCACCGCCGCCGAGGGAGGGGACTTGGTAGGCTTCGCGGGACATGGTTGGGGTTTTGAGTGGCGGAATTCGTCAATTCGGAGTATCCAGACTGTCAGACAGGATTCGGTCGGGTGCGCAAAGGATTCTGGCGAGGAAGGCTTCGATGACTTGTCGATTTCTTTCTTTGCTGTTTCGGAGATCTTTTTTTAAAAGTGATTAGTCATTCTATTTTTTCTGGAAGGTCACGTGAATCTAAGCCATTTGATTGATCGGTTGTCTTGCACAAGGAACACCCAGTTATTAACTATACCTCGCCTTGAATAAGTACAGCTTGAACAGCAGGTTAAAAAGCTAAAATATGGATTTAAATATGTAGCGGACAATATAACAGTGTACATTCCTTGTACAACCATATGTCCATATCCTTTCGGGTCCTGGGGTAGAAATGAGTATCTGCCCTACCTTTTGCTGTGGACCACAATTCCCATACATTGCGGAAGGAATGTTCGAAATTATAGACCATACCAGGGCATCTTACGTGAAACTCTTCTCAAATTTTATTGAATAATAAACACCCTAACTGTTCGCATCTGTCACATAGAATTGTCCCACATCCCCACTGAAGAAGGTAGAATGTCCCGCACTTTAATGTGTTGTCCCACAATAAGCTGGGAAATAGGAAGTTGGGACATTCCCACCATGCAGACATAAACTGTGTTAGTACATCTCCACGGGCCCGTAGTCCAAGTCGAGTCATGCGCGTGGTGGGACTACGCGCCAGACGCCCAGGTCGGAGTTGGCTTATCCTCCCAGAGGGCCAACCATCATCCCTGAGCGTTCTTGAAACCTTGAGGGATAACACCACGACATACAATGAGCACTTTCGATGGATGTGAGTCCACTGACGTGGTTATCTGCGGATGTGGACCAACGGGCGCTCTGCTATCGAGCTACCTGGGCCACATGTCTATCAAACACACCGTACTCGAGAGGGAAAGCGGGATTACGACAGACCCCCGAGGAATTGCCCTCGATGAAGATGGAATTCGTTTGCTTCAAGGGGCTGGTATATACAAACAGATTTATACTGAAATTGGAACTTGTATGCTCGCTTCAACTCATCACGTGCAAGGTATACTAATGTAGAGTTTAGGCATGGGCATTTTCAAGTTCATTGGAGGGACACAGCAAGATCTCAGTCGGGAGGCAACTGTCGAGATGGACTTTTCTACGGTTTGTGATCCGATCAACGCTCAGGATTCCACCAGTTCGCCCGTTCCAGTGTCTATTTCTAATACTTTTCTTGAAGACAGAAGGAGGCACTGGTCATGTTGGTTTCATTTGCCATAAACAACCGACTCTGGAGAGACACCTCAGAGACGCCATGACTTCCTCCGGTTTCTGTCAGCTCAGATCCAATTGCACTGTTATAGAAATCCAGCAGGACGAAGCCTGGACGTATTGTCGGTACCGAGACGAAGATGGTGAGGTTCATTCTATACGGTCTCGGTTCTTCGTCGGAGCAGATGGCAAGACGGGATTTACCAGGAAGAAATATCTTGAGCCCCTAGGTATACAAATGGAGCAAGCTCATGAGTACTTCAAATTAAACCCCGGTATCCAGGGAGGTGCTGACTGATATACAGAGCTTTTTATGACGAAACATGGGTAGCGTTGAACTGGGAGATAGCCCTACCTACACAGGAAACGCACCCCAATTTTCCGCTTTGGTCTCTTGGGCATACACCAGAGCAGGTGTACGACCTATTTTTCCCTTCGAACTTCCGTTTTCTGTGCAATCCAAAACGCCCATCTGTCTGTGGGCGCTTTGGTCTCCTATCAGATCGGCTTTGGAGATTCGAATTCGTTGTTTTGGATGGTGAAGACGGAAATGAAATGGCTTCGTTCGAAAAGACACGAGAAATCATATTTCCTTACCTTACTCATACAGGACAGCAGTATGGGTAAGTAACGTTTAACCACACCAGTCATTGGAAACGCATACCTGAGACGTCTTTCCAGACTTTCGCAAGACGTTCAATATCCCGAAGACTGCATCCGCGTCCTTCGGTCAAGGCCATTCCGGTTCTCTGCGCGCTGCTGTAATAGGTGGTCTCACGGTAGAGTTGCTTTGTGCGGCGATGCAGCGCACGTTTTCCCTCCATGTATGCTTTCAGACTCGAAATGGTCGGAGTGGTTGAGCTAACCCTGCATGCAGTCGGCGGCCAAGGTATCGCATCAGGTTTTCGAGATGCCGCGTCCCTGGCCTGGCGCCTTGCTTTACTTTGCCGCCAGGATGAAGCCAGCTCTCAAAGGCACAAACCTGTTCTCGAGAGCTGGTATCTGGAGCGCAAGCAGCAGCTAGAGAGATCTCTTGCCTCGACTATTGCAAATGGAAAATTTGTCTCGGAGACAAACCCGCTGAAGATATTCCTCCGCTCCTGTTATCTGTTCATCATGAACCTGGTCCCTAGCTGGCGACGACAGCTGCGACTCGGTCCCAGGAAGGATGGAATGGTCCGCTACCAGTTCTCGCCAAGGATGCCCTTCATCCCCGATCTCAACGGGGGTTTATGTCTTCCCCAGGTGTACTGTAAGTCTAGCTCCGGGGAGGTTTTCTTTACAGACGACATCATCTTCAATCCGTCCAAGAAGGGACTCTTCCAATTACTTGTTTATCTTCAAACGCCTAGTGAGCTTGGATCCGCTAGAGATATAATATCCGCCATTGAGAGATTATCACGAGGCGAAATTCGGATCGACGAAGCCACATATATTGTTGAGGACGAAGATTGGAACCCAACTGGTGTGCAGGACATGAAATCAGTGTATCAACTGGCAAGCGCGGCAGAGTTCGCGGAGTCTTCGTTATGCGACGGACGCCCCGAACCACGCTATTATGATATGCAGTACCTTGGGAAAGCATTGGGAGGGAGCAAGTATGTGATTGTCCGTCCGGATCGGTTCATATTTGCTGCGTGTAGAAACCTCGAGGAGATTGAGAGTGCAGCTGGAGAAGCGGCGGGATACTTACAAGCCTAAGTTTCTCGCCTACCTTTTGCCAGTGTATTACTAGTATACTAGCAAATGCCCGATATATTATCCCGACTTTATTTCAGGTCCACGGCTTGGGAAGATCGTAATCTGTCAATGTAGTGCCGGGTAATCTGGTCAGTCTTCCTGAGGCCACCTCATCTTAGGGTGAGCAACTCTTATCATGGTGTAGATACGTGGATTCAAGCACTGCAAAACCAATGTTGACATTGGAAGGACTTCGGCGAATCGGTGGCCTCCAATTGACGATCGTGGTTTGGCCGTCATGTGATCCGCTCCTCCGATGCCGGGATTGGAAATCATGGGTGGACCGATTATAATTTCTTATCGTCGATTCGTCCCCCGCGGAGCTTGAACATCAAAATGAGCCCATCGCCACGCAGATGACAAAGCATATATTCTCCCCATCTCTCTTCTGTACCTCTTCCTCTGTTTCTTCTCTTTATATTATATATTTATTTTCGTCCTCTTCTCCTTGGATCATTTCCTACCGAGTATAAAACACCGGGACGAACAGACCTGCAACCCCGCACGTGTATACTTTCTCAGCCGTTATCCAGAGGGGTGTCCTCTGCAGCTACAATGAGCGCGATTCTCTCCGCGGACGACCTGAACGACTTCATTTCTCCAGGCGTCGCTTGTATAAAGCCGGTTGAATCTCTTCCGAAAAAGCAGTCCTCTGATCCAGAGGTAAGTTGGCGGTTTGCCTGAATCGAATGAATGGATATTAACTGGTGGTTGAACAGAACGCATATGAAGTTACCACAGAAGACAAAGTGCAACCCGAAAACCTACCTCCGGCGGAGATCTCTCTCACCGATTGCCTCGCATGTTCCGGCTGTGTGACGTCCGCTGAGGCGGTACTGGTTTCCATGCAGTCGCACGCGGAAGTCCTGAATACCCTCGATGCGCACCCCGAGATCAGATTGACTAGCAACGGGAGTGGAACGGTAGTGGATGATAATGCGCAGACAGCAGATGATGGCCGGATATTTGTTGCCAGCGTCAGTCCTCAGGTGCGCGCAAGTTTGGCAGCCACGTATGGAATTTCTGAGAAGGAGGCAAATCACATAATCCATCAATTTCTGAGTGGTCCGCAAGGATTAAGGGCGGGAGGCAAGCATGGCAGCGGCTTCACCTGGGTAGTTGATACCAATACTTTGAGGGAAGCGGTCTTGGTATTGACAGCCGACGAGGTCAGTCAATCTTTGACATCGAATGCTGGCGATTCAACAATTCCCAAACGACCCGTTCTTTCGTCAGCATGCCCAGGCTGGATCTGCTACGCTGAAAAGACTCATCCGTTCATCCTACCCCACCTATCAAAGCTGAAATCGCCCCAGGCTCTGGCGGGAACTCTTTTGAAGACAGCCATCAGCAAGAGACTTGGTGTACCCGCCTCTCGCATCTGGCATCTGGCAGTCATGCCTTGCTTTGATAAGAAGCTCGAAGCTAGCCGAGAAGAGTTAACCGATGCGGCTTGGAATAGAGTTTCTTCGAGCGAGCCCAACACTCCTGTTCGTGACGTTGACTGTGTCATTACTTCGCGCGAGCTCCTAAGCCTAGCGTCGTCGCGTGGGATTTCACTTCCTACATTACCCATGAATTCTCTTCCTCCGTCATTACGCCCCTCATTCCCTGACCCGACCCTCAGCACTTTTCTTTTCTCAAACAATTCGTCCTCGAGACAGTCAATTGCCTCTGGCACCTCTGGAGGCTACCTTCATAGCGTGCTCCTGGCTTTCCAAGCTCGCAACCCAGGAAGCGAGATTGTCACTCAGCGAGGACGAAATGCGGATGTTGTGGAATACACTCTGGTGTCACCTGAAGGTGAACAAATCCTGAAAGCCGCCCGTTATTATGGATTCAGAAACATCCAAAACCTTGTCCGAAAGCTCAAGCCCGCGCGAGTATCCAGACTTCCAGGAGCCAAGGTAGCCGCCGGTCCAGCAGCCGGAAGCCGACGGCAACCTGTATCACGGAACGGAGCCGGTGGGGGGTCAAGCACGGATTATGCATACGTGGAGGTTATGGCGTGCCCTGGTGGCTGTACCAATGGCGGTGGTCAGATACGGATTGAAGATGCTCGGGAAATCAGTACACCAAGCGGTACTTTAGCAGCACCCGAGGGTTCAAAGCCGTCTCCGCATGAGCAACGCGCGTGGCTTGCCCGCGTGGATGAGGCCTACTATTCAGCGGAGTCGGATGGAGAAGATGAGATGAACAACTCACAGCCACTCTCCGTCGCCGAAAATGAGGGCAGAGTTCACAAAGCAATGCAGTACTGGTCTGCAATGACGGACATACCGCTCTCAACGCTCGCTTACACGACGTACCGCGAGGTGGAGAGCGACGTTGGCAAGCCGGCTGCGCCGAACGACACTACACGAGTGGTTGAGTTGGCAGGAAAGATTGGTGGTGGTTGGTAGTTCGAAGTTGGATGTTACGCTTTACGATATATACCCCGTTTGTACTACATTTCGCATATGGTATATTGCATAGGGTTGCACGGATCATGGACATAGAGTGATGATACCAAGCTGTTTTAATATTCTATCTACTTCTTCATCTCGAGGGTTTGGCAGGCCCCCAATATTTTGTTTAGATTCGCGGGCAACCCCTAGTTATTTGGGGGCCGGAGATTTCAGCACTACCTGACTCGAGCGCAACTCTTTGTTCCTCAGCGCTAGAAATTAGTAGAAAGCAGGAGATTGGACCCTGAACCTCCTGCCTGGAAGGAGATCCAGTCCGATAGGGATTTTTGGCGCTAAAGAAGCGGCAGCCTATTTTAGGGTTCCTTCGATTCCCCCATCGCCGGGTCTGGCCCGAAAAGAGAAGGTGGATATAAAGGATCCTGAAGTCTCCCCCGTGCCTTCCTCGCGCGACGAGCTTTTCTCACTCTGCCGCCGCTGTTTGTTTTGCTTCAGCTCTCTCTCGTTCAATTTAGTCAATCGGTCACTCATTCAGCCATCCAACTGAGTCACTCTTTATACTTCACATACTCTATTCTATTGCTCCACACTTGTCTCACTCCACCACAAGCCCTATCCAAATATCAACCGTTAGACGCCTCCAAAATGAAGCCCACCTTCTTTTCTCTCCTTCCAGCCACCCTCTCTCTCCTGGGTACTGCCCATGCCCGGACCGATCTGGAGGGCTGCATCTCCTCTGCAACTACAAACCAATGGCACGAAGCTTCGATGATCTGGTACATCGAAGACACTGGCGAGATCTGCGACATCCCCGACTGTGGCGGCGGCCGTGCACCTCCCAAGTATAATAACCCGGCTTGCCCGAATTACACCGGCACTGCGACCTATGAGCCTAGCTACCTCGAGGGATACGGGCCAGGTGCTACTGCCACGAAGACGACCGCGAGGGAGACAGGTGCTGAGTCTACTGCTACCGGAACTATCGATAAAAATGAGGACGACGATGAGACCTTTAAAGTCGCCTCAACCGACCACGGAAGTGTAACAATTACCTCGACGCCGGTCCCTACCGGTCATTCCTCTGGCGTGCATGACGGAGGTTCGAAGGGCAGCTCAAGTGCAAACGACAGCTCGAGCGCCATTCAAGGCTCCACTTTGGCTTCATCGGCTCAGGAACTGTCACCTTCACCGTCAAACACCCCTGCAAACTTTACAGAATCTGATGTAAATGCTGCAGAGTCGCTGGGGTTCAATGCTGGTCTTGGGGCCGTTGGCCTGCTTGCTGCTTTTGTGCTTTAAAGTGTTTCATAGCTTGGTGATGTGCTACTGATGCATTGGAGTTTCCTTTCTGCCTTGTATGAGTCAGTCCACTGTTGGAATTCAGCAGAATTTGACTGTAGATTGGTGTACGTTTAGGTGCATTGAGCCAGCCCTTGTCCGTTAGATAGATAGATATGTACCTAATACAAGCGAAAGAGCCAAACAAGATTTGGTTTCTCAGTGAATATCCAAAGAAATGCGCCGTCTCACTTCGGAATTTACTCAGCAACGTATACTTTAAAATCTGATGGACTAGTCTTCTTTATAGAGTGTCAAAGTGATGCCTATGCCAGTAACTGAATTATGCTGCCAATTGAATGAGGGTTTGATGCGTACAATCTTCCAGTTAATATCACGATTGAATGAGAAACTACTATTTTGGTGGCTATCGAGGGAAGCCGTGTAGCGAGCACCAATGCCCAGGCGGTGCCCCTCCATACAAACAGAGGACGCAAGCACTTCACCCACATTTGTGGATGTCTTTACCAATCTAGATATCGAGGTGTGGGATCCTCCGTTTGCATGGAGGGGAAGCAGCCATTCACTCATGTCGGACAAGGATAGCTCGCTTATCCTTAGTACCCTTTCCACCAGGTATAAATAAAGGCTTCTTCTTGGGAAATGCCCAAATGGGCCTCATCCACTTCTTGACCGTTTCCTTCCTCAGCATATACCGGTACTGGTAAGTCCCCATCAAGCCCTCATATACAGCTTCACTCACTCACAACCACCACCAAGTCTTAGATACATACCCCCCTCAACACAACTTCCACCCAGCAACCTACATCCAACCAGACAAAATGTCGGCCTTATCCAAAACTCAATCTAGCTCCAAAGTCCTCCGCATTGGCGTCGTCCTCTTCCCGGGCTTTGATGCCCTCGATGCCTTCGGCCCTATGGACTGCCTGAACGCTCTCTCCTCAAAACGCCATATAACACTCTCTATCCTCTCGCACACCCTCGGTCCGGTCTCAACCAAATCCCCTTTCGCGCGACGATCCATTGGCCAGTCCATCATGCCAACACACACCTTCGTCGATGCACCGACCCTCGACGTTCTCATTGTCCCCGGGGGCGCCGGCACCCACTGCCTCGGAAGCGAGCCCGTCGAAGCCGCGATCAACTTTATTGCGGCCTCCTACCCGAGCCTCAAATACCTGATTGCAATTCGGAAGGGGTGCGGTCTGGTAGCGCTATCCGGTGTGTTCAGTATGAACATGGCGACCAAAAAAGGTAAAAACGGTACGCTGGATACCAAGCCAGCCAGCAAGGAGGTTACAAAGTCCGTGGTCAAAGTGGAGGAGACGGAGAAGAAGATAATTGAGAAAGCTAGTAAGCTTGAGAAGATAGTGAATGGGTGCAAAGGACAGGTCGACGTGCGTGCTGACTGGGCTGCTGGCGCGAAATGGATGGTCCATAAGAATATCTGGACTGCCTCGCGCGGCAATAGCAATGTGGGGATTGATATTATTTTGGCCTGGTTGGAGCAGGTGTACGGTGAGTGGGTTGCGGGTGACATTGCTGCGCAGATGGAGTACGAGAGGCGTGGGGATGCTAGGGTGGATTATTTCGAGGCCTTCAATGCCATGCAGGAGAACGGCAACAACTGGGGGTGGTAGACAGGAGGATTGGTTTGGAGATGTTATTGTGTATTGCGTGTGCATGCGTGTCTATGCCCTGGTGTATGCTAGTATATGCTAAATGCGTGTATGTACAAGTGGTAGTAGCATGATGGAGTAGGTTGGCAATCAACTGAAGGAGATGTTCGCTTCCTGAAGGAACTTCTCCTCGTCCGGTGTTGTTGTCCTCCCTAATACCTTGTTCCGATAGGGATAGCGTCCAAACTGCGCAATAATGTCATAATGTTCCTTTTGGAACTTGAAATTCTGCGCCGAGATCGCCTCAACGGCTTTCCTGTTGCCCGCGAGGATTTCACGATCCGCTAAATCCTTCTCACCTAGCCCTTCTGCCGGCTGCTCATCTAGAAGACGACTAACATCTCCATCCATTTCACGGTATTTCTCCAGCATGATTTCCTGATGGCTCAGAGTCTCCGAGTGCATCAATGGAAGATAGAACCAGTGTCGCAAAGCAAGGCGGTAGCGTACGTCCGGACTGTACTCAATCTTCTTCTCAAGGGCCCGAAGCGTAATGAACCGGGAGATGGGGTCGAAGAATGAAAATACGAGCGCAGCTTCTTCACCGCGGTAGCAGTTGCGTGGGAGCTGGTCGAGGAAAATGATTAACCCAAGCCAGTCTAATGCCGACTCAGGGTTGACCAGTTCCAGGATTTGCTGAGCTTGAGCTTCAACCTGCTCCTGCGTCTGTAGCTCTGGGCGTGCTTGGTGAATGGCGGCTAGGATTGGCTTGAATTGGGTTCTGTAGTTTATCAGTATACTTCTCGAGTTGTCTTAAAGCATAGGCCTTGGGTGTCTCACGCGCATTCAAGATCGAAACCGGCGTCTTTGGTGAACCAGGGCTTAAACACCTCTTGTGTTGGGAGCGTGAGATTTTGGTCATGTTCGACATGCTGGAACCAGAAGTCGTACACACGGTTTGGGACAGAAGGATGGAGGAACTTCGCTAGGTCAACCTTTGGCTCGTTGGACATTTTTGGTTCTTGTTTCCTTGGGCCGGTGTGTATGGCCCTGGTTCCAGGAATTGGACAGAAAACTGGTTTCCTTATGGGTAATGAGGGTGACGACAACTTGCTTCTCAACGTAGTCTGAGGTCGAAGGGTGAGTAGTCGTCTGTAAGCTGATCTTTGACGGAGTACCGGCAGCATGACGTCGTAGTAAACAATGGCTGTCGGCAATTGAGAGTCAGAATATGCGGAGATTCTCTCGGTATTTAAATGCAATCCTCTGCCCTGCTCTAACGATTGAACCTTTTTTTCTAGTCTCTAAGTGCCTGTCGATCCAAATTGGTCATCGTCGAACCGTGAACAACCAATGTTGTCCCTTGCATTACGTCATTTACTCGGCCCTCGCGCATTTGAGCTCCGTGTTTATATAAGCAATCTCTCTGCCTCAGGCAGTATTTGTATCAAGCCATGTCGTCTCAGGAACAAACTGTATCTCGAAATTTATTTAGCTTATTTGTAAGTGCTGTGGTTAAAGCGCAAAAGAGTAAGTGAATGAGGTATGGTGACTCATCATGCTCGCCAAGTGTCTCACGCTCTCATTCACCCAGTGGTGAGGAGGTTGCCTTGCCAGCTGAACACGAGCGCCTGCCTATCTAAGCCGCACACGAGTCTCCAAGGTAACTCAACTCAGCCTCTCAATGAGTCAGATACCTCTCAGGCCATTGTACATAAAGAGGTTATTGACTCCCACTCGAAAAGCAGCGATGGCATCTTTTTCAACTCATCAAACAATGTTGAACTTCAGTGCTGCATCAAACAATAGAAGGGCGATTCTCCAGGCGACCGCAGAGGAGACCATCAAACACATTCCCACTGTGCTCCAGCTCAGACCAGATGCTCCACCTACTGGATACATTTGCCTGCCAAGCAGGTATACTCCGCTGAGCTCGAGGTTCTTCCCAAATCTCAGTACTCGAGTGCAGGTTGTCAACCGTGACAGCTACGATGTTGCTATTCAACTTACTAACTCGCGGGCAGCCAACAATGGAGATACGAAACCGGTCTGTGTGCTCAATATGGCCAGTGAATACCACGCTGGTGGCGGCTGGCTGAAAGGATCCATGGCCCAAGAAGAGGCTCTCTGCTATCGAAGCACCCTAAGCGCAACACTCAAGAAACGATTCTATCCGTTGAAGTTGCGGGAAGCCATTTATTCACCAACGGTTGTGGTCTTCCGCGAAAACTACAACAACAATCACCAAATCATGGATATCCAACGACCTCAGAGTCTGCCTGTTGTGAGCGTCATCAGTGTGGCGGCCGTCAGAAATCCAGGCGTGAATACCCATGTCTCTCCGCCTAGTTATCAGGACCCCAATGACCGGATGACAATGATGGAGAAGATGCGAGTTACCCTTCGCGTTGCTGTGCATAATAGGCACCGCAGCCTGGTTCTCGGTGCCCTGGGGTGTGGCGCTTTCAGGAACCCGAATGAAGAGGTTGCGAATTGTTGGTTTGACGTTCTACAAGAGCAAGAGTTCCGAGGATGGTTTAACAACATTATATTCGCTGTGTTGAAGGATACAAACCAAGGAGACGACAACTTTACGGTGTTCCATAGGAAATTGGACGGGCTCCTAGTCTAACCTCTCAGGATGCGAGTCGCCAAAACATCATTACTTTCTGTTTCGTGTTGAGCGTCGTCTTGTTGATGAACTCTCCGTCTCTTTGCCTTCATCTTCATCATCTTCAGCCTTAATCATCTGTTTTCCCTCCTTCTTCGCCACCTTTGCCTTGGTGCTCGGTGCCTCTTTCTTCGGAGCTGTCCGTTTTCGCTTGGCTTCAGGCTCATCACTGCTTCCATCCTCTTCCTTCACATCACCTGCGACAGGGCCAGTCTTCTTCTGCACGCTTGGGACCACAGCACTGGTTCTGCCGCCCACAGTGAGAAAGGTGATTTTATCCCCGTTTGGCAGGACGGATGTTTTGTTCTTCTTGCCCTTACTCCACCGATGTTTGAACAGCCAGTGTTCAGGGAACTTGTCTGAGTCCGCTAATACCTCGGTGGAGGTAGTACAGACATAATGAGTGGCGGAGTGGAGTTCTTTGACTTGGTCATCTGTCAGCGTGTTGCTGTATTGTTCAGGGTGTATTTTAGCGTGGTATAGAATCTCATCGCTGAATTAAGAGTCAGTCAATCGACCAAAATATCCAATCTCGTAGAGCAAACTAACGCCATCCAATTGCCAATGCCACTGATATTCGCTTGGTCAAGAAGAAGCGCCTTGACCGGCACCTTCTTGCTCCTCAGCTTAATACCCAACCAGTCCTCCGTAACCACGTCCTTGTCGGCGAGAGGATCTGGCCCATTCTCCTTAAGAGGTGTGTACTTTCGAATCTCATCCGCCGGGCAATCCACCAACCGAATCCGCGCCAATCTGCGGAAGTCAACAAAGGCAGCCTCGGTCTTTGGGTCTCCATCGGTTTCTAGAAGAAACTTCCAATACTTCGGCGGCCACTGCTTATCCTCTGGCTTGTCCGTCCGGTAGTAGTATGTATCAGCATCGCGAATCTTAAGCCACCCTGCCATGCCGAAATGCATTACGGCATGCGGCGGGGAAGACATTGCGATCCAAAAGTATTTCCCCTGCTGCCCAGCACCAACCACTTTCTTGCCCTCCATCACCTTTTGAAATTCGGCGGCACTCGTACCTACCTTGCCGTATATAATGTCATCGTTTTGAGTGGTCACTTTGCTTAGGGTCTTGCCGACGAGATGTTGGCGGATGAAATGCACAATGCGGTGGATTTCAGCTAGCTCAGGCATCGCTCTATTTGTAATTAAAAGTACGTCCAAACAGGCGAATATGATAAACAAAAGCTGTAAAAGATGAATTCAGGTTGAAAGGGGTTGTCAGCTCCTCAACACGAGCTTCAACGCGTTATGGGCCACGAAGTCACATGACATGGAAGCTCATCAGCGGGTGGCATCTGAATGACATCCGATGCTTTACTCGACAGGCAGATTCTTGCGACCTTCGCATTTGCTGGCGAAATAACTTCTTCAAACTCTCTATATTTTGCTAACTCAACACCTAAGCTTTCTATTAAGCCTGGTCGGGACGCTCTTGTTACTCCCGAAATCAAACCGCTAGCTTCTCAAACTCCTTGTCGCACTTCGATCATTCAATCTGGAGTGGTTCTGGAACACAGCGGCGAAAGCGGAGCAGCAAAAGGGGGTTGCTGAGAGCCGGAAGATGCCACGGGCTTCCTCTACACCGGCTCCAGAGCTGAGTCCGCAATTCTGTTTCAATGAGCGGGTACTTCGAGGTATGTCTTGCGCCCTACGTCGGTTCCTTTCCATTACGAAGCAGCAGAGCCAGAACTTACCGGTGTACACTCGGATTTAAAACAGACTTCCTAAGCCTTTCCAGATCCACGATAGATGACTCGATAACGCAAAACCTGAATGCGCTTTTCACGCCCGCCCGCGAGGGCTTCGACCCGTCCTCCACAGCTATACGGCAAACAGACTCGAAAGCCGGACGAGTAATGGACTCCACTGCCTGCCAAGGGTTCAAGGATAAAGTGCTATTCCCGTCATGGCAGACGAGATCGGATGTGCTTACATATTGCGCTGGCGTTGCTACGAGCCCTGATCCGGATGACCCGGATCTTATACTTCGGCAGACGGAATCTGCGAGGGATCGAGAACGTGTCGTAGATGAGCGGTTGGATCCGTACTCTGCAAGGTTCTTTCCACGAGAGGCTCGCACAGAGTCCCTGGCGAATCTGGTGCGGAATCAGCGGACCGTTGAAGAGATTATACGCTCACGAACCTGGGGACTCGTTTCGGAACGATGCGGTGGTTCCTCCGAGGGTTGGGAGGAAGCTCTCAATAAGTGGCGTGAAAAGAATCAGCCATAGGCTTCCTTTTAAGGTATTGCATGTTACGACGAAAGCATAGTGAAGGTTTGAAAAGCGCTGATCTTCCTCGACATCTCAATTCTGTATCTAATGTGTATATAAAGTTATTTGGACTCAGAACTTCCCTTTCAAATATGCTCTGCAGTGTGCTCTTGAGATGATTGATTGGCTTTCCAATCCGGGGTGCATGGAGTGGTAGATAGCCTGGGTTATTCCTTAGCTCGAATTATTGTAGATACTACTACCGTCCGCGAGTAGTTGATCGGTGCCAATCATCCACCAGACATCAGAATGTCGGCTTTTTAGTAAAGCGACAGGGCACCGAAAAGGCAGAGGCTTAGTTCTGATGTCGTTGCAGTTGGGGTCTGACTGTGGTGAAATCAGTCCGAGACTCCGGGGGCGCCTGCAGCAAGACCTGGTCAAGGTCACACTGTTAAACGCATATATGGGACATTGCATATGCCGGCTGCGGGACTGGCCAAAAGTGGCAGGTTTGAATTCGACTTTTCTGGGCCATAGGTATATTCCATATCAGGCGGACTGTGTACGACATTCCCTTTTCCGGGGATAATAAATCCATAAAAATTTCAACACCAAGATGCACAGGCGATAAGGTTCCTAGGGTGCTTATTCACTAGACCTCCAGACACGAAGACTACCGAGACCGTTCTGAACCTTGCTTCTTTGTATGGGTACCCCGAGCTGTGCAACAAAGGCAGGCCCAATATGGAGAGGCTTCTAGTACTCACAACTACAACGTCAGCGATGAACATAGGGTTATAACTGTTGCGTCAATATTGGATTGGCAAATCCGCAAACCCTGATATAACACTCCTCGGGACGATTGTGTCCGTTGTTAGAACCTGGCCTAGGTGGTTCAATGGTGGCAGATTCTGCAGGATATGGAGAATCTGCGTGTAACCTGAGCATTAATGAGACACCTAGATTATCTTGTGTGCCAAATTAGATTATCAGTTGACGGCTTTTCGATGTGCAGTTCCACCAAGAATTCAGCCACGCATTAGAACTGCCACCCCCCAATGGGTCTCGTGTTGAGGATAGACGCCAGTCATCCCATCATTGATGCTGGTTTGTGATATTGAAGTCTCCTTCAATAGTTGCTCCCGTCGAGTCGTTATTGGCGTTGCGTGGTTACAGTGATGCACGAAAGCGTCTCGGATAATCGTTTTTGTCTTGTGCCGGGATGCCCTCGAGGAAGCGTCGGTACAACCCCGGGGCTGAAGCGCGATGGAGAATTTGCATCAGATGTCTAGCAGGTGGCTTGAAGAATTCAGCATGGGTCTGGCTTGTCAATCGTGCTCAGAGGGCTGAAAGTTGGATTAGTGTTGGCTTCGGCGCTGAGCTTATCGGCGCCTGATTGCTGCTCCTCGTTTCCGCTTTTCTCCCCCCGCGCACATCCAGCCAGCTTCCCTCGACCACCTGAACAAAACTCCGCCGACAATTCTGCAACGCCCACCATGCCGCAGCAATTGAGCTCGAAGGACGCCTCCCTATTCCGACAGGTCGTTCGCCACTATGAAAACAAGCAGTACAAAAAGGGTGAGTCCCAATGCCGAATTGACCACGCTGGTGGTCGATGTTTCATGCGGATGGACGTAAATGGCTGAATGTCATACTTTCCTTTCCTTTCTTTTTGGGAAAATTACAGGTATCAAAACTGCCGAACAAATCCTTCGAAAAAATCAAAACCATGGGGATACGTTAGCGATGAAAGCACTTATCATGAGCAACCAAGGACAACAAGAGGAGGCCTTCGCCCTGGCCAAGGAGGCTCTCAAGAGCGACATGAAGTCGCATATCTGCTGGCACGTGTACGGCTTGCTTTATCGGGCGGAGAAAAACTACGAGGAAGCTATCAAGGCCTACCGGTTCGCATTAAGGATCGAGCCGGAATCCCAGCCCATCCAGCGCGACCTCGCCCTCCTCCAGATGCAAATGCGGGATTACCCAGGCTACATACAGAGCAGAAGTGGTATGCTACAGGCTCGTCCCGGATTCCGACAGAACTGGACGGCCCTTGCTATCGCACACCACCTCTCTGGGGATCTAGAGGAGGCTGAGAAGGTGCTGACTACATACGAGGAGACGCTGAAAACTCCACCGCCTGTCTCAGACATGGAACACTCCGAGGCGACTTTGTACAAGAACACGATTATTTCGGAGTCAGGGAACATTGAGAAGGCGCTGGAACACCTCGAGTCCGTGGGATATCGCATCTCGGATGTGCTTGCTGTAATGGAAATGAAAGCGGACTACCTTCTACGCCTCGACAGGAAGGAGGAAGCGGTCGCAGCCTATACAGCTCTCTTGGAACGAAACTCGGAGAATTCCATGTACTATGATGGCTTGATCAAGGCCAAGGGCATTCCGAGTGACGACCATAAAGCTCTCAAGGCTGAATATGACTCGTGGGCTGAAAAGTACCCGCGTGGTGATGCGCCCCGCAGAATTCCCTTGGATTTCCTGGAGGGAGACGACTTTAAACAGGCCTCCGATGTATACCTGCAGCGTATGCTTAAGAAGGGTGTGCCATCGCTTTTCGCGAACATAAAGCTTCTCTACACCAACCATAGCAAGCGCGACACAGTGCAAGAGCTGGTAGAAGGCTACGTTTCAACCCCACAATCGAATGGTGCAGCCGACGGGTCTGCTACCAAGGACAACAACGAATTCCTCTCCTCCTCATACTACTTCCTCGCACAGCACTACAACTACCACCTCAGCCGTGACCTATCCAAAGCCCTCAAAAACGTGGAAAAGGCCCTTGAACTGTCACCTAATGCTGTGGAGTACCAAATGACCAAGGCTAGAATTTGGAAGCATTATGGCGATCTCGAGAAGGCCGCGGAGGAAATGGAGAACGCCAGGAAAATGGACGAGAAGGACCGCCACATCAACTCGAAGGCCGCCAAATACCAACTTCGCAACAACGAAAACGACAAGGCTCTCGATAACATGAGTAAATTTACCCGTAATGAGACCTTTGGTGGCGCTATGGGTGACCTTCATGAGATGCAATGTGTGTGGTACCTAACCGAAGATGGCGAGGCGTATTTGAGGCAGAGGAAGCTTGGACTTGCACTTAAGCGGCTTCACGCTGTCTACAATATTTTTGACGTGTGGCAAGAAGATCAGTTTGATTTCCACAGCTTTTCCCTGCGAAAGGGGATGATCCGAGCCTATGTTGATATGGTTCGTTGGGAAGATCGTCTGCGCGAGCATCCCTTTTATGCGCGGATGGCACATTCTGCCATCAAGGCTTATTTGCTTCTTCACGACCAACCGGATCTTGCCCACGGGGCCCTTCCCGATATCAACGGTGCCGATGCGGAAGATGACGCTGAACGCAAGAAGGCCCTTAAGAAGGCCAAGAAGGAGCAGCAACGACTTGAGAAGATTGAAGCAGACAAGCGGGACGCTGCTAGAAAGGCTGCTGCCAACCCCAAGAGTGCCGATGGCGAGGTCAAGAAAGAGGACCCCGATCCTCTCGGCAACAAGCTTGCACAAACGCAAGATCCACTGAAAGAGGCGACCAAATTCCTGACACCATTACTGGAGTACTGTGGCAATGATATTGAATCCCAATGCCTTGGATTCGAGGTATACCTTCGTAGGGGTAAGTTCAGAATGTCATGCTCGCGCACGTGAACAGAAGACTGATTACGCATCTATACACTTTAGGTAAACATGCACTTGCTCTCAAATGTCTCTCAGCGGCCCACTCCATCGACGCATCTAACCCCACCCTCCACGTTCAACTGCTCCGATTCCGCCAAGCTTTGAACAAGCTCTCTGAGCCTCTTCCGCCGCAGGTCGCAGAAGTTGTTGATGCGGAATTTGAGGCTCTCCTTCCCAAGGCGCAGCAGCTCGACCAATGGAACAACTCATTCCTTGCGGCACACAAGGACAGCATTCCACACCGACATGCATATCTTACCTGCCAGCACCTTCTGAACCCTGAGTCCAAACCGCAAAACGAAAAGGAGCTTACTTCTACCCTGGATGCAGATATCGTGTCACTCGAGACAGCCCTTGCTGGTCTAAACCTCCTGGGCGAGTGGGGGAGCAGCCAGGCCGCAAAGGCGTCCTACGCCGAGAAGGCTAGCAGCAAGTGGCCGGAGTCGTCCTCGTTCCGACTTGGCTAGAAGCCGAAAAACTTACGGGGTATCTCTTATCTCTCTTGGTGTCTGAACACACGATGGTTGGTCTCGTTGGTTTCATTGCATTGCTCACTTAGCGAAGCCTATAGAAACAGGATGCGGCCCCAAGCTTAATTAAGAAACGTCAAGATGATGGATTCAAAAAGACCATGTACGAGTATTTGTGGCGTTCATTTTGTCGGGGGCGGGGGAAACCAGCTGAGCGATGGGGTGTCTTCTCTTACGATCCGATCTTGGAGTGGTATATACTGGGGTATAGCGAAAAAATCATGAGAAATGAAGTATTTTGAGTCTGGCTCCGCTTCCGCGTTCCAATGCTCCGCCGTTCCATAGATCAGATTCAGCGATGGAGAACACCGGCTCCATAATTATAAGCCATGCCTGGTCCATGCCCCTTGAAAAATTAAGCTGTCCGAGGTGGGAAAGACTACTGGACATAGTAGGCACAAAGTGGAGGAGGACGGGCAGAGTGATGACGTCACCAGGGGCCCACTTGCAAATCACCACCCACAAGCCACGCCCACAAGCCACACCACTGCCAACTTTTTGAACCTCCTTTCCCAGCTTTCCCAGGAACTTGGATTTCCGAGCGCGAATGGCACGGTTCCGAGGTAGGATCTCACCACGAACCTGGCTTTTCCCCTAGGGTCACCCCCCCTGGAGACCTTGACTCGTCGTCACCAACCTGGCAGACTTCTTGGCAATGCAAGCTCGTCGCTGCCACCCTGCCGATGCCTGGTGTCAGCTCCTTGCTCCAACGCAGGCTGGCCAACGCATCGCCGAATCTAGCAATTCCATTGCAGGTCAGGGCTACCGAATCAGGAATACAAGCATGTGAATCAAAAGAAAACACGGATGCCTTGGAGGCGGCCAGAGTTCAATGGTTTGATCTAACCGCTGCTGATCGCGCTGATATGATCTCATGCTGGGGTCTTATACTTCGTGATCTTCACGTCCCAGAAGGCGTTACACGGCCAACGAAAGTCTGACGTCAAGAGGGACATGGGCTCGAGTCTTGACTCTGAATCCATGGCTCCAGACCGTATAAGATTTCGAAGTTCCTTTCCCCTACTTCAATTCCTCCCTTTCCTGCCCTTTACCTGATTCCTCCTGCATTCCAACTCATAATCATTTTTTCATTCCAGTGATACCCCAGTTACGCACCCCCCTTACCCCCTTGGTTTGTTTATTTTGCGCCCAGTCTCACCTGGCTCCCCCTTCCGCTCCCTCAATTGAAGGCCTTAATCGATAATACGTATCTTCATAAACCTAATCACACCCACGCTTGGCTGTTCGTCGCCCCACGCACTTCATCATGCCTTCTCGTGGAGTAAATGTTCCTACGGACCCCAGACAGAAGGAGAAGGTATAACTGCCCGTGCTAGTGTTCGAAGATGTCGTCTCTTATCTAACTTTCGGTCCTAGGATATCAACCAGAAGCTGCAGCTGTTCGGCATCTACCAGGCCTTCAAACTTGGCAAGCTTCCATCTGTGAGTCCAGCGTGATCGTCAGCAGTGCTCATCGCGAGATATTCGCCTACTAACTGCTTTTTTTTTCCCGCAAAACAGAACAAGCAATGCGATATTGCCCTCAACTCCGCCCTGAACTCGAAGGCGCTCGCCAAACCGTCGCAAGAACTCTCTGAGGAAGGCCGAGCCCTTGTGCAAGATGTCCGCAAGGTAATCGAGGAATCCAAGAAACTTATTCTGAGCAAGAACGATGGTCAATTGCTTCAAGAATTTATTTGGGAGGCCCAGCGCATCTCCGGCGATGATTTACAGAAGCCACAGATTGGTGGAACTCGAGAGTCCGCCGAACAAGATGCTGCTAAGGCAAAGGAGGGACTAAAGTCCCTCGGAACCTTGATTATCACCAACGGCGAGTTCCGAAAGATTCGTAAGTGCACCGTCATCTCCGCTCTTATACGACTCATATCTAACCCGTCGTCAAAGTGAACGATGCATTGATCGTCGCGCGCGATATCGCTGGGGATGCTTCGCAGAAGGCTGCCAATAAGGTCCGCCCTTCTGAGGAGCAACTGTCCCAGGTTGACCAAGCTGCCGATGACAATGTTTGGCATGAAAAACCGGATGTCTCTGGATACAAGGAGCAGTTCAAGTCTCGCTTCAGCAAGAAGAAGGACGACGCAGCTGACGTCGCCAACACTGGTGTCGAGGCTGGCACTACTGGCTCCACTCTTGACCCTTATGCTGGCGTCAACGCTGCCGCTGAGAACGCCCAGTCGAAGGTTCCTGAGGATCAGAAGTCAAGCCTCTCGACCCGCACCCAAGAATACAAGAACAGGACCAAGAACTATCTGTCCAATAAGTTCCCCCAGGAACGTCGTGACCAGGCTATTTACCGTCTAAAGAA